TTATCCCAAAACTTTTAAATCGCTACGACAATCACTCGCTAGGGAATGGGATAGAATCTCGCCCAAGGTTGTGCGAACTTTTGCCTAAAATTTAACCAGACGAATTCAACCGTCTATCCAGGCCAAGGCTGGATACGTCAGAAATTCTTGATTTACTTCGAAAATTCTTATTTAATTCCCTATGATTTACTCTTAATTTGAGCTAATTATCTTTTATTTAAATAAAATTATGCCAAAAATAGTGTGTCCTAAACATTTCTTGTCACCCTGTTCATGACTCCTTTTTTGAAATTTATTTTCTAAATTAAATTTTATATTTCTGAAAATATATTTTTATTACTTTTTTAAAAATTTTAATCCAAAATTATCACCTTAATAATTTTTATATTTTAACAAGTTTTTGTTAAAATATTTATTTCCTTAGAGAATTAAATAATATTTTTATTTTGAACATATTTTAAGGAAAAATTGAAAAAGAATATTTTTCAATTTCATCATTTTAGATATTTTTAGTTGCCTTTTTGAGACAATTTTATAAATTTAAATTTATTTATTGGATATTTCATCAAATTCTTAACATTTAAAATTGTACTTTATTTTATACTTATTTTCCCGTAAAATTTCAAATATTTTAGTTAATTTTGTAATTAAAAAATTGTCAGGAAAATTTTGGTCTAATTTTTCCCGTTTGTTGGAATTTTTGTATGTTTTTCCTAATGTCAGAAAAACGAAAAACCAAAATTTGGGTATAATTCTGAGTAGGGTTGTCGAATCGGGCCTAAGATATTTGGCCCGAAAAAGACTCGTACCGGCCCGACTAGATAAAAACAAGCCCGAAAAAAATGCCTTGACCGTGGCCCGTCTCGAAAACGGCAGCCCTAATTCTGAGAGATACTTTTAGTAATTTTAAAGTTTGGGTTTTATGTATATTTTTAGATATGTAAAAGTATTTTCTATTATTTTCTAAATTATATCTTATACCAAAGCTATAATTTTGAGTACACTGTATTTTTATTTTACGTTTACACTTCTTTAATTTAAAAACAAATAATTACTTTTTTTGAGATTTATGCGCCTTAAGGCATTAATTCCCATTTTGGTAAATTTTATTGTTTTTCATTAAATCTTACTACTATATTAAATTTTTTATTTGAAATTTTTGCAAAAAATAAATTAGAAAATAATAAAGAAAAATTGAGGGGGTGTTGGTAATGATGATACTAATAAAAAAATATTTTAAGAACAAATAAATATGTAAATAAATATTTTTTTCTAAAAATATTTTTGGAGGATTATTTGTTTTTATTTAAATTATTTAAAGTAAATAGTACTTTTTTCCATAAAAATTTTTTTTTAATTAAAAAAATAGAAAAAGGGCGTTATCATTTACGGCTTTAAAGAGCCAAATAATTAAATATTTAAAACAAAATTTATTTTTTAAAATAAAATTTACTTTCTTGTAAATTTTATGTATGTTAAAATGTTTGTATGCTACAAGAATTCTTTAAAAAAATTCTGAAATAAACTTAAAATAAAAATTAATTTTTATTAGATTATTAACTAATTTGAAAAATTTTTTTGGAATAAAATTATTAAATAAATTTCAAATTAAAATGACAAATATGTATTTAAATTTAATTTCAATTTTAACTTTTTTTGTAAATTTAGTTTTTTAATAAAATTAAAAAATAATTTCTTTTTAAAATTTTATAATTTTTGATTTTATTTTTGTTTAGAAAAATTTTTTAAAAATAAAATATTTCTTTTATAATATTATTTTTTTAAATATGCTACATTGTTTCATTAAATAAATAATTTTATTAAAAATATTTTTTGGAAGTTATATTTTAGTGTTTTTTTAATTTTAATTTTTAATTTCCAAAATTTAAAAATTACAAAACTAAACTAACAATTAGTAACATAATATAAATATTTTTTAATTTAAAAATATTTCTTTTTATTTTTTAAAATATTTTCAATATTTATTTAAACGTAAAAGGGATATAGATTAATTAATCTTTCCCTTTCTTTTAATCTCAATTTCATTTTTAAATAGTTAATTTACTTTATTTTTAAAAAGTTTTAGTAAATTAAAATATAAAATTTCTTTTGTAATTTGTTACTTTCCTTCCGTTTTTTTAATTATATGAAAACATACAATTACCTAAATAAAGAAATTATTTTCTAAATAGAAAAGCATTAACTTTAACAAAATAAATTTACCTACTAATTTAGAAAAATAAAAATTTTTTTTAATTTTTTATTTATTGAAAATGTTTGTGAAACTAATTTTTAGATTTTTGTTGTTTTTATTTAATATTTATCTATTTAATTATTAAACAAATATTTTAATAAAATAGGTAGAGAGCGAGCTGGATTTGAATTCAGACCTTGATTCTTTCTGGATTCAGAGTCCAGATCAAGGCATTTTTCAATGTTTCTTGATTTTTCCTTGACTCAAGGTCAGGAATCTGGTCAAAGTACCCTATCGAAATTAAGGTCAAGGTTTTTTTTAAATTTCGATCTCTAAAAATAGGCATTTTAAATTTTATTAAATATCAATTTATATTTATTACTTGCAATTCCCTTTTATTTTTATTTAATTTCTTCTTCCGGAAAATGAATTAAATAAATATAATTAATAATTAAATTCTACAAAATTTTTAATTATAAATTTACTCTTAAAATATATTTCTTTTTAACTTTGCAATTTATTTTTAATTTTATTATTTTTTCCGGTTTTTAACCTTTTTTTTAATATTTTACACTAATTCTTAGAAAATATTGTATTTATAGCACCTAAATTTAATTTAAGAGCATATAATAATTTTAATAAACTTGACACAATTTAATTAAATAAAATGACATAAATTTTATAAATTTTATTAAATTAATTTTTAAATAATTTTTTATTTAAGTAAGCATTTTCTGAATAAAATTTTATTAAATATTTTAAATAATTTTAGAAAGAATTTTTGATTTTTGAATTTGTTAAATTAAAAAAAATTATTAAGAAAATTATTTTAATTTTAATTTAATTTTAATTTTAAAAAATTATTATATATTTATTTTAATTTCAAATTATTATTATTTTAATTTTCTTTATTAAAATTTATTTTAATTTTCAAAAAAAGAATAAAATATTTATTTTTTGTTTTATTATTCAGAACTTTTTTAAAAATATATTCTTATTCCTAGAATATTACTTTAATTCTTGAAATAAAAACTTTATTTTTATTATTCTTTATTTATATTTTCAAGAAAAAATTTTTTTATAAAAACTTTCTTTCGATTTCCGATCCGAAAAAAATAATCCGTAAAAAAGAATTCCGAAAATCCGAAAAAAATATCCGGAAAAAAATAATTTACCAAAAAAATACCTAGTTTCTCATTTTTTACTTAATTTTTAGATTATATTCAAAAAAATATTAAATACATACTCAACTTTTTTAATAAAATAAAAATGTCTTTTAAAATTAATTCAAACTGCACAAAAAGTATTTCTTCCTATTCCTCTTCCTTGTGGATTTTAGTCATTCTAAGTTGTTATTATTGTTTGGCAACAATGTTGATGACTAATGTTAATGGACAAATAATTCGTATATTTTTAATTTTTAAAAACACAAAGTTTTATTTAACTTTCCTTTGAAATTTCTAAAAATAGAAAAACTAAAAAATAAATTTATTTTTTGTTAAGTTTCACCGGTAGACGACAAGAGAAACTTTAATCGAGAATTTCTCCCATTTGGAAAAAGAGCAGCTTCCCCTAACAATTTCCAACGTGAATTTATGGCTTTTGGAAAGCGATCTCCTTCTGATTCGACATTTCAACGAGAATTCATGGCTTTCGGGAAACGAGAACCTAATCCTTTTCAAAGAGATTTTATGAGTTTTGGCAAGAGGGGAGCAAGTGATTTTGAGAGAGATTTTATGGCTTTTGGACGACGAAGGTGAAAAAAATTTTTTTTTGAATTTATAATTTTGTTGTGGAATAGGAAAATCAGTTGTGCGCTTATTTTTAAAGGAAAATAATAAATTTTAGTTGTTCTAAGGGATTCAGAACATTTTATGAATATTTTTTAATTTCCCTTTAATTAATTTAATTTTCAGATAATTCATGGTACTCATTTGGAGTGGAAAATTTCAATAGAATTTTTTGAAGGAGGCCAAATGATACTTCTTTTAAAATAGCCATAATGATTCTCATTTTTTATCGAAAATAAATGTCCGAAAATATTGTTTTTGAATATTAAAATAAATTCTAAACGATTAACAAAAAAGTATTCAAAGATTTTGGATTCTCTACAGAGAATGTAGAGAATCCTTATCTACAGAGAATCAAAATTTTAACTACAGAGAATCAAAATTTTAAGTAAGAAAATTTCTCAAAAATTACTTAAAACAGAGGAACAAAAAATTTAATTTAAAAATCATTGTATCTAAAATTATTCTCTGCAGTGAATATCGAATGATTTAGTATATTGATAGATTTGGTTATTCCCTCAATATCTCCTCATCGCTCTTAATTTTAGTCTTGATATCCCTGCTTTGGATTTTTTGTAGCTCAGAACTTTGGTATTATCGGTTAATATCGAAATGAATTTAATTTTAAATTTATGATGTAAAAAAGTAATAAGATGTCAAAAAGTACTAAAGATTAATTTAAAAAATTAAGCAAAAAATTTTATTCAAAGATTAAATAGAAAACATACAGTAGGGTCAAATATATAAACGAAAAACAGAAGATTTGAAATAAAAATAAGAAGGCCAATAAACCAGTCTAATGTTACTTTTTTTTCTTGGAGAATTACAGCAAAAAATAAAGCAGCACAGAACATTGAAATTAATTTCTTTAAATTAAAATAAGTTGTCGACGCATCTTTATTCTTATTTAAAACAGAATCAGAAGTTTTCTTAAAATTAAAAATTATTATTTCTTGAACATTTAATTTTAAAATCGCTTCTAGTTTGTTTTGTATTTTAAGAGTAATATAAGTTTTTTAGCTTGCTACGCTAAAATGGTTTACCTTATTTTCTTTATCGTCAACAACCACAGTCTTTTCATCAAAATTATTATCAGTCTGTCCGTCTAAGTTATCCAAGTTAGTTTTAGCATCCATTAAAGTCATAATTTGTTCATGAAGTTTGGTCTGTATTTATAAAATTAATTTTGATTTTTACTGAATAATTTAAAGAAAAGGCACACAATTTGATCGGCTATAGCTTTTTTTATTTGGATACTATCCGAATGAATCTTAAGTCATATGAAGGCTCTCGATAAGCGTTATCTTTTCTCAACTAATAAGCTTTCAATAGGCGATCAGACTTGGTACATCCTGTTAAGAAAAATCGAAAGCTTTCAAATGACATAGGATTCATTCGGATTGGATCCAACATAGAAAAACTATAGCCGATCAAATTAGGGGAAATGGGGGCGGATAACACAGATTACCCAGGAATTTTCCTATTTCCATTACTTTATGAGGCAACTTCTTCAATTATTTAGCTTTAAACAAAATTCTCTTTCAGGAAGTAAAAACTTTAATTTATATTTAATACCTGTTCTTTAATCATTTCATTAATTTGTTTCTCCATATTTTGAATTTTAATTTCATTTTCTTTAAAATTTCCCTTATTAAAATATGCAGCAACTAACAAAACAATACATAGACTAACAATAACACAAAATATATGTTGTTTATAATTACAACAATTTTTCCCCAAAACTATATTTATTGGTTTCGAATTTTGATTTGACTAGAAAATTATTTTTTTAATTTTATTTTAAATTTTTGACAAATCTTATTAGAAATAATTTTCTACTTTTTTTAATCTTAAAAAGTCCGTTAAGAATGGGTGAAGGGGCAACTCAAAGAATTCCAGATCACGGACGGATAAGTCAAGGAAAAAAGAAATCAAGGAATTCCAAATCACGGAAGTCAAGGAACAACCAACTCATGGAATGACCAAATCATGGAATATTTTAAAAATATGAAAATCTGAATATTTTTAAAAAATAAGAATTTAAAAATAAATTAGAATACTTTAAAAAACATAATTTAAAAAAATTCTGAAAAATTCTGATTTTTAAAAATATTCCATGAGTTGGTTGTTCCTTGACTTGTTCGTTCCTTGAGTTGTCTGTTCCGTGATTTGGAATTCCTTGATTTGTCTTTTCCTTGTCGTCCCTTGAGTTAGCCGTCCCTTGAGACTTGTCCATTCCTTGATTTTAGCCCGACACGGTTAAGAATTAATAATTTAAATTTAATTAATTCCAATTTTAAATAGGCTAAGTTTTTAACTTCTAATTAACACAACCTACTTCTTTCTCGTTGTCTTTATTTTCATTAATTTTCATTTGTTTGACAGTCATTTTTATTTAAAAAATCTGAAAAATAATAAAAATTTTTAAAAATAAATTAGATAAATTTTTTATAAATTAAAAAATTATATAAAATGAGTGAATTTATATAGAAGAGGTTTTATTGAGGTGGGCTATTAATTTTGAATTATTGACTTATAGTATGTATGTGAATTTGTAAGTTTTATTTAAAAAATATATGCCTAAATAAAGAATTGTGTAATATTTTTGAGGCAATTTATAGAGTAGGGGAAATTCATAAAATAAATATTTGAATTTTTTGTATATCAGACTAATGGCTATTTATGTTAAAATAAGTATCAGGCTAAATTAGGGAACAGACAAAACACGGAACAGACAAAATTCAGCTTATCAAATTACAAAACGAACAGATTATAGAACGACAAAAACACTGAACGATCTGCATTTTTAATTCTGCTGCATTAAGTTTTGCTTTTATAACAAAAAATGATTATTCAAAAATGATAAAAGATGACCTTTAGAAACTATGATCAAAAGGATTACGGGGAATTGTGGAGGGGGGATACGAGGAGATTAGAGAGGATTTGGTAGGCTATCAGGGAAAAACTAACCAATTAATACAAATAATTATTAAATATAAAATTATGTTAAATTATGCATAATACATATCTTAAAGTTCAAATTAATTGTATATTTATTTAAATATTCAAATATTTTTTTATTCATCAATTATTCTTTATTTCACATTCAATCTGATCGTTTTAACGTCCACCAGCGGGAGGGCCATAATAAGTATTTTGTCCTAAAATAATTTTTAATTTAAAAATTAAAAAATAAACTTACTAGGCACCCAACCAGTAATTTGGTCTAAAAATTCATTCAATTGTTGATAACTAGGTAAACTTCCATAAAATTCTCTTTTTACACGTTTTGGATTTTTAAGATGATTTAAATATTGTTCAATAAATTCTTTACGATTATTTGGAAATTTTTGTAAATTTTTATTATTTTTAGCATTTATTTGAATATAAATTAAGACAAAAACAAAAATAAATAAAATTAATTTATTTGACATTATTTAAATTTAGAGAGGGGGAAAGTGAGGAAATGAGTTGGTAATAATTAATTTAAAATGCTTATTTAAATATAATAAAAATATTAATTGTGTGGTCTATTCAAGCATTTGTGTAAATTTCAAAAATTAAATTTTTTTAGAATTTTCAAAAAAAGCGATAAGCTTTGAATTATTCTTCGATAAATTTTCTAAAAATTTGTTCAGCTAGTCTATTTTTTAAATATTAGAAAAGGATGTACCTCAAATAAAATTAGATTATTTTTTGCTTATTTTAACTATTTATGGAAGGTTTTAAACTTCGAAAATTAAAAAAAATTTCTAAATGAAAATTGGTCTAAATTATAATTATTTGCACAAATTAGATAGCCTAAAATGGACCACACGCAGAATAATTAATTGTGAAACTATTTAAATTAGCATAATCAGACGATAACTAACACAACCAATTCTCCTCATCCATAAGTAATTAAAAATGCTAAATAAATTATTTTTCCTTAATTTAATTTTTGTTTTGATTTTTTGTACAATAATTAAAGCAAATGAAGAAGAATTAAAGAATCCTCCCCAGGAAGATCCTTCCATTCTTTTCGAAAAATATTTAAATCATCTTAATAATCCAAAACGTGTAAAAAGAGAATTTTATGGCCGTTTACCTAGTTATCAACAATTAAATGGATTTTTAGACCAAATTACTGGTTGGGTGCCTAGTTAGTTTAGTTTTTAATTTTTTTATTTAAAAATTATTTTAGGACAAAATGCTTATTATGGCCCTCCCCATGGTAGACGTTAAAATGTCAAGTTGAGTTTAAAGTAGGGTTGTACCCCGAACGCTCGGGGGCGGGTATGTCGGGGTACGGGGTTTTCCAATTGTTTCGGGGCGGGGTTCGGGTCGGGGGAGCAAAATATGGCCGGGGTTCGGGTCGGGGTACGGGGGTTTAGTGGAAAAATTTTTAGAGAAAAAAATGCTCAAAAATAATTAGAAATCGATATATTTTCGTTGATTTATTCAATTAAGTAGGATTTAAAGAAATTAGAGGGGATTTGAAGGGATTAAAGTGTATAACTTGGGATATAAGTGGATCTGGTGGGATTAAGTGGGATTTTTAGGGATTAAATGGTATATTTAGGGATACAAGGTGATCTGAAGTGATTTTTGTTGGTTCAAAGAATATTAGTGATTTATAAAAATATTGATGTATTGCGGATAAGGGTATTTGGACGGATATCAGGAGATATCTCCGATTAATCCTTAATTCTCCCACGAAATCCTTGTTAATTCCGTTAAATTCACGTAATCCTTTCAAATTCATTTTAATCTAAACCTTAGATCCCTTTAAATCACTTTATAACTCCTTAATTCTTCGATATCCTACAAATCCCTTTATATCTCTGATTCCCGTTTTCCAACTGTTATGGTTGAGAACAGGTGATACAGGAGGTTTGAAGGATTAAGGATGGTTCAAGGGATATCAGTTAAAAATAAAATTATATAATATTTTCAAATTAAAATTTAACTGTTAATTAGAGAGCGAGCTGGATCTGGAACCAGACCTGATTTTTCCTGGATCCAGAATCCAGATCAAGGCATTTTTCAGAGTTCCTTGATTTTTCCTTGACTCAAGGTCAAGAATCTGGTCAAGGTACCCAACTGAAATCAAGGTCAAGGATCAAGGTCAAGGATCAAGGTCAAGGTTTTTTGAAAATCTCGCTCTCTACTGTTAATAATTTGTTTTTGTAAAGAAATATAAAAAAAGAGAGTTCTCCTTATTGGATCCGAACCCAATCCTATATTAATGAAATATCGGCTAAAACCAACGACTAAGCCACTCAACCACAAGTCTCTTAATAAAGAAGGAAAGAAAATTATGATATTTCATTCATTATTCTTTTAAAAATATAAAAGCAAAGTATAATGGGTGGAAATTTTTTAAATTTTCTTCATTAATTTCTCCAAAAAATGACATTTTTTAGGAGTATAAAACCCCGATAACCCCGAAACTTTTTGGGCCGGGGAACGGGGTTTTCACTTTTTTTCGGGGCGGGGTTCGGGTCGGGGAGAATCGTGAAAAAATCGTTCGGGAACGGGGTCGGGGTTCGGGGTACGGGGTCGGGGTACAACTCTAATCTAGGGATACAAGGTGATCTGGAGAGATTTGAGGTTCAAGGGATATTAGTGATTTATAAGGATATTGATGTATTGAGGATAAGGGTATTTGGACGGATATCAGGGGATATCTTCGATTAATCCTTAAATCTCCCACGAAATCCTTGTTAATTCCGTTAAATTCACGTAATCCTTTCAAATTCATTTTAATCTAAACCTTATATCCCTTTAAATCCCTTTATAACTCCTTAATTCTTCGATATCCTACAAATGCCCTTTATATCTCTGATTCCCGTTAACAGAACCTCGATAGTTTTCCAACTGTTATGGTTGAGAACTGGTAATACAGGGGGTTTGAAGGATTAAGGTTGGTTCAAGGGATATCAGTTAAAAATAAAATTAATATTTTCAAATTAAAATTTGACTCTTTAATAATTATTTTTTGTAAAAAAATATAAAAACAACGGAGTTCTCCTTATATGAATCCGAACCCAATCCTATATTAATGAAATATCGGGTAAAACCAACGACTAAGCCACTCAACCACCAGTCTATTAATAAAGAAGGAAAGAAAATTATGATATTTCATTCATTTTTCTTTCAAAAATAATAAAAGCAAAGTAAAATGGGTGAAAATTTTTTAAATTTTCTTCATTAATTTCTCCAAAAAATGACATTTTTTAGGGGTATAAAACCCCGATAACCCCGAAACTTTTTGGGCCGGGGAACGGGGTTTTCACTTTTTTTCGGGGCGGGGTTCGGGTCGGGGAGAATCATGAAAAAATCGTTCGGGAACGGGGTCGGGGTTCGGGGTACGGGGTCGGGGTACAACTCTAGAATAAATGCACAATAAAAAATTTCACAATCCATTTTTCTGAATAAATTTAATTTAAATATTAATTATCTTTTTACTAAATTTAAAATATTGAGCGTGCAATAATTTTGAACATCCAACCAATTTTGAAAATTTGAACATCCAATAACAATAATAATTCTCTAATTGAAGCACATGCGCTTCTATTTTTTGATCCTCTCGTAGGGTATGCTTCAATTAGAGCATTTACGGAAAATTTGAGTTGAAAATATTTTCGTCATTAAATCATTTAATATTTTTGGCATTTTGTAAACGACATTAAATCCGGTATAGCCTGATTCAGAGAGTGACACGACAATTGTACAGTCTAATAAAAAATAATTAAACTGACTTAAATTATTTTAACCACGGCCAAATAAATATATACTAATTTAAAAATTAAATCTAAAATAAAAACAATTTTAAAAAGCTCAAAATTAGTTATCAATTATTTTTTTGAAAGTTAAAAATATTTCTAAAATAAAGAGTTTTCCTACAGTTAAATTTGATTTAAAAATATTCGCCAATAAATTATTTAATATTTTTGGCATTCTGTTTAAAAAATAAATAAATGACATTAGATTAGAGATCGGAACGGGATCGGGACCCGGTCCCGTTTCCCCGTATCCCCTCAAAATCTCTATTCCTTAAAATCTCTACTGGGCTAAAATGCCTTATAATCTCTACACAGCTAAAATGCATTAAAATCTCTACTCGGCTAAAAATGATTAAAATAACTATTCCTTAAAATCTCTATTCCTCATAATCTCTACAAGGGTAAAATGCCTTAAAATCTCTACACGGCCAAAAATAGGATAAAATATCTATTTTTTCATTCGGAAGCCTTTTGAGTGCCAACGTTCAGTGCGGAAACGTTGTTCTGATTTATGGCTTATCTTTTGATATTATTTTGTTTGTATTGTTTTTGCCGCTGCGGATGAACCCAGGCATGTCCAGCGGAACGACAGCAGCCGCTTCGATACGATCACCGCAAGCAAAATGAACACGACCGCAGCGAAGCAGTCGTGTATTATATCTTCGATATTTACAGCGGATACAAGCAGATATCCGCAGCCATTTTTAAATCAATTGTATCCGTATCCATTACCAAGTCTGGGTTTTCCAATGAATAGTTCATATTTTACACTTTTGTTGAGACTCTACCGTCCATTTGCACGGTGTAGAGATTTTAATTATTTTTACCCCAGTAGAGATTTTAAGGAATAGTTATTTTAAAGAATAGAGATTTTAAGCATTTTTACCCTAGTAGAGATTTTAAGGAATAGCGATTTTAAGGAATAGAGATTTTGTATGGGAGCCCGTTTCCCGGTTTCCCGGTCCTTTTTCCCGGCTTTTTTGAAGATGCCGGGATGAAACCGGGATCGGGAATTCCCGGTTTTCCCGGTCCGGGTCCCGGCCGGTTAATTTTCATTTCCCGTTCCCGATCCCGGCTTTTTTTGGACCGGGAAACCGGGAAAAATTTTAGCAGCAAATTTTAAATATTTTTGCTTGGCGTTTTGATTTTTGACTTAAAAATATTGAAGATTTTACAAAAATTCTCAAAATTTTCGCCTGCGGCGCTGAAAAAGGATGAAATTTGGCTGTTTGGCCTTCCAAAATTCTCAAAATTTTCGCGGAAGAATTTGGAACGGAGAAATTTGGAGGTATTATTGGAGGAAAAGTTGAGGGAAATTAGTTTATAGTGCGATTTTATCAAAGGACCTGGTGATTAGCCTTCTTTATCCCTCTAAATCCATTAGATCTGCCTTAATCATATGATATCATTGCCTTCCAATTGAAGGGATGTGAATAGATATCAGGTGATACAGGTGGTTGGAGGTTTTTCTCCATACTCTCGCTTAATGCTACCCAACAAATACTTGAATCTCTCGATATCTCTTTTAATCCCTGATATCACTATTGCACAGAGAAGATCAGAGTGGATTTGGAGGGATTAAATAAAAATTAAATCAGCATCAAGGTGGATCACGAGGGATTAAAGGGAATTAGATGAGGAATACATATAGGCAATATAGAAAATTTGAGGAGGCTATCGGGAGATCTTAAACTCTAAAATCTCCTGATATCCCACAATCCTTCTCTAGCCTCTCAAATCCTTTTAGCCCTACGTAATCCGCTTAATGTTTTAATTTATTGTAATTTACATTTGTTTTATTGATTATTTATTAAATTCTGCTATTTATAAATCAGATTTTTCAATAAATAACTACTCCGATAACTTTTTAAAATTTTTAAATGAATTTAAAATTTTTTTTAAATTTCCCGGTTTCCCGGTCCGGGTCCCGGTCATTTTTGACCGGGATGAAACCGGGAACGGGAATTCCCGGTTTTCCCGGTCCGGGTCCCTCCCGGTCGACCTTCAGAACCCGTTTCCCGGTTCCCGGTCCCGGTTTTTTCAAAATTCCGATCTCTACATTAGATCCCAGTTACACGTTGTTTTCCCAAAAGTTTGTTAGAGACAGCTAAAATCGCGTTTCTGGATCCCGCATGCGGGATTTTTTTAATTTTTTGCGGGACGGAATCCCTCTGGATAAATCCAAAAATCCCGCAAATCGAAAAAAGTGCGGGATTGCGGGACGGGATCTCGCAAAATCCCGCGCGGGATCCCGTCCCGCACCGGTCTCTAGTTTGAGTATTATTTTGTTTTTATTTTTTAAGTAAAATTTTAATTTTTAGATTATTATTTTTTTTATTTAAAAATGGTTCTTATAGCCGCTTCTGTTTTTACAAAATCTGGGAAAGGTTTTTATTTCTATTTGGACTTTAAAATTAATTATATAATTTATTTAAGCGTTGGTTACTCGCCAATATGTGGCTGACATGACAAGGGCTAGATTAGAAGGACTTTTGGATGCCTTTCCAAAACTTGTGACTTCTGACAAAAGTTTGTTTTTATTTTTAATTAATTATTTTTCCTCAAATTTTCAGCAAATATCCCTTTAGGTACAGCCCAAGTAGGCGCTCAGCCAAAACGGCGCAAAGTATAACTTTCTTCAAGATTTTCAAATCCTTCCCAATTTGTATCAGACGATTCCTCTCATCGAGCTAAAGAGATTGATACCAAAATTGTTATGGTCCAGAAAATTTTCAACTGCTAGTTATGGCTGCGCCTGTTTGGTCGCGCGCCTACATGGGCTTGTCCTCCCTGTAGAGTTATCCACAATTGATTTTTTGTTCGAAATTAAAACAAAACTGAGGAGAGTTAGTGTGGAATTTATAATCTCGATTTTCATTTCTTTCCAATTTTGTTCTAATTTGGAAACTAATAAATCAATTTTTGATAAAATATATGAGAATATTTGGTGAAAATATAACCCGTGAATTTTTCAAAATTTTTTCATTCAAATTTAATTACAAAAATTAGGTCAACGTCAGCATACTTTTGTCGAGACAGACAGTGTTCGTTATGTTTATCAACCAATGGATAGTATTTATATGGTTTTAATTACAACAAAAGCTTCAAATATTTTGGAGGATCTGGAAACTTTACGCCTTTTTGCTCGTTTGGTATTTTTTAATATTTTTTTCGTGGCATCTTAAGTTTTTTAAGGGAACTGAAAAAATTTCTTTTAAATTTTGAAATTTTTAAGGAATTAAATTTTTTTGGATTTTCTCATTCTTTTTTAATTTTGACTTGATCAAAGCTATTACAATTTTATCGAATATTATAAAAAAATTTTTCCATTAAATTTATAGATTCCTGAATATTGTCGTTCCAATGAAGAGTCAGAAATTGCAAATAAAGCATTTGATTTAATATTTGCTTTTGATGAAGTTGTTGTTTTGGGTTATCGTGAAAGTGTTAATTTGGCACAAGTTCGGACTTTTACTGATATGGATTCGCATGAAGAACGAGTTTTTAATCAAATGCAAATTGTTGGTTTTTATTTAATAAAAAAGGTTTATTTTTCACAATTTTAGGCTCAACAAAAAGCTGCATTGTCTTTGATGAAAGAAAAGGAAAAAGAAATTAAACGCCAAGAAAAACTAAAAAAGCATTTGAAGAGTGGGATTTCAGGTTTATTCTAATTTTTGAATCCAATGGTGGGATTTTGGATTGGGTATTATTAGTAGGGTAGCAACCGGGTTCCAGTCGAATTTTTAGGCAAAAACTCCGACCTAACCCCGAAGACTACCCTGACATACCCCAATCCTCGACGCCCATTCGCAAAGGTCGGGGTGCTACTCTAATTATTAGGAGTGCGCCAATTCTTAGTATTTGAGCCTTTATTTAGCTCCTTTTTAGGAAAAAATTTTAATTTTTATCTTTGTTTTTCACAAAAAATTTTCCTTTTTTTAAATCTAATTTTGATATTGAATCTTTTAAAGATTTATAACTTTTTTAAGGAGCTGTTGCCTCAGCAAAAGGAATTAGTTCTGCCCAGGCCCGTGCCGAAATAACTTCCGCTATAAAAGATTCGAACGAAGGGAGTGGTGGAGGCATTTTCAGTTCATTTAAAAAGCCAAATTTAATTTCTGGCGGTGGAAAAGCTCTTAAATTGGGTGCTAAATCTGGTGCAAATGAAGATGCATTTTTACAACAATTATGTGCTGAAGGGGAAAAATTGAGTATTGGACAGTCTTTAAAGGTTTTAAAATGATTTTTTAATTTGTAGTTCTTTTTAAAAGAATTTTTGTTTATTTTTTTGGTAAATAGGAAAATAAAAACATATACCGTATTTATTCTAATAGAATGGCCGCCACTCTATTTTTCGATACCCCCAAAAGGGGGCCATTCAATTGGAGGGGCCATTCTAATGGAGGTGGCCATTCTATTTTTCATAGGTTAAAATCTGAGATTGGATAAATCTATTGTCCAATCGAATATTTTTCGACATCGAAATTCAATCAATTTTTCTTGTAAAATTCTTTATTTTCGATTTTGGTTAGTGAATTTTCCCATTCGTATCACTATAAAACATAAAAGCCTTTTGCCGGCTAGCTAAAAAGGCAACTTTTGATTTAATTCGGTGCCACACAATCAAAATTTCCTATGTGTCCCTGCAAGTCCCCTGATAAAATGAATGTATCCAACTAAGGTTGTCGGATAGTTGGAAATCTTCGGATATCCGGATCCGATATCCTAACCGTGTCCGACAACCTTATATCCAACTTCCTTATATAGTCCAAATTCATAAATATCTATTAATTCTCCTAATCCCTTGCGTCTTCATTAAAACGTTGTAATTTCTTGATATCCCTCCTAATCCTCTCAAATCCCCTAATATCCCTCTTAATCTCCCTTTTATTACTCCAGATTTGCTTAAAAATATTATGATTATCCTAACTAAAGATACTATTTAACAGGTAATAAGAAAATAAAGAAATTTATTAGGTATATGTTTTGTAGTTAAAAGGGCCATACTATTGGAGGGGCCATTCAAATAGAGGTGGCCATTCTATTTTTCATTACCCCCCAAAAGAGGCCATTCTATTGGAGGGGCCATTCTAATGGAGGGGCCATTCTATTAGAATAAATACGGTAGTTTTCAGTCGGCATGTGGTTATAGTAGGGAAAACCTATGAAAAATCTCTGGGGAGGGGCAGTGGGATCGTTTTCGGCGGCAAACTTTTGACACCAAAGGCGTAAAAAATTCTGATTTTCAGGGTGCAGGCGAAAATTTTTAGAATTTTGAAGGTTGTGGGCTTTTTTGACTGTTTAATCCTACAAATTTTAAAATATTCAAAAAAGTTTGTCCAGTGTTATCTTTAAATGAATTAATTTATTGCCGCACATCCGAGCAGAATGGCTGAATTTTCATACATTTTTCGATCAATATTTTGATCACAATATTTAAAACAATAACAATATTTTAAAATCACTTTTTATTAACGATAATAAATACAATCTTTAGTCGCAAGGAATATCTCAAGTTGTCGAAGCTGTCGATAAATCCTCTAACGGAAAAGTTCATTTCAAATGCAGTGAGAAATTAAATGCTTCCATTACTCGTTTGGGAGTGCTTACATCTGCCGAGGTCTTTGATTTTTGTTTTCAACTCATAAAATTTGTAATTCCTCTTGTTTTTCTGTTTTAAGATTCAAGGCTCAATTTCTTTGGCCATTTCTGATTCACAATTCAATACTGTTGTTATTAAAATTACTAATGACATGGCTAAATTACCCGGATATTCTGATCTTGTTGACGATGAGGGAAATATTAAAGGCGCTAGAATACAGGTTTTTTTATCTATTACTGAAAGATAAAATCTGTTGGAATCGAATATCAAAATTCAGAGATTTTTCGTTTTACTTATTTTTGATTTTCCTATTTTTGATATTTGAATTTTTATAAATATTTTAATAATTTCAAAGGTTCATCCAAACCTTGATAAAAAAGAATGGCAAAACAATTCTGTTCTTCGTTTAAAATCTGAACAAAAACCTTACCCTGTTGATGTCGATGTTGGTATACTTAAATGGAGTGTAAAAGTAAATGATGAATCAATTCCATTGACTTGTTTGTTATTTTTTTACATTTTATTCAATTTTGTAATTTAAGTAAATTGTTGGCCAAATGTATCACCCGATTCTTGTGTGGTTAGTATTGAATATACTCTTCAACGTACAGATATGGAACTTCGCAATGTTCAAATAACGATTCCATTACCGTAAAATATTTTTTTAATTTTTACGAACTTTTTGAGGCTACGTAATTATGAACTTTTTGACACTACATATTTTTTTTCGATTCTATCCTCGGTGGTCTCACAATTTTAAATCATTGATACACTCAAATTAATCCGTAATTTAAGTGTGAAAATCCACAAGCTCGCGTTCATTACATTAGGTGTTAAAAAATGATCTTGAGAAGACTTTTTTTAATTTTTCATTTAATTTTGTACTAGGTCGTTTCATAAAAAAGTTCGTTTTTTTTCACCGCATGTTTTTTAGTTGATAGCCATTTTTATCCGAGTTTGTTTTTATTTTGTAGCCCAAAGTCTTAGCTTCATAATGAAACTAAAATTTAAAAATAGAATTGCTTGAGATTTATCAATTTTTCCTGGAAAATTTATTTTTGAAAAAACGAACTTTTTTATAAAACGACCTAGTAATATCGCACAAAAAGGAAAATAATAAAATTGCGGATTCTGGGCCGCGTAAATGAAAACCATTACCTAATCATCTTTTACAATTTCAAATTTTATTACTAATTTCCCCTTAAAAATTTATTTAGACCCGCAACCACTCCACTTATTTCTGAATGTGATGGATCTTATGAATATCAAAAATCCAAATCCCAACTTGTTTGGAGTCTAACTTCAATTGACAAAACAAACAAAAATGGAACATTAGAATTTTCAACCCCAAATGGGCATGCCGACCATTTTTTCCCAGTTAATATTCGTTTTGTGTCTTTGGATTCTTTTTGCAAAATAACGGTGTTTTTTTATTTGAAATTAATTTTATAAAAAAATTAATTTTTAGGTTGATAGTGTTGAAAAGGGACAAGAAAGTGAACAAGTTGAGTTTACTAGTGAACATTCTTTAATTACTGAAAAATATGAAATTGTTTGATTTTTGTAGTTGAGAGAGAGTGAGTGGATATATAAATTGTGATTTTGTTAAAATAAAAAATAAATGATTAAAAAAAATTGGGGGGAATTTGTGTAAATTTGTAAACCATAATATTTAATTTAAATAAAATTTTGATTAAAATTGAAGTCTAATCCATCTTTAATTTTTTATCCATATAATTGGAGGTTGTAATAAGTAAGATTTAAGCTGATGTTTTTCACATTTATCGAGTTATAACTTTTTAATGGGTGATCAGACTTGATCCATCATGTTGGAAAAAAGATACCGTTTATCGAGGGCTTTCGAATGATATAAAATTCATTTGTATTGGATCAAGCATTAAAAAGTTGAAGCCGATCAAAATCGTCTGGCACTCCGTTTGCGGTCGTATAAAGGAAAAGGGTAATAGTGTCGTTTCCCAGCCCCCTTTTTTTCCTCCCAATTTTCTACCCTATGTTTGTACGGAATGGTCAAATTTTCCCCTTTCTTTCATCAAATTTGCCTTTCCATATTTTGAGTAATGAGAAGAATCAAAAAAGATTAATTTTTTATTCATTTCTTTCACAAGGATAAAAAAGTGAGACATGATGCCAAAAATTATAAAAAACATTTTCAATATTGCCAAATCGTTTTCGCCACATAAATTCCGGGAGATAACTTTTATAGGTTTCAGTGTTGTTGCCAGCTTGATGTCTGAATTTTCGCCATGCATCGAAATCATTATCACTCAAACGTAATTTTTCATATAAATCAATAGGTTTGAAATTCTTTAGTTCTTCCATTTTTATTAATTGGGAAAATGATTCTTCTCATTACTCAAAATATGGAAAGGCAAATTTGATGAAAGAAAGGGGAAAATTTGACCATTCCGTACAAACATAGGGTAGAAAATTGGGAGGAAAAAAAGGGGGCTGGGAAACGACACTATTACCAGGAAAAGTACCGAAATTTCTGACAATTTTGCTGCTCTAAACTTGTTGCTTTATTTGTTTTTAATTTTCTCTCGAATTTTTAATTTTTAACATAAAATTTTCGCATATATATCTTAATAAAAGGGTTTGAATAAAACAACAAAAAACAGTCAAAAAATAATAATTACTGCCTTTTCCTCTCTAATTTTTTTTCAATTGTTTATTGTTATTCAAATAATAGCTTAAGTCGAAAATAATTAAAGAGTAAATTTTAAATTATTTTTGTTAAAAAAATATTTGAAAATTTTGGAAAAAAATTTTTTAACGCCATAAAAGGGCATTTAAAAAATAATTTTATAATAATTAAATATTTCCATTCATTTAAATTTTTGTTTGCCTTTCTCATACATTTTTAATATTAAAATAACATGCCTTTATGGGAATATTAAAAACTTTATAGTAAAAGTCAACCGCGCACAAAAATGCTATTTTGTAAAGAGAAAAGGGAGTGGAGGAAAAATACAATAAAAATAAATAAAACAATAATTAAATTTTATATATGTATTTTGGGTTTATTTTTGAATTCTATTTAAATTTATTCTTAATTTTTTATGAAATTAATTATTTAAACCAGATGAGTATAGTAAGGTTGTACATAAACCGTAATGTTTCGGAGGAAGTTCCGGTAAGCCGGAAGTTCCGGGATTTTTTGGTTCCGGTTCCGGCGAAACACTAATATGTATATCTGTTATTATTACTCTAAGTTTTCGACTAATCCAAATTTATAAAACCTCGGTTTTCGGTTTTAAATTTTGCTTGTTTTATTTTGGCGGAATTTTTAAAAATTCACTTGTTTTCAAAAAAATTTTCCTGTTTCTGTTTTTAAAATTTAGTAAATTTTTGGCAAGAATTATCAAAATTTTTGGATTTAAAACATAACTAGAGGGCTTTTATAACTAGAGGGCTAATAAAATATTTAAAATTTAAAATTAAATGTTTAAAAAATATTTTTAATCAAAGACCAAAAAATAAATTAATTAAATATTTTTATTTTCAAACATTTTATTTTCTTTTAAAAAAAGGCTAAGAGAAATAACAATTAATTTTTTTATTTAAATATAATAAAAATTGTTGTGTCATTCACCGATTTTATTCTTTTTTATTATTTGGCCCAGAGACCAGTGTCGGTCATTTTCTTTTATTTTTTAAAATTCTTTTGAATTCTTTTATAAAGGTATATTTTATTATTTTTGCCTTTCTAATTTTTATTGCCTTTATAATAATTATTGTTAAATGTTTTAAAATATATTTTCTATTATAGTTTTTTTATGTTTTTGCACACACCTTTATAGCACAACTGATTTTTTTGCATTACACCTGATTTTAAGTAAAATGAAATTTCTGAATTTTAAACAAAAATTTTTTATTTTTTCTTTTGTTCAAAAATTAAATTTTCTTTATAATTCGAATTAGTGATCGGAATTTCGTACCGTACTACCGATATATGGCATATGGCACATACTACCGATAATTTCGTGCCATACTACCGATAAAAAATATGGCCGTAGTACGGTGCGGTCCAATCACTAATTTAAATTTATAAAATAAATCAGATGCCCCCTCCCCTATAATTTTTAATATTTGCTACCTAATTTTATTTAATTAATGTCCCCAAAAACCAATTGTTCCCTTCATTAATTTTTATTAACCTTTTCCTATTAACTACCTTGTTTCTTTCTTGTTTTGTCCTTTCCCATTCTAATAAAAAATGTTTTTTAACAAAGGTCAAAAAATAAATATTTTATGAAGAGTTTGGGAACAAGTCTGTTAATTAATGTTCTTTTTTAAATCAAAAATCTTTTTGAAGAGAACATTTGTTTTTTTTTAATATTTAAAAAAATTTTTTTACATAAAAAACCCTTTGGTCATTTAAAAATAGCTTGAACACCTGTTTATTTATTTTTTAAAGAATTTTTTATTCTTTTGTATTGAAATCGGTTTTTTTATGATTATTACTAGGGGTTGGACATGACCAGTTTTAAAACCTGAATTTTTGATATTTTTGCCTTAAAGAACCGTTTTTAGAAAATTTTAAAAACAGAAAACCGGAAATTTGTGAAAATGTGTGTGATTTTATTAAAAATTCACTCCAAAAAGCTGGTATTTATCTAAAACTCAAAATCGGTAACCGGGTATTTTAAAATTAGATTAACCGAAAACCCGTGGGTACGGGTTAATAACCGGTTGTGTCCATCCCTAATTACCGTATTTAGTCGATTAATTCCCCTGGGGTATTATTTTTTCAACCCATCCGTGGCATGGGGAATTATTCAAGGGAGGGGGAATTAATCGAGTTTAGAAAGTTGAACGTGTAGTAGGGTATTTGGGGGAGGGAGATTGTTGTTTCAACTCATCCGCGGCAGGGGGAATTATTCGAGAGAGGGGAATTATTCAGGGGAGGGGGAATAATCGAGTAAATACGGTATTACTATAAAATTAATTTTTTTATTTAATTTATTTTTTCTTTACCCGAGCAGGATTAAAATTTTTTGAATTTAAAAAATAAAAATATTTCAAGAATTTTTAAATGCCTAAAATCTTTTCAATTTTTACGTTAAAAATATTTTTTCTTATATTTTTTTTATAAAAATTTCTCTAAAAGTAAAAATTCTCTTAATAAAAGGCAAAAATATGACCAATTCTTATGAGAATTTAGTAAAAACCACTACTATTTATATTTATACTAAAATGCAACAATGCCTTTTTTATTTTTTAGTTCTGAAAAAAAGAGAAATAAAAAAAACAATAAAATGTGACCTTTAAGTCCTCAAAAATAAGTGGAAGAAAATTTTTTCTTATCTTTATTTTATTTTTAATTAAATTTTTTGCTAAAACTACAGTGCTGTTCAAAATTATAAGCGCACTTTAAAAAATTATATGTATAACTCAAGACCGAATTAACCAAATATTATCAAATTTTTAATTAAAATACTAAAATGTATTAGAAACATGACGATATTAAAATATTTCGAAATTATTTAATTCAATTTTAAAAAATTCAATTTTTTCAAGTGCGCTTATAATTTTGAACAGCACTGTATGATTGTCAACAAAATCATGGTTTTGTAATATTTTCGATTTCGAACTTTTTCAAAAATTTAATTTTGTGTCGCTAAATAGGAGTGAACATTTATCTTATTTTGTGATAAAATTTACTCAAAATTCTGACTCAAAATTATTTTGACAAGGATTTTTAAAATTTTAAAAGTTGAAAAAATAAGTTTCAAATATACATATTTATCCAAAGCTCGATTCACAATTAATTTTTATTTTTTTTATTTTGCGGTATTTTTCTTTTTTTTCTTTTTTTTTGCAAACATTTGTGGATGGATCTACAAATATACCTATTTGTTTTTTTCTTTAGTACATATTAAATATTTCCATCAATCAAAACAATAAATAATCAAAAAATTCTTCTTTTATGTATTAAATGAGGAAATATTGAGGGAGGATATTAAATCACTCAAAAAAAGAAAAGAAATTTTTTGACCAAAAGCCTGATCCTTATAACAAATTTAAACTTAATTTAGTATTTTTTACTTTTTTATGGCCAACAAAATTTGTTTTTGATTATATCAAATTACAGGTGCAAAAAAAATGAAAATTATTTTAAAAATAAAATTTAGACAATTGTTTTTTAGTAATTTTATTTTTTTTTGATTCTGTAGAGAATAGTTTAAATGCGGAAATTTTTAAATTAATTTTTATAATAATACATACACCTTTATTATAGATATTTTTTCTTCGAACAGAACCTTTCTTATCAATAAAACAACATTTTCCTAACTAGAGAAGTTATCTTTACCAGAATTTCTATTCTAAGATTCTACATTTTAGGGCATTTAAAAATTGCGGATGGTTTGTTTAAGTTTTTTGGACCTAAATTTTTGATTTTTTGCCTTAACTATCAATTAGAACCCTTTATTAGAATTGTACCTTTTGGTTCAAATAAACATAGAAGTATACATTTAACCCTTCTGATATGATACCTCCTTCGGGTTCACTCTCCTAAATTCGGTCCCAATGTGTGATTAGAGAACTTTGATTGCACAGTAAAGATCACTCCTTACTTATTAGTGATATAGCCAAGATAAAAATTAAATTCCCTATTTCGTGAGTCGAGTCGGCTAGATTCCTGCTAATTTTAAATAAAATAATATTTAAAAATTAATTAATTTAATTATTTGCCATACATATTTTCAAAATAAAATTTTATTTTTTTTATTTTTAAATAAAAATTGTTTTTACAAAATTCATAATTAGCCTTTCCTCCTCCTTTTTATTTTTAAATAAGAGATTTGTTTTGAAGGATTTTCTTTATTTTTCTAAATTATTCTTTTTTCTCTAATTTCCTTTTAAAAAGATTTTCATTTTAATTAGAATTCAGACTTTGCCGAATTAATTTTTTTTAATTTTTTGTAAAGTTTAGCAGAAGCTTTAAATAAAACTAAATTTCATTTTATAGAAAATAATATTTTTTAAATATTTTCTTTTGCAAAATTCTTGCTTACTAATTTGTTATTTATTTCTGCAAATTTACTCTTTTTTAGTTGGTTTTTTTGTTAAAAATTATTGAAGCGAGGAAATTGATTTTTTAAAAATTTGTTTTTGGAATTCCAGAAAAATTAAGTTTTGAATTTTGAAATTAAAATTGAACTTTGTTTGAATAAAAATTATAAAAATTATTAAATTTCTTCACAAATTAAATCGTCATTTTAAGATATTTTCACTACTAGGTCCAATTAAATCTACTTTTTTTAATCTATGTAGTTGGTCACTGATTGGGGTGAGGGAGGATAGTTAACGATCTAATAAAATAATTAGACCTTAAAATTTATATCAGGAAAGACCATATCATATTTTAAAAATCATAGGCGGTAGAAACAGGAAGAATTTTCCACTAAATAAATTTTTAATTTAAAATTTTTGTTAATTTTAAATAATTGTTTTGTTAAATTTTTAATTAATTAATAAAATAAAAAAAGCTAAGAGACACATTCTCCCAATAAAATTAGTTTCTCAATTTATTATATTATTTATAAATGATTAATTACATTATTAACATTTGCTGAAACCTCTTTTTGCTATTTAGTAATTTTAAATAAATTGCAACAAATGTACAATGATTAATTATTTCATAAAAAATATTTTTTCTTTTAACTCTAAAAATTAAGCTATTTGATTTTTTAATAAGAAATGCATAAAAAAATTCAACTTTACTAGGGATGTCCACTTCCGCCGAATTTTCAACTTTTTTTAGATTTTTTAATTTACATCTTTATGTTTCAGTATTTTTCATTTTAAGTATTATCTTCCCACCTTCAGTCTTTAAGAATCGGTTTGAAATATCCCTGATACTAACTGCTTTCAAGAAAATTATTTGAATTACTTCCTTACATTTTATCAAATGTCAAAGCAAGCCATCTTAAATTAAAATTTTAAATTTTCGGGAAAATTCCTCCAATTATGATAAACCAAAATTATGAGATTTTTTACTTACTAATTAAAATTAAAAAAGTTTTTATCGGAACAATTAAAATTAATTTTTATAAATTTCCCTCCAATATATTTGTTTTTAGTTCATATAAATATAATTTATAAACCCAATTATTAATCTTTAATGAACAAAAAACAACAATGTTGTTATTGTAATAAAAATAATTTAAATCACAACAAAATTAATACAAATAATTGTGATAAATTAACTTCAAATTTTCCTGTTGATCCTATTAAGTATTTTAATAAAATTTTAATTACAAATAATTAAATAATTATTTTTTCTTAGAGACTTTACCCAGCGTCTTCTAGATACTCAATATCTTTTTAATGAGAGTGAGGACAAAAATAAAAGAAAATATTCTTTAATTTCTAATGGTGAGGAAATTTAAATTTGATAAAATTATTTTGTTTAAAATTGAGAGCCTTAGAGAAAAAAATTCTCTCCGAGGGCATAGGAGAGAATTTTCAGAAAGGACCACAGCGATTAGCACGGATTAACAAAACTAAATTTAAAATTTAAAGAAATTTACGACAACGATGTGGATGAGGATATTAGTGGAATAGATGGAAGTGGAATACAGTCAAATGACTCGTCTACAAATTCACTTATTGAATGGAATCGTCGATTTCAACAATCTAGTCCTCATGTTTATTTTCATAAAAGTATACATACTTTTAATAAAATAAAATAATTAATTAATTTTTTTAAACCTTTGACTATATTATTAAGTAAAAATAATTAAATTAATTAAAGTCTTAGTTAATTATATTCAACATCATTTTTGAATTAAATAGAGATAGGAATTTTGAAAAAAAAAAGACCGAGACAGGAAATTTAAGAAATCCGACAAGTTCTGGAATGGTAAAAACTGAAAATTTACAATTCAAAAATATCCAGATACGACTAGAATAGGATAGGTTCCCGATCCCTTTCCAAAAAACATTAGAAATCGCTCGGTTCGATCGTTAAGAGTTTCTGTCTCTTCTATATACTTTAATAAAAATTATTTAATAAAAATTATTATTTTACCAGACAAACAAAAACCTTCATTTTCATCATTATCTAACGGTTCAATTTTTCGAATCGAACAGAAAACTCGTTATTCAACCTCAACAACCAACTCAACTTCATTATGGCCTTTAAAAAATTCTTCTCACAAAAAATGTATTTTTAAAATTAAAAATTAAATTAAAAATAATTTTTTTCAGTAAAATTAAATAAAAATAGTTCCTTCCCAACAAAATCATTTAAAACAAGAAAAAGAAAAAAACAACGAAAATCTTCAAATAAAAATACAAATTATTATTTTCCATTTATTATTATTTCACTTTTACTTCTTTCAATTATTTTGTTGGCTTATTCTGTTATTTTAATTGCTAAACAGCAAATTGAAATAAATTTACAACAATCTGATACTTTACCTCCTTATAAAAGATTACTTAGAGAGAATGTAGAAAAGGTAGTTTTTTGGATCTGAATCGTCACGAATGTTTGGAAGCTCGTACCAAAATTCGTACCTAGGGTTGTTGGTTCCTGGAAATTCTTCGGATATCAGAAACCGAACCGAGGAACCGAGCCGAAAAATCCTCGGTTCTTCGGTTCGGGTCGGTTCGGTCCAGAACCGACAACTCTACTCGTACCTGTGTAGGAGTATGAGAAAAAAATAGGCAAGTACGAGCAATTTTCAAAATTCCAAACACTGATCGTCACTCGGGATCTAAAATTATTAAATAATAGAAAAAATAAAAATTAATTTTATAGAATAACGAGACCAGCTCAAAATTAATGGAATTGTTTAATGGAACAAAAATAGTAGAAAGTCTAAAATGGATATCATCAAATATGCACGTTGCCGGTACTGAAGAACAATTGAATTTAATGAATACACTTGCAGAAAAAGTGTTTATTTAAATTAAAAATAATTTAAGATAAATTTTATGCCTTGTTAAATAATTTTTCAGTACAAATCTTTTGGCTTTAATGTACAAGACTTTGAATATTCGAGTGTTTTATTAAGTTCTCCAGATTATTCTTCACCTAATACTGTATGTAATTATTAAATTAAATTTTATAGACCTGTTAATTCCATATAAAGACTAAAAAATTTTCATTTTACCTAACCATTTTACCCAGCCATACAACATTACCCACCATTGTAGCCCTAAAATTTTATTTTAAAGATACATGCATGGAGCGACCGATATTTTCGTTGGGAATTAATTTCTAGTGGTGTTGGCAGATTGCCATTAAACACAACTATGGACAATGAATTAAAACAACAATTGGAAGACGATCCAAGAATTGTTGGTTAACATTTTAATTAGGGTTTTAAGCTTCAATCAAGCTTAAAAAGCCGGCATTTTTAGGCTTGATTTAATTGAGCCGAGCCCTACGAGTTTTTTCCAATTTTATTTTATTTCGATTAGAGCAGTTCTTTCGAAGCTCGAGTCGAGCGATCTGGCACCCTAATTCTGTTCTAGAAAAACGAATAAAAAAATAAATTTAGCATTTGTGGTGGAATGCTTATTCTCTTAATGGTACGGCACTGAGCAATTTAGTTTACGCTAATTATGGGACTAATGATGATTTTGAATTGTTAAAAAAGGTATGAAAAAATTTATATTAATTTTAAAAATAATTGGCAAAATTATTTTTTAAAGTCAAATATTTCAATATCTGGAAAAATTGTTTTAATTCGTTATGGTGGGATTTTTCGAGGAGATAAAGTATTTAATGCTGAGAAAAGAGGAGCTGTTGGTGTTATATTATATTCTGATCCTGTTGATTATGTACTTGGAAATGAGGCAAATTTTTAAAAATTATTAGTAATTATGTAAATACAAAAATTAATTAAAATAAAATTGGACCTCATTTTTATGTCTTGTATGTCACTCTCAAATTTTTCCCAAAGATTTAGTGCACAACTGAGTATTCCCACATGGATAATTCTAATCATACTAGGGATGATCTGAAAAATTAGTTCACATGGGTTTGAGTAGATATAGAGTTTGGGAAAATGGTTTTATCAGGTCGAACATTAACACAGACTAGGACATGGATACGGATATGGATACAGATAATACCAAAATGCATGCGGATATCCGCCTGTATCCACCGTAAATATCCGGATACGGATACTAAAATCAGTATCCGTGACCAGGTCTGCATTAACATAGGGGGTCGGTCTCACAACTTCTAGGTCCTCATTCACATATAATTCCAATAATAATACCTAATTTTATATGTAACTTTATAGACATTTCCCAATGCTGTATGGCTGCCTCCTTCAGGTTATTCGAAAATTTTAAAAACTCCAAAAAATATTCATAAAATATAGGAAGTCAAAGAGGGACATTATATCGAGGAATTGGTGACCCTGAGGTATAAATTAATTAAATTAACTAAATAAAACCCAAAAGAATTATTTTAAAATTATTTAATTAAAGACTCCCCTTCTTCCTTCACTTGATTATGTCCATCGTGAATTTACTGAAAAACAATTAAGATTAACGGGAATACTTCCAAATATCCCAGTAACTTGTATTGGATATCATGATGCTCAAAGAATTTTTGAAAGAATGGATGGAGAACCAGCTATTGTAATTAAATTTGGATCCATTAACAAATTATTTTTTAGTGGTCTCGTTGGTCAGGAGCTCTTCCAGTTACTTATCGTTTAACTGGAAATAATCTCTTCCGAATGGATGTTAAAACTAAAAATGTACACCGCCCAATTAAAAATTTTATAGCTAAACTTGAAGGAAGTGAAGAGCCTGATAAATGGGTTTTATTGGGGAACCATGCAGATGCTTGGTCTAAGGTGTTTTTAATTAGTTAGAAGCCGGTCAAAAGTACAGATTGAGTTTCATTAGAGGATCACAGTAAACCCCAAAAACTCGATCAAGTATTTGAACGGTTCCTAGCCAGATTTCAAGCATAGAAATTATTTTTAGGGAAGTATAGATCCAGGAACGGGAACTTCTATAATGTTGGAAATGGCTCGAGTTTTGAGTATTTATTCAAAAGAAACTGGTTGGAGACCAAGAAGGACAATCATTTTTTGTCAATGGGATGCTGAGGGTATTTAAATAATTAAGAGAAAATAATTTTAAAAAATCAGAATTTGGCCTTATTGGGTCAACAGAATGGGTAGAACAAAATTTGCTTCAATTAAAACAAAGAGCTGTTGCTTATATTAATTTGGATAATTTTAATGGAAATATGACACTTAATATAAAGGCTGTGCCTCTTCTATATAGATTAATTGTGGATGTGGCTTCTAGGCAATTTTCCTAATTTTTTTTTTGAATAATTATTTTAAAGAATTAAACACCCATCAGAATCTGAAATTAATAGTGGAAGATATACACTTTTTGATTCCTGGCGTTTTCACAATACACGTTCATCTCTTAATGGGGATAGGTTGTGTGAATATAATTAAATTATTTAATTTTGGAAAGGCTAATAAAATTAATTCTATTATTTAGAGAGGAGTAATTATAAAGTAAATATAAAATCTGATAATAATTTATAAACCCTACATAAATTTAATTTATATTTTATAAGATCACTCCCATTTATTCACCTTCCTCATTCTGGATCAGACTTTCAATCATTTATTTCACTTGCTGGTATTCCTGTTGCTGACATCAGAATGGAGAATGTGCCCTATTCATTTATGTTGTATCACACTGCATATGAAAGTAAATAAATTTGATTACAGCCGATTACTACTAAGATAAATAGATACACATTAATTTAAAATAAAATTTGGTTGATCATCGGGTAGAAGAATTGTCTAAAACTTCCAATTTAATGTACCCCTCGTTATCTTTTTCAAACCCTAAGGGTATATCTTTAAGTGAAGACTGACTAGTAAATAAGATTATTTAATTTTTAGTCCCCTGGCTAAATGAAAATTTTTTGGATACCAAAGGTTTAACTTCTGTTGCTCTTGGGCAGTTTTGGTTAGAAATTGTTAAACAATTAGCAGATAATATTGTAAATATTTAATTTTTTTAATTTAAATTATTAAAGAAATTATTTTTATTAGTTAATTCCATTTAATATCGAAGATTATTGTCTAGCACTATATGAATTTTTGGCAAGGGCTAATGCACAAATGAAGTTTGTAGTTTTGAATAAATGAGCATTGTTTGAATAAATGGGTAGAAAATCCTCAATATTTCTATTGAAAGAGAAAATTCACAAAAATAAAGCTACCAAAATAATTCGACTAGTCTGAAATAACCAGTCAGATTTTATCTAGTCTGAGAAATATTTGTACGGCTAGATCCTAAAATATCAACGCTATACTGTTTCTGATTTTATCAATATTTAAATTTTACTTACAAATTTTCACAAGGAAATTCTTTAACTTTTATTTTAACGGTTGTTCTGAAGTAGATTCTGAAGGAGATTTTAATAAATAAAAAATTATAGATTGGAAGGTGTAACAAAATTCATCAACAATACAAAACTTGACTTACTACAAAAATCCTTGGAAAGATTCCATAAATTATCAATTCCCTTTCAACAATTTATTAATGTATTTAAAATATTTTTCAAATATTTTTAATTTATTTTTATTAAAAAGGCTGTAAATAATGGGAAAATGCCAATTTCATTAATTAAACGTGAACAAATTAATCAAAGACTACTTTTATTGGAACGTTGTTTTTTAATTACAAATGTTGACAAAACTGATGAAAATAGAGAAAATAGACGACATTCTATATTTTCTGCACCTATTGAAGAAGAAAATTCCGGGGTTATTAATTTTAAATAAAATCAAAAATAAGTCTGTAATACTTCCCTTAATTTAATGATTGCTCCCACTTAACAGCTCATGACTTTTTAACAAATGATTGGATCTTGTCAGTGATGAAACAATAATTGGGTGTAATTTGATTTCTGATCTTTAGGATCCTTATCTTTTTTGTATTTCCTATACTATAAATTAGGGTGGGACAAAACCGTTTAATTTTGAAAAACCTTATATCTTTTCTGCCGTTTATTTGAACCCGTATACTGTTCCATTTAATTTTACCAGAAACCCCGGTTTATCGTATACCGTTTATTATTTAGCTAAACGGTTTTGTCCCACCCTACTATAAATCAGAAGATGTTTATTTTTATTCTAGTTCCCAAAAGAACCGGCCGATTCGATCATTCTCTAAAAGCTTTTGATCTGATAAGAGCGGTCAATCGTTAATTCTTTGACTTATTGGTGCATCAAACTATAATAACTATAAGAATTAATGAGAATTTCTGTAATTCACCCATATTTTCAGTATCCATTTCCTTTTCTGCTCGATTCTGTAATAAGGTGGAAACGTGCAATTAATTCTAACAATCATTTCGAAGCAAAATTAGAATTACAACAAATTAGTCTTGCCATTTCTTGGATACAATATGGAATTGAATGTGCTCAAGATTTATTAAAAATAGAATTAGATAATTAATTTAGAAATAAATTTTTGTAAAAAATTAGTTGATTAATTATTATCTGTTCGTAAATTTATACTAGTGTTCGGTACGGTATGTAATACCGCGGTAATTCTCGATAATACCGAAAGGTAATTTTCAGTATTACCGTTATCTTGCCGACCAAATGTTGGGAAAATCAGTAAACCTTGGTAACGTTAAATTTCAGTATTTCCGATTATCGAAAATACCCGTTTGCCGAACACTAGTTCATACTCAATATTCTTGGTAATTTTTTGAATGCAATAAAGTTTACTCAGGAAATTATTATTCGTTATACATCTTGTTATACGTATTTGTTACATCTTTATTTCAGTAGATGTGTGGAAAATTTTCTCAAAAATCAAAATAAGAATCCTCCGCCATCCTCGGTGACACGACTCGGGCATAGTGATCCATTTGCACAGTAAGACTTTTGCACAGAGGGCATCTGCACAGAGGACAATTGCACAGTAATTTGTGGTTAGGTGGATTCGTGTTAGGTTTTACTTATGTTATAAGTAGAGATATTCGCCATTATCTTTTGGCGAATATTTTTAAATTAAATTTATCTTTAGGAAAACCTTAATATTTTATTTATATTCATATTTTTATTTTAGCTGTAATTATTAAATGTTTAAAATAATTTAAGTCAGTCCAATTATTTTTTATTAAATTTTTTAAATTTCATTGTTTTTGTTTGTTATTTTATTTAATTGTTTATCACATCAGTTGTTCTTTCTTTAAACCCAACTTGATAATTTTAACGTCCACCAGCGGGAGGGCCATAATAAGTATTTTGTCCTAAAATAATTTTTAAATAAAAAAATTAAAAAATAAACTAACTAGGCACCCAACCAGTAATACCATCTAAAAATTGATTCAATTGTTGATAACTAGGTAAACTTCCATAAAATTCTCTTTTTACACGTTTTGGATTTTTAAGGTGATTTAAATATTTTTCGAAAAGAATGGAAGGATCTTCTTCCAATTTTTGGGGAGGATTCTTTAATTCCTCTTCATTTGCTTTAATTATATTACAAAAAATTAAAACAAAAATTAAATTAAGGAAAAATAATTTATTTAGCATTTTTAATTAAGGGGAATTGGTTGTGTTAATTATCCAATAAATATGCTTATTTAAATAGTTTTACAAATTAACTATTCTGTGTGTGGTCCATTTTAAGCTATCTAATTTGTGCAAATAATTATTATTTAGACCAATTTTCACTTAGAAAATTTTTTTAATTTTTAAAGTTTATGTAAGACCTTCCATAAATAGTTAAAATAATCAAAAAATAATCTAATTTTATTTGAGGTACATAAGTCCTGTTCTAATATTTAAAAATAGCCCAACTGAACAAATTTTTAGAAAATTTATTAAAGAATAATTCAAAGCTTATCGCTCTTTTCGAAGAATTCTAAAAAATTTAATTTTTGAAATTTACACAAATGCTTGAATAGACCACACAATTAATATTTTAATTATATTTAAATAAGCATTTCAAATTAATTATTACCAACCCATCCATCCCTCAGTCCTCTCCTCTCTAAATTTAAATAATGTCAAATAAATTAATTTTATTTATTTTTGTTTTTGTCTTAATTTATATTCAAATAAATGCTAAAAATAATAAAAATTTACAAAAATCCCCAAATAATCGTAAAGAATTTATTGAACAATATTTAAATCATCTTAAAAATCTAAAACGTGTAAAAAGAGAATTTTATGGAAGTTTGCCTAGTTATCAACAATTGAATGAATTTTTAGATGGTATTACTGGTTGGGTGCCTAGTAAGTTTATTTTTTAATTTTTAAATTAAAAATTATTTTAGGACACGATACTTATTATGGTCCTCCCGCTGGTGGACGTTAAAACGATCAGATTGAATGTAAAAAAAAGAATAATTTTAAAATGTTTGCACAGCGTTTTTCCATTTCCAAGCAGAGTGACCATTTTCAAAACACTAAAATAGGGCGCAGCCACTCAAAGATGTGGCAAAAATAGGGCAAAAAATAGGGCATGATTTTAAAAATTAATTGAAATCTCAAATAAAAAGCATTATTCTGCATATTTTCACTATTTTAACTAAATTGAGAATCCAGGCTCAAAATAAAGAGATCAAGTGCAAGAATCAATAAGCCCACTGCTTCAAACTTTTCTTTTAATCGTGGTCCTTATTTTTCTGTCTAATTTTTGCTCATTTAATTTTTGAGGTTGCCAGCTCGGTTCGGAAGGTCAAAAAAGTTGAAAGGCCAGATTCGATAAAAATGGACAGGCGAAATATTGAGATTATTTGAGCCAAATTTCTTCCATTATCAGTGCCGCAGGCAAAAATTTTGAAAAGTTTTGAAAGCCAGGTCAACAGATTTCTTCCTTTTTCAGCCATTTCATTTCAGAATGTTTAAAATTGTAGAACTTTACAGAATAGTTAAATAGGGCAAAAATATGGCAAATGTAAAAATAGGGAAAAAACAGGGCGAAAAGGACAAAAATAGGGCAAATGCCCTATAAATAGGGTAAAATGGTCACCCTGTTTCCAAGGGTTGGGGTCGTTTTGGCGCCGGGCCGTTTTGGCGCGAGAACAAAAAGTGGCACTTAGGCGAGACCTAAATTTATAAAATTTTTCTCAAATTTCTTTAACATCCTTGACTACCTCCTCCAGAAATTTCAGAATTTTTCATCCAATATTTCCGAAGTTATAGTCGATAGACCTAGAAAAATTAGGCATTTTGCAGAAAATCAACATTTTTGGCCACAATTTCTGAAATTCTCGATCAAAAATTCTGAAATTTTTGGAGAACGTAGATAAAGGCACGAGAGTTATTATTGCAAAATTTTATCATTTTTGATAAGCAACTCGCTATCTTATAAGCTCGCGCCAAAACGGCCCCGCGCCAAAACGGCCCAGTCCCGTTTCCAAGGTTTTATTAAATTATTTTTTGTTGGGGAAAAAGCATTAATATTACCTAGTTATATTGAGTTAAAATATTCAAGAATAAATGTGTAGACTTTACCAAGTAAATGAGGATGATAAAATTTAATTTTATCGAATAAATAAAACGATTTTATTAAAGGATTTTTAAGTGATATTTGTGATTACATACATACTACATATTTCGTTATTAAATAATCACAAATTTTATTTTAGTCGTACTAACTCCATTTTTCCACATTTCTCGAGGAAAACATAATACTTAATCCATTTTTCCCTTTAACACTGCAAAAATAAAATATCTTTTTTTGATTGTAAATATTGACAATTTGGTATTTTGTTAATTTTTGATCATCGAATTGTTCAATTTCAACAATTTTTGCTCTCTCGCTTAATGGTAAACCTGTGGCATTGTAATAATTGAATCTAATAAAATCCACCATCTTTGAACAGTCTCTAGATGTTGCTACATACTAAAAATAAAATTTTATTTAAAAAGGGAAGTCGGTTTACTTCAACAATAAGCTCATATAGTCGTGGAGGTCCATAAAATGAAAAATATACTTCTGATAATTTATTGCCTTCATTTATTAAAAAATTGAATAAAATATTAATATGTTGCTCTGAAACGTTTGACTGATTAAAACAAAAACTAAGAGATTCTGGAATGATTGAATGATGGAAAGCAAATTTCCAAAAATGCTCAAATATTGTATTATTGTCAGTTATGAGATATGGGTCTTGAATGTGAAATTGTAAAGGAATTGTTTTGTCGTTATCGAATAATAAATTAATCATTTCTGGATTAAATACAACTCTGAAAAAAGCTGCACGTTCAAAAGCACAATTGATAAGGTGCTCCATCCAACATCGAATAATTATCATTTCTTCTATATTTTTTGGCACGTTCGGCAATTCCAACGTATAAAGGCGTTGTCTTTCTTTGTCTAGTAAATAAATAAAATTGATTAAAAAAAGATTTTTATAACCTTTTTTGAATATATTAGTAAGTATAACGTTTCTGCAAGTATCAGAACCATGAAAATACAAGGGAATTGATTCAGCTATCGCTGCTTTCCACTAAAAATTGATTTTAATAAATTAATTTAACTTTATTTAACTTTTTCTTTGAGTCGATCAGTCAAAGTAAATTCAAAAAGTCCGGATTCTAGTTCAATTATTTTATGTAATTCTAGCTCCTGAAGACCATAAGTATTGGCATAAGCCTAAAATAAGAAGTCCACCCCCATAAGATCAAAACCCTAGAGTACAAGACCCTACAGATCATTCCTTACAGATCGAATGACTATCTGGTGATCTGAAGGATATCAAGTGATTTAAAGGTTCACCCTGATAACCAAATCCCCTTAATTAACTAGTATCACTCTTAATCTCACGACATCCCTTCAAATCCCTAATATCCTAACAAATCCACTTATATCCCACTTAACTCCTTAATCCTCTACTCCACTTAACACCCAAATTCCTTTACCTCCAGTATCTATGTATGTAAAAATCACTTCAAATCCCTTGATATCGCAATATCTATTAAGCAAAAAAATCTTTATTTGAAAATCCTGTATTCCTGAGATAGCCTATAAGATCTCGTACTGTAATACTTATACATTTTGCATTTAAAAAATTTTAAATGTTGATATTTTGGATTTGATCTGTAGGGTAATTTGATCTGTAGGGTCTTGATCTCTGGGGTCATTTGATCTTCAGGGTCTTGATCTCTGGAGTCTTGTCCTCTAGGATTTTGATCTTGTGGGGTGATCCCAAAATAAGAAATAAATAAAAACAAATATTTAAACATGTACAATAAAGAGTCCATTAAATTTCTTTCTCGCCAATCCCTCCTCATATTTCTTAATTAAATTTTTGAAATAAAAATTAGTTTGTTTAAATGAAAATATTTGATCGAAATCAAGACATTTTAAGACATCAAGTTGAACTTCGTGTGGTAAAAAATGCATTTTTAATAAATGAATTATGATTAGGTATTCAAATATATCTTTAGAAAAAAGGTAATTTTTAGTTTGATACTTAAAATAAATTTTTTAGAATTATATTTATATACGTAAGTAGATACCTAGTTAATTTAATGAGATAGTTTAAAACGAGAAATAATTTTAAAATTATTTAGCAAACAATTTTCTCATATTTTATTTTTTGTCTAATTTTAACTTTTCCCAAGACATATTCAAATAATCCTCTTAAACTAACTTTTAAATATTTCCTTGATCATATTCAAATTAAGTCTATCATCCTTAATTTTCCTATACTTTATTTACTAAATATAGAAAGAAGGCTAAAGTAAAAGAGCGACAATCATTCAAAGGTTTCAAAAACTTAACTTTGAGAACTACACAGAGTGAGAACTACACACATAGTTTACTTTATAATTTTCTTATTTGTAAAAATATATTAAAATTATACCCTCAATACATCTTTTAAAATTTTTTCCTATTAATCATATTTCAATCAAATGTATTTAATTTAATTTTTTCCCAAATTTTTCATTTTTTCCCCATCATCCCAAATTTTCATCCTCGGCTGAACTTTATCTGTCTTTAACCTATTAAAATTTATTGGGTAATTCTTTTTATTTATATTTCAGTTTGAATTTCAGTTGACTCAGGAGATAAATATACCTAATTTAATAATTTAAATTACAAAGTTTATCGCTTTGAGCCTTTGGTTCCTGTTTTCCTTTTAAATTGATGTCGCTTAATATTAATCTAATTTAATTATTATATACTTATTTAAATATTTTTATATAATTTCCAAATTATCTTAATGACTTTTATCTACTAATAAATTTTGTCTATCAAAAATAATTTAATGTTAAAAACACCCAAAATAAGTAAAATCTAAATTAGAGATTGGACCCTGGATAGATTTCAGTTAAAAATTTCAGTTATTAATACTGATGGCAATTCTATCTCCAAATCTCAATTAATTCTCAAATCCAATCTCTACTCAATTCTAAAAATCATAAAATATATGTTTTTAAAATGTAAAATGGTCTTTAAAATTTCCAACTTTAAAATTCCCCAAATTTAAAGAAATAAATTCCCCAAAAAACTTTAAAAAATGTTTACTCCCAAAAATATCTCTTTTTCTTTCTTTTTTTTCATATCCAAAAACTAAATCTCAAATTCATAACCCATCTTCGTCATTCTCATCTTCATTTGAACTTTTTGTAAGGATAAGGAGGTGAACTGAACAGCGAATTATCATCAGTATTTCCTATAAAATTTTATGAAATTAAAATCTAAAAATTAATTTTATTATATAAACAAAATAAAAGCTCTTAATATATTACAAATATTTATTTCAATTTACCAGGTTGTGGCTGCTCGGAATAATTTAGATTTCGATCAGTATAATCAGATCCAGGTATTATATGTCCAAATAGAGGGTGGGCTACACCTTCCATCGGAGGGTTCTGATGATATGCTTGATGAGCAGTGGTTTCAACATCATGACCAGAGTGTTGATGAGGATGAGGGCTTTAATTTAAACGAGTCGAAAGTTATTTAATTATTATCTATTCGGAAAACCAGGATTTATTTTAATCGTTTTTGGCTAAACTAAAGTTTCTTAAGCAGACATATTAATAAAATATTTATATAAATTTTTACACTTGTCCCAGAATGTATTTTCCACTTTTTGTACGTTCATATTCATAAGAATGCTTAATTTAAAAGATTATTTCTTAATTAAAAATTTTTATAATTCCTTACTTCTGAGCTGCTTGATTCCTCTTTAGGCTTACGTTTATCTTAAAACATGTTTATTTGAACTATAAGTTGAAATGTTTATTTAATTAGGTTTACGAAGTTTGATTTGTGTTATTTCTCGAATAAATCTAAAAATTCACTCCGACGCCCTCAATTCCTTGCCCCTAAAATTCCAGTGACGAATATTCCGCTGGAAATGAAAGTTTCAAAAATTCTTGGAGACGAAAATTTCGGCAACCCATATTACACATTTTAATGCATATTTTTATGCATAAATATACTGATATTTTTTATAATTATTTTTTATAAAAATATTTTTATTTCAGGATGCTCTCAAAATAGGGTAAAAGTTTCACACACACATACATACCCACACTGTTTCTTTCGTTAATTAAAAGCCAAATTTATTTTAATACATATAAAACACCTATTTTTTAATTTTAAAAAACTATAAATATTTTAATTTTTACCTTTTTTATTTTTCTTTTTTTCTTGAAGAAGTTTTTCTTTATAGCTCTTTTTATCATCCCCCGAATCATTATCGCTTTCTTCATTGTCTTTAGTTGATTTACCTTTTAATCTTCCTCCTCTATCACCTCCTTCAGTCTTTTCAACATAATTTAGACAAAATAAAAACAAAAAAAGAATTCCGCAGAAAGTTTGTAGTTTTCATATTTACTAGAAAATTCTACAAACTTTTGTTTAGAAATTAAATCTCTTAAAAACTTTAATAATTTAAATTATTTTAATTTATTTAAAGAATTTAATAATTTAAATTGTCTATTTAAAATTTAGAGTTAGAGAATTAAAATTGGCAAATGTCGATTAAAATTGAATAAAATAGAGAGGATGCGTCAAGCATTGGATAAAAAATTTTTAAAATTTATTATTGATCTATTAATCGCATTTAAGACCCCTCTTAAGATCTCTCTTAAATGCAATTAAAAGTCAATAATAAATTTAAAATTTTTAATAAAATAAAATAAATAAAATTTTATAGAGAAATTTGAAGAGAAATTTAAAAACAAACTTATTTATTTTAGGATAAAGGCACACCTCGATTAAAATGCCTCGATTTAATAGAATATCACTGAAATTGAAGTTGAATATAAAAAAGAAAGTCTCTATTAGGGTAGCGGTTAACCGAACCGAGAAAGTTGAATCCGTGGAAACAGAGATTTAAACAGACTGGTTTTTTTGGTTTTTAAACTTGGTTACTTTACAGAAAAATTTGAAATTTTTTTTTGTTTTTTCAAATAATTAAAATAACAACATAATAAATATTGTATGGAATATAAATTAGGTATACGTCAAGTATCGGATAAAAATTTTAAATTTATTATTTCTTAATTCTTTGACTTGAGTTCTAATTCAGTACTTTTTCGGTCATAGTTTTGACTTTTTAAAGTTTTTGAAGAAAACTTCAGTTAAGGTGAATTGTTAAGGCGAATAGACAGAATTACTTTGAGAAGAGTTGAAATTCTGTGAACGCTAAATCTTTAATAAAAATGTCTAATAACGGAATTAGGCTTATAAGCTCTGAAAGAGAATTGTTTGGGCTACAAAATGAGTATAAAATATTTAAAAAATATTAATGAGAAGAAAAGTTACGGCAAAATGAAAATTGTCCTAAACATTTCTTCTGTAAATATTTGCTCATATCCGATCATTTCATGTCCTTCGTTTTTTTCTTTAAATTAATGATGAAACTTTTTAAATTAAATTTAATTTTTTATATTTTTAATTGTTTTATTTAATTAATTAAAAAATTTTTTTTACTTCTACCTATTGATTCAATGTAAAAGTTAAATCTTTTTTTAAGCAGATAAAAGTATTTTATTACTTTACACATTTACTACTAGTTCTATATTTATTATTTACTACAAATTCCTTCCCCATCCTCCTTTACTCATCCAATTACTAAAAGCATTCCATACCAACAACAACAAAAAGCCATTTGTAATATGTATAGTGAACACATTTTTATTTTTTTTCAACCTTTAAAGAATTTTCACTACCCAAATCACCTTAGAAAACATTTTGATAATTTTTAGATTATTGTTAATGTAAGGAAATTTATTTGTTTACCTTTATTTACCGTATTTTCTCGATTAATTCCCCTGGGGGAATAATACATATTTCAGGCTATACGTGGGATGGGGAATTATTAGAGGGAGTGGAATTATTCGCGTTTTGGCATTTGAACGTGCAGTAGAGTATTTGGGGGTGGGGAATTATTGTTTCAACCCAACTCTAGCATGGGGAATTAATCGAGAGGGGGAATTATTCTAGGGAGGGGAATTAATCGAGAAATACGGTATTTATTTTTATCCTCTTACTACATACTTACATGTTGTCTAAATAAAATTCCCTATACATACATATATCTTTTAATTTATTTTCTCTCAGATATTTTTTAAATATTTTTTCTTCGTCCTTTTAAAAGAACAATTGTTATTTTCTAATTTTATTTTTTTAAACATCCCCCTTCCCCAACATTCCTTTGTTAATTCACGTCAATCCCTTCCATATTATTTATTTAATAATAAATGTTATTTGCATTTTCTCTCATCCACTTATTGTATTTATATATTTATGTAAACGTGAAAAATGTTTTTTTCGGTTTTTGTCTCAAATTTACAATTGATTTAATATTTATTTTTAGTTTACATTTTTTCAAAAAAAAATTCTTTTAATATTTTTTTGTTAAAAACAATTTAATATTTAATTATCAATCCAAGATTTAAATTGAATGTAAATTTTATAATAAAATTTAATTTTATTTACTAGAGACCGGCAAAATCGAACTTCCGGGATCCTGAGTCGGGATTTTATTTCTTGACAGATGTCGGGACGGGATCCCGAGGGATAAATCCTAAAAAATCTGAAAATAAAAAAATCAGGGATTTCGGGATCCCGAAAAATCCCGTCGGGATCCCGTTCCACGCCGGTGTCTCTACTACATATTTACATGGTGGATCTAACAGGAATAAAGAAAAATTATTTTTCAACGCCACACTTAGTTAATAAATTAAAACAACGAAACATTTAGTTAAGTTAGTGTGACTTTTTTTAAACATTCCCTTTAATTAAATAAAAATTTTTTTGATTAAGAAAAATTAATTTTATTTACTCAAATTTCTTTTAAATCTTTTTCCTATTATCTGACCCCTTACAAATCTCCTCTTTTTTTAATCTAAAAAGCAGTGAAAGGGTCCGTTAAGGACAAATCTCTAACAATAAATGTTAATTCTATTTTAGTTAAGTTAGAAAAAATTAATGAAGGTCAAAAAATAAAAAGTATAAAAATAATTATTTGTTCTCACCTTAATTTTTTATTTAATGTTTTTACATTAATTTTTTTAATTAATTTAGTATGTTATTTTTCTTTTTGATTAAGCAGTCTGGTCTAAAGGTGGTTTGAAAATTCCTCAATAATTCCGGCTATTTTGATAAAATAAAAACCTAAGTTATTTTGAAAAAATATTCAAATATTTAATAAATACACACGCATTTTTATTGTTTTTAACAATTAAAATACATATTATATGTAGATGATTCATAATCTAATTATAGAGGATTTCAATATTGAATCCGTCTCTATTTATTAAAAATAATTTTTAACAAAACCAATAAAAAATTTTTAAAAGTTTTTCCTAAATTGTTTACACAAATAAATATTATATAGTAACATATTTTATTCTCCAAACATTTCTTTTAAAAATATTAATTTTATTTATTTATTTACACAACTGAAAATCTTCAATAATTTACTATAATTTATTATTTAACATTTAATATACACATTTTAATTTTAGCTTTTTTTCTTTTTTTAAATTTATTACCCTTTAATTATTATTTTGATAAATGTTTTGACCACTTGTTTTGCTGTTTTTACGTGACTAGAAATCCGGAAGTCTGCGCGTTTTAATAATTGTCATTTAATTTATTAATTATTAGCATTCAAATATTTTTTAGATTTAAAATTAAATGTTTAAATAATCCCCAAATAAAATGTCTACTACCCTCAATTATTTGCTCATTTTTTCTTTTTTTGCCTTATTTCCTTTTTATTGTTTGTCACTTAATTGTTTTGAATGTTTTGATAACTCACAATTGTGTACGAGATTTACAAATTGTTCAGGATCTGCATGTGTTTTGTGTATGTTTATTCAATTGTTTTTAATTTATTTTTAAATTAATTAATTTAAATATATGTATATTGTTTAACAAAACTATAACATTTCCATAAACACTGGAGTAATTTAAAATTCTATTCAGATTAGAGGGCGGAATTAAAAAAAACGGGGACGGGAAATGAAAATTAACCGGCCGGGACTCGAACCGGGAAAACCGATCCCGGTTTCATCCCGGCATTTTCAAAAAACCGGAAAAAGACCGGAAAACGGGACCGAGTCCCGATCCCGTTCCGCGGTCTAATCCAAATATCTACTTCTTAAAAAATTTTTTCCAAAGATTTATTCTAATTTATTATTAAAATTTATTTTTTTAGACGAAAATTCACTAAATCGTTCTTCCGTTGCTTTTTGTCTCTATTTTGCTGCAGAACTCCAAGGTTCCAATTTACTGACCGAGGAAGGTTGTTGGCATGACCATGAAACTAATGGAATACAATGTTTATGTCAAAAAGATTTTTGTAATTCCCCAAGGAATTTGTGGACATCAGATCCAAACAAACCTCCAATTGAAGGGCTTAAAATGCTTAAAAGAAATCCTTTTGTGGATTATGGTAAAATAATAATTTTTCAAAAATCGAGAATAAAATTATTTTTTAAAGAATATTTGGAAGAGGAAAATTCTGCTGGAAAGAAATCTTCGTCTTCCTCCTCCTCTGAAAGTATTAATTCAATAATTTCATCGCTTGATGCTTCTGAAAATGAAGATGAAAGGGGTAAAAATAAATAAAAATATTTTTCTTAATATGTTCTAGATTTTTGATTACCGAAAATATCCTATTAGAAGCCCATCCCTAATAAAAGCCCATGCCCTATTAAAAGCCCACCCAATGAGGGGTATTGAAAAATAGAAACCCAGGGCTTCTATTTGGATATTTACGGTATCTTTAGAATTTTCTTTTATAATTAACAACCCCAAAATTATTTTAAATTTTAATTTATTTTAACAGATTTAGTGCCAATAAATTTCGAAGATTATATGAGTTTGTTGGAAAATAATTCTGTCAAGACAACTCCAAATCCTAATATAACAACAGAAAATAATAGTATTCAAAACGTGCAATTTTCTTCAGCAATAATTAATGGAATTAATTATTATTTATTTTACTTAATATATTTTCTTTTTTTATTTTTAATTATTTAAAAAATTTTAGATTAAAAAATAAATAAATATATTTTTAATTTTAATAGAATAATTTTTCAATATTTGGAAAACTTGAAAAATTGAGTCCTCAAATAATTAATTACCCTCTTTTAGCTTCATTATTTTATACTAGGGTTGGACACAATCGGTTAACCGAACCGAAAACTGGGGGTCAAAAACCGGCGATAACCGGAAACCGGTGAACTTAACCGAGCGATTTTGATTTGAAAAATACACCCCTAAAGATGGAATTTTTTTGGAGTTTTTTGGACATATAAATTCCCAAAATACGTTCCACAATATTATGCCTATTTATTTTTTACCTATTTTATGCCTGTATTATTAAGAGTTCCCTTCTAAAAAATATTTAGAATAATTCAATGGAGGGGACACTCTTGAAATGAAAATTTTTTCTAATAAATTTATTTAAATTCCCAATTCCGTTACTTATTCAATATATAATTCAATGTCACCAAACAATTAAAAATCCATTTTTAAATTGACGCAAAAAGGATATATCCACCAAAACTCGATTTTTATTGTTGTGAATTTATTGCAAAATAATTTTAAATAAAAATCCCGATTTTTTATTATTATTGTTCACACTTGTCTCTTTTATAAGCACTTAAATGGACAAAAATTATTTGGTATTTCTTTCGATTCTCTTAAGTTTATTTTTAAAAATTAAATGAAAAAAATTATTAGTTTGAATAATAATTATTATTTTCAATTTTATTTATTTAATAAAAAATGCTTAATAATTTAAATATTCTATTCAATATTTTATTTATCTGTCAGTGTATAAGGACAATATTTTCTGTTAGTTTTTATATTTCAAATTTTATTAAAAATTCTGAGGTTATTTTTACACAAAAAAGAACTCGCAATTTCCATAAATGGAATTATCTTAAACAAAATAGATAACGCTATTCAATGTCTGAAGAAATTATTTAAAAATACTTTTGTTAAGATATAGTCTAATGTTGGGCGGTATTGGGATTTAGGTATTGGGATTTAGACATAAAATTGGTATCGGGATTTAAAAAACCGGGATAGTCCCGCCCGCTCGGGATCCCGATCCTGTCCCATCCCCTATAAAGTAAATATTTATAATTAATTGGTTATCTTTTGGTTATTTTTTAGTAAAATATTATGCAGAAAATTAAAAAATTAAAATAATTTCTAACAAAATTTAATTTAAAAATACCTAGTGTATAAGCCTTGGTGGTTGTTCTTTTGTCAGTGGATATCCAGGCTATCAAAGATGTTTAACCGCAAGTGGGGCTACTTATTACAGAAATTGTTATGGAGGTATTTGTAGACATCATCACAGTCTAAAAGGCTCGCAAACATTGTCGTTAAATGAGTCTGATAGTAGAGAAAATAATAAAACTAATGGAGATGAAAATGGAGAGGAGGGAAAGGATGATTTTGGAGCTATTCAAGTAGAAAAATAATTTTTTTTGAAATTATTTCTCTGAAAATTTTAAGAAAATCATTTCAAATAAATTTATAAAATAATTTTCAATTTAAGACAAATCCAGATTCAATATTTCTTGAATGTTGTAGAAGTTGGTCATTGCCTTCCCAGTGTTTAATTAAATGTTCATTTAATAATTATACAGCAGAAACAGTTAAATTAAATTTTAAAAAATAATTAATTTATTTATTTAAAATTAATTAATTTAAAAATTAATTAATGACTATGTAGTTTCTATTCTTAACTTTATTTTCTTTTAAAAAAAGCTTCGTTCAATGTTTCTCAATTCTAATGATTGCCCCATAGAATCTGCTTCAATTATACATTTCTGTGCTTCACAAAACCAAGACCATCGTGAATGTTGTCTCCGTTCTGGTATTGAACAGACTAGAGCTGGGCCAAAATGTCTTCTTTTTTGTGACCAAGTTGAAGGAAAAAATTTAAAATAAAAATTTAAAAAAAATATTTTTAGATGCCTGAAAATGAAACTTTACTCGATTTAAGTTATTTGCCCTGTTTTGAAAAATTTTCAGAGATGAAACGCTGTTTTTATGAAAATTCTTTAAGGACAATAGACTATTTGGAAGCAGAAATGAGAGAATTAAGGAGAGGAAATGAGCAAGTTTTGACGGGTATTTAAATTAAAAATTTGAATAAATAAAAATAAATACATTCGAACATGAATGTTAAATACGTTTATAAATTTTGTTGATCATCTCTTTAGGGTTGCCGTTTTCGGTTCGAGCCGACGTTCGGTGCATTTTCTCGAGTTTGGTTTTTTTCGATTAGGTTCGTTTTTGGGCTTTTCTAGCTGAAAACCTCGGCTCGCTCGATCTTTCGAGTTTCGGTTCGAGCAAACTGGCAACCCTAATTCTCTTGTATATAACAATGAAATCCAATTAGTAATTAAATAATTAAGTAAAAAAATAAAGGAAACAATGAAGAAAAGAATGGCGATAACAAAATTTATCAGACAACAAATCCACTTATTTACATTAACGATGTTCGTCAAAAATATCCATTAATTAATGATGATTATGCAGTTACAGAAAATGTTATTAAAGAAGAAAATAAAGGAAATTAAAATTGATAAAATTAAAATATAATTATTTACTTAATTTTTCTGTTTATTCTTATGATTACTTAGGTATATTTATAACAGAAAAAAGAATTTTCAAAAAAAAATTCTAAAATATTAAAATTAATTTTATTTTTTCAATATTTTAATTAAAAATTGAGAAAGGATTATTTGTCAAACAAAAATAAAAAAAATAATTTTGGGAAATTCAAAAAAAGTATGTAATAAATATTAACGATAATAATTTTATGGCCATATACTAAAAATTGATTAATGTCATCAAACACGTTTTTCCTCAAATAATATAAAAATTAATTTTCTTTAATTATAAAAAATATTCTAGTAAATTTTCAAAATTTCTTTAAGAAATTTTTTAATTTTTAAAATAATAAAAATAATGGAACATATTTTCGTTTCAACACAATTTCGATGCGAAACAGGGCCAACAGTTGTTGGTGACCACGAATCTAATCCAGAATTAATGGCTCTAGTCGGAGCTAAAATGGTTATGCAATTGGGAAATCGTTTTGCAGAATATATTACTGAATGGACACCTAGAAAAGTTTTGGACCGATTATCAGAATTGGGCTTCCGAGTAATTTGTAAGCAATTTTTGAAACAAAAATAATCTTAAAAATTTTAGGAAAAATTAAAATTTACTTAATATAAAATTATTTTCATTCATTCAATTTTTGCATTTAACAAAAATTAAAATTTTTAAATACGATAATTTATAATAAATTTAAATCATTTAAATTTAGCATCAACGGGGGCTGGACAAACAATTATTTGGACTTTAGGAAGAGAAAGGAATGAAAACAATAATACATAAAAACTAAATAAATTTAATAAATATTTTACTACTATATTTTATTTAGAATTTGTGGTAAAAGATTTATTTATTAGATAGTTATTTTTAAAGACCAAAGTGGTCCTTGTACCTCTTTAAGCTTTATTTGCCCATTTTTGAACTTTACCTAATTATTTCTCTGATTGCCTGGAAAGGGCAATTTGATATAAACCAATGCTTATTATATAGAATAGTTGAAGAATGAGTTATAAATTGATACTTAATATATGAAAATTTCTATAATTATGATGTTGCTTTAAAAACTAGGAGGATCATTTTATGAGTTACTGCTTAGAATATTTTATTTTTAGAATTAAAAATTGTTAGTTGGCAGCCAAATAATAAGATTATACTTACAAATAAACTTATCAAATAATAAGATTTTTCCGTTCTATTTTTTAATATTTACACTCTTTCTCAAGCAAATAAAAAAATCTAAACTCATTTCTATTTACCAAAATATTCTGACAAATATTTAACTTTATTATCAGTTCCAAAACAAAAATACAATAAAATAATTGAATATATGTCTGGGTTTTATTATAAAGGTCAATTTTATGAAGGGTAATAAAATAAAAAGCAAATATAATGAATATTTTACCCTCTATAGGATCATACAGACAAAAACAAAATATTTCCTACTTCATCAAAATTAATTTTAAAATTTAAATTAACAAATAAAAAATTTTTTGAAAATATTATAAATGGAAAGGCAACAAATTAATAGAAAAATCTTGCCAATTGAATTACTTGTAGAAATAATTAAGTCAATAAAAACTTCACAAACTGAATTACCTAGTTTAGGTATCTTAACACCTGGCAGAGTGAATGGCATTCTGCATGTATTTGTAAGTAATTTCGATAAGTTTCAGCCGGAGCTGGAACGGACTTCCGGATTTATACCCCAAGTTGTTAGATGGTTTAAAACGTTAACCGATTTTTTTATACTTCATCAAAATATTAAAGAATTTTTTGTTTACGCTCCAAATATTCTTATTTGTTCTAGTATAATCTACAAAATCTCTGAAAAGACATTTAAATTAAGAAAGGTAATTCTATCAAAATAATAAAGTTAAACCCCAAAAATTCTATTATATATTTATTCAATTGTAATACATATATTTATAGAATAATTTTTTGATTTCTAAAAACTTAATGAATTCCAAATAGTGAGGGAGCAAGTTAAACCGTTAATTTTTTTCTTTCTGTTTTTTAAATCCTCGGTTCTTGAATCACTTTTTTCAAGTATAGTTAACCAAAATAGCAAAATCTTTAATTTAATATTTAATTACTTAAATTACTAACATAAATAAAAAAAAATAATTTTTTAATAAATATACTAATATAAATGTAAAAATTTCAGTTAGATCTCGATTTTTATCATTACAAGCACGAGGAAAAATATGAGATTAAAGACCTATGCAGAAAAATAAGGGATATAAAGGAGTGGCTTCTAATTGATTATCCTGAAATTTTAAAAGTAATAGAAAAAGAGGTTTGTCGATATTACAAAAATTCAGAGGCAGAATGAAGAATTAAAGTTAATGCTATAATACAGAAAATTAAGGAAATTTAAAGTTCAGGATTTAATTGCTTTTTAACATGTTAAAACTTTTATAATATTTTTTCATTATTTTATCTTATGTAAAATAAAATAAGATTAAATATAAGGCTAGATTCGCATTTGTTTTATGAAAAATGTATTCTACACGTCTACTGTTCTGCATGTTTGTATAAATGCTGAAATAATGTCCCTCTCTCAAATAATTACCCCGCCCTATTAATTACCCCTACGGCCAAAGATCGAAAAAATAATTGAGGTTGAAAATAATTACCCTGGGGTATTTTGAGTGTTTACCGTCTTACCTTTGAAACAAACATTTGTTAAGATACCCAATAACAACAGGAGCACTTCGTAATGTTTGAGTTAATCTGATAAAATATTAATTTATTTTTATTATAAAATATTATTTCCATTCAAATACATACACTCGGGTGCAAAAGTAATGATCCCTGGGTATGAAAATTTTTAAAAAGTGATTATTTTGAAATGGAAAGGGTAAATGATTTACCTTCTTTTTCATAATCAAAATTCACAATGTTAAGATACTTTCCAAGGAAAAAATTTTCCCCAAAATTCCAATCCCGTGAATTTCTCTCAACTCTAAATGGATACCCCTATTTTTAGGGTGGTCAAAAGTAATGATCCCTTTTTAAAAAATACAGGGTGCGGCAATTTTTCCGCCACTTTTGTTTTGGCCATATCTGGCTTCAAACTTAACAAAAATTCATAATTCTTTTTTTATTTTAACCCCAAGACTTTGAGAAATTTTTTGATACCAAATAATGGAAATTTAGTTCTAAGACGCTTCGAATAAACGCCTCGAAACATCCAAACGCGTCAAAAAACATTTTTAATCCCAAAGTTTAATTAATCACAACTTTGTCCAAAATCATCCAATCCAAAAGATTTTGGTACCAATCGACTCGTCTCATTCAGGCGCATCGAAATAGCTTAAAATTCCATTTTTGAAAATTTTACTCAAAAAATTTATATTTGCCAAAATAATTTTAATTTATCATTCAGAGCTCCATATCTCGGTTCGTTTTCGTCGAAGCTGACTGATTTTTACGTCATTCGAATCGGATTGAAAAGCTGATTCGAATGATATGAAAATTTCCCATATCAAAATCTTAGTCTTGAATCTAGGCTAATTTTTACTAAAAAAATCTTGCTCAAACTTTGAGAAAAAATTTAGTGGATTAAATTAAAAATTTTAACGATATCTTAGTATCAAAAAATTTCTCAAAGTCTTGGGGTTAAAATAAAAAAAGAATTATGAATTTTTGTTAAGTTTGAAGCCAGATATGGCCAAAACAAAAGTGGCGGAAAAATTGCCGCACCCTGTATGTTTAACCATTAAGAAAAAAATCCACAAAAATTTTAGTAAAGATGACTAGTAATAAGAAGTTAACCTATGAAAAGATTGGTCCAATATCTACTCTTTTCTTCGAGATATTGACATCTCGATTTCAACGAGAAATAGGGGTAATTTATTTCAAAAATTATTTTTATCTTTTTGATATAGGAATTGGTTACACTTTTATGCCTGCCTAAAAGCCAATAAAATTTGCTACAAGATATAGTCTTTCAAATTTTCTGAAAAAATTTATCTATCGTGTTGAGGAGTGAAGAACATACAAGGCGGCAAAAATCTCTCATATTACCCCATAAATGGTCCTTTTTTGCCGCCTTGCATGTTCGTTGCTCCACAACTTGTTAGATAAATTTTTTTCTGGAAAGTTGATTGGAAGTATTTTATAGCAAATTTTATTGGCTTTCAGGCAAGCATAAAAGAAAATTTTAATCACTGATGTGAGGTGCGAAAATATTTTTCAAACAACTCTAATCCCATTATACGTTGACTTTTAAGTGTTTTAGATTGTCGAGATTACTGTGTTGTATATAGTTAATGTGCTCGATCTTTTGGTTTTTGTAACTAATATCGATGAATGTATTCACTGGAATTTTTTCAAATTTTTACCTATATTTTTACTATTGGTTCACGCTAGGGATCATTACTTTTGACCACCCTAAAAATAGGGGTATCCATTTAGAGTTGAGAGAAATTCACGGGATTGGAATTTTGGGGAAAATTTTTTCCTTGGAAAGTATCTTAACATTGTGAATTTTGATTATGAAAAAGAAGGTAAATCATTTACCCTTTCCATTTCAAAATAATCACTTTTTAAAAATTTTCATACCCAGGGATCATTACTTTTGCACCCGAGTGTACATATTCTATGTTTCCATTTTTAGTTTTAATTTTAAAATCTTAGTTAACAAATAAAAAGTCTGTAGATAAAAGTTAAATTAAAATTATATAAAATGTAAAGACAAAAACAACTACTTTCGTTTAATAAAAAAAATGTTGCAAGTTGATTGTTTGTAGATAAAGTTAAAGCAATAAAAATTACACAAATAAAATTAGTTATTGGAATGTGTGAAGAAAAAAAAATTTTTTTATATTAAAACAAAAAACATAAAGAAGTTTATGTTTGTGCTTCAACATACTGATTTTTCAAGTCTATGTAATCTATAAACTCCCTGGGAAGGAGAAAGCTGATTTTATTTAATTTTAAATTAAATAAAAAATAAAGAGCGAAAGTTAATATCTTACAATTGAGATACAAATGTTAAGGAATGTAAATTTTTTATTCCAAATACCTATATAAATACATAGCTTTGTTACAAATTCATTTTAACCTTTTTTTTATTTATTTTAGTATTATTTTATTAAAACGATCGTTTTATTTTTTAGATGAACGTTGAAAATAACCAATTATTTGAATTAATCAAGAAGAATCATGCTTTACGAGCAGCTGTTAACAATGGATATATGATCAGAAATGATGTTAAAGTTAATGAGTTTATAAGAACATCTGATTTGGATTTTATAAATATTGTGAATCGACAAAATGCTGCTCTTCAATCAGTAATTCCTGGAATGGTTTTTGGCAATTTTATTTAAACTTTAAAATTTTAAGAAATTTATGGAATTGATAACAGATTGGAAAATTATTAGCAACAAGCCTATATCATCATATTGCAAAAATTTTTTGTATAAATGCTAACCCTTTACTGGAACATGCCGTCTTGGACATTTGACCCAACAATCTACAGGGAAGCGAATCAATGTTTTGTTGCTACGGTAGACAACTTTTATATGTTTTAAGTATTTTATTAAAAGTACATGCTCGGAAGGCTCCTACTCTTGCAGGCAATTGAAGATTATATTGAACCTGGGTCAACAATATACTGTGATTCATGGAAGGGTATAAAACAAATGATATTGAAGAAGCGGGTTTCGAGCATTTCAAAGTGAATCATAAGTAACTACAAAAATTAGTTAAATTTAGATGTAAAAATGTCTCTTAACATTCTCTACTTTTATCCATATCCTATATTACAAATAACAAATCAGTAATAAAACTTATAGCTTATTTTATGAAATATTTCCAAACAAACTTATTGATAAAGATTTTATTATATTTTTAAATGTAAAATTTGTTAATAAAAAAATGTAAAATGGCAGATTCAAAAAGACTAGCAATTAAAAGTTTTTCTAAATTTTCAATTGCAGATTTTGCACAATTTATTATTTGGAAGACCTAAAAATAATTTTTTTATTTCAAAAAATTTTATTTAATTTTTACCCATAGGCCTAGAACTGCCTTTCCCAATTGTTGAGATTTCACGGAATTTTTTTGCTTGAAATAAAGAAACAGGTTTTGTATAATAAATTTCAACTAGCAATCCTGAAGTAGAGTTTGTAAGATAACGAGGAGAACCAGAATTTGAAGTCGGAAGTAATTTCAGGAATTTATTGTTTGATGGATCAAGTCTGAGTAAACGATTAGCACAAAACCTGCAAAATTATTTATTAAAAAATATTGCCAAATCTATAAAAAATTACTTATCAGTTTGAGAATTTTTTTCACAAACAACAACGGTAATATAATGTAAAGCAGAAGAGACTCCTTGGCCGCCAGCAAATGCTTGATTGCAATAAAAATCAGCAAAGTACATATTCATTCTTTTAAAATCCAATATTTTGTTGACTTCCAATATCATTTGGACATCACTAAAGATTGACAAAAATTAAAAATATCTTTTTAAAATTTTATATTAACCCAAAAGGAGAAGCATTAGGTAAACTATCGCCTTGAAGTAAGGAAGAAAAGAAACATCCTTCTATTTCGCCATTAATTGGGCAGCCTGGATGTCCATTTTCGTCTTTCAAATAAGGCATCATCATTCGTTGACCATCTCAAAAAATTTAATAAAAAATTTTTTTTATAAATCCTGAAAAAATTTAAATTTACCCGGTTGTGAATATATATTATCGAAATAGGATTTTGGTTTACATCGGTGGACAATATCAAATTGATACATTAGATCACCACAAAATCGGGAAGCTAAAGCCATTACACGCTCCAATTCACTTTTTGAAAAATCTTTAAATTAAAAAATTTTCCTTCTGTGAAAAGAATAAAATTTAAATTCAAAAAAATCAAAATAAAAAAAACAAACATGCTCTATAATGAACAGATGAAATTGCGCATTGTCTCCCTTCAACATCAAACCCTTGAATAGTCGCCGAATATCTTGTACCAGGTGTTACTTTCTAAAGAAATTATGAAATCTAGAAAGCTCAAAAAATATAACCTGTAAATATTGTTTTTCCCGTGCTAATCTTTGAATAATTTTTTCATCAGTACCTCCAGTTATTTCAACTGACTGACTGTTTATGTATATATCTTAAAAATAAATTTTAGGGGAAAAATATTGGACTAAAATTTGTAATAAGTAGATAAGATTATAGTGAAAGGAGGAGAGGGCCGTAAATATGAATTTTTCGGGGGGAGAGGGTCAAAGGAGGAAAAATTTTGATTTTTAGCGCCACTGGTTACGGGCCCGAGAGAGAACATCAGAAAATGATTTCGGTCGCTGATTTACGTTCCGTATTTCGTTTGAAAATTAATTTATTTTCCGTTATGTTAAATCATATTATTTTTCATTTTTGTTGGCAACGAAATTTTATTTTCATGCGTGATAATGGGAATAATCTAGCCCATTTATTTATTAAAATTAATGTTATGTTTAATATTTTCTTTAAAAAAATATAATTTTATACCATCAGGAATACTCCATTTAAGTAAACAATGTTGAGAACTAATAATTATTTGAATTTCAAAAGGCGTTGTATCTCTAACAGAAAATGAAGAAATTGAAGTTGAAGCTGAAGAAGAAGAAAGTTGAGGAAATGAAATTGGTGGAGGACCCCATTTTGCGCCACGATTGAAAGGAATTGGAGGAGATTGACGAACTAAAATTTAAAAAAAATTTTTTTATTTAGAAAATTTAACTGGAAAGAATAAAAAACGTACCAGGTATTGTATGTATAGATGGGATAGGAAAACGATTTAATGCTTGGTCAAAAGAAGCTGATTGAATCTAAAAATTGAGGTAATTTAATTTTAATTTCAAAAAGCATTACAGAATTTGGCACTTTTTGAAAAGATGAATTAGCAGAATTCAAAGGAGAAGGCTGTTGAGACGAAGATTCAAGTCTAAAAAAGAAATAAAAAATTAGAAAGCAAAAATTTTTCCTTTGACTTTTCATTTAAAAATAATCCCGAGTAAATGAAAAATCCAAAAAATAAGAGAATTTAGTTAATTTAAATTAGAAAATTTGGTATTACTGAAGAATACAGACACCTTTTTTCCTTCCCAATTTTCCCCCTAAATTAGAAAGGAAAAACGGGAAAATATAAAAAATAATCCTTTTTGTTTGATTGTAGGCAAAAATTAGACAGGCAAATTGAATGGAAGAAAGGAAAAGTCTGAACATTTTGTAAAAATATAGGGGGAAAATTGGGAAGGAAAAAAGGGGGTCTGTATTCTTCAGTATTAAAGAAAATTTTATTGATAACTTCACCAAATATTCTAAATAGCTTTAAAAAAATAAATAAAAATTTTAAATTTTCAAACCTTAATCTTTTTCCTGTCAATTTTTGGTGAGAAAGAGCAGAAGGCTGTTGAGACGAAGATTCCTCATTCTCTTCTCTTGACTTTCTTCTCTGTTCCTTTCCAGGTCGTCGTCTTGCTCTTTTACGGTGCTTGGTTGGTGGCTATATATTAAATAAAAATTAAAATTTAAAAAAATAAAACCCCCGCAGTTGCTGAAGTATTCTTTTCAAATATGATATCCTCATCTAAACTTTTATCAGAATTATTGACCGTCCTTTGACTATCTCTTGAAATGTCAAACGAATTTTGCTTTGCTGTTAAAGATTTTTGACCAGCATTTTTAATCTTTGTAAGGCGTTCAGGATTTTGTGAATTATTGAAATTGAGTGTGTCTGGAGCTGCTCCATGTAAAAAATAGTCAGGCACCATTAGGTTTAAATCATCAGAGTCTAAAATATTAAAATAAATATTTGTAGAAGAAATTAAGGTAAAAAAGCATCCAAAGGCTTGTAAAAAAGGAAGGGATCTTGTCCAGAGTATGTTTTGGATTTTTTTGGAGTTCAAAGTTAGGGTTGGCTCAATAAAATTTTTTGTGTTGAGGACCTAAAACGAGTAAGTTTGGATATATCCTTTCTAATTCAAATAAAGTTTAGAATTATAGTGATTTTTTGACATTTTTAAAATTGCAATAGGATGCTGAATAATCTAATGAATAAGCTAAAGGGTAGTCCAAAATAACTGGCCAAAGAAAATCCTATATACAAACTTATGGATGAAAGCCAAAGAAATATTAAATTCAAATAATAAATTTAAGAGAAAATTATTTAAATATTCCCCAAGTTGTAATTCGGAAAACTTTCCAAAAAAGGCTTAAAAACAGCGAGTTGGAAAACTAGTCTTACAATCAGAGACCTCACATCAGTTTTTAAAAATTTTAAAATTTTACACTAACTTAAGAAAAACTTCCCAAGAAAATTTTTTTAAAATTATTTACCACTATCACTGTAATTATCCAATCCTCCAAATACAAAATCGGAATTATCTTCATCAAAATCATTTCTATTTTCATCATTATATATTTCATCTTCAATATTTTTACGTTTTCCCAATCTTTCAGGTCCTTTATCTGGACCGGCAATTTTGCTTTCTTCAATTATTTGTTGTAATTCTTCGTCGTTAGAAGGAGAAACGCTGATAATTCGTCCATACCAACCACGGCCATTGCAATAACGAACTAAATAAAAATAATTTTGATGATTAAAATGGCAATCCAGGAGAATTGGGGTCCCTGCGGAAAAAAATCTTAAAAATAAGAAAAATGATTTTTCTAGGGTAAAAAAATATGCTGATTACGAATCTGAACTCGGATTTTGGAAAAGTCGAATCCCGAACCCGAAATTCGGATATTTGACATTTTGGGAAAAATTTCGAAAAATAAACAGAGCGCAAATTGGTCAAATAATATCTCATTCGAAAGAGCTAGACGAGCTGAGTCGAATGACATCAAAATCATCGCAATTGATCAAGATCAGGCGAAGTTATGACACAAAAAACATAGGCCTACGTTGTTTGTTTTTTGTGGTATAACTTCGTCCGATCTTGTTCAATCACGGTAATTTCGGTGTGTTTTTGTATCGTAACTCGCTCCAAACTTGTTCGAAGACGGTAATTTCGGTGTCATTCGACTCAGCTTGAAGAGCTCTTTCGAATGAGGTATAATTTGCATATTCGAATTTTTCACCCCAAATCAGCTTGGTCCCCCTATGGGTTTTCGATATTCGAGGACCTATATTCGGGTTCGGATTCGACTTTTTCAAAATCTGAGTTCAGATTCGTAATCAGCGTACTTTTTTACCCTAGAAAAATCCTTTTTCTTATTTTTAAGATTTTTTCCCGCAGGGACCCCAATTCTCCTGGATTGCCATTAAAATGACAAGTAGAAAATTAAAAAATAGATTAGAATAAACAAAGAATAGGTAAAGATAGCTAAGGTTTTGCTACCTCCTTTTTCATTTTTAAAAATTCCCATTATGTGGCACCCAACAAAAAAGAATAATTCTGAAGATGATCCGCCTCCCCATTTTTTCCTTCCCTAAGATTGTACGTAATGGTCAGATTTCCCCTTTCCTTTTTTCTCCATGACATATTCAAACAAGACTACATCCCCAGAATATCGACAACCAAAATATCGTGACCCTAAATATCGACACCCAAAATGCCGCTCATAATCCTCGTTAAGTAGGAAATTTAGAAAAAAAATAAAGAGGAAACACGACCTTACTTTAGACAGAAAAAATAATTTTAAAAATCCAAACCAGTTTCATCAGCAAATTTTTTATTTACAAAACCAACAATTGCATCATTTGCACTATATGCTCTAACCAAAGCTTCATCTGGTTCAAAATCAACAGTTTCCCAAATAAAATGTAAAATTTGACAAAGACTTGAATTACGGGGAAGATTATGCATTCGGACAAGAAAATTGTGTTTTTCCATTTTTCTAAATTTAAAATAAAAAATTTTAAAAAATATTCTGTATTTTTGTAGAAATTTTCAATTTTTTGTTGAAACTTTTTGACATAAATATCCATTTGGGATTTCGAACGGTTTTTGAGAGAATTACACATAATACCAACAGACATTTTGCCAACAGACATTTTGCCAAAGTAGTTTTGGTCTACTCTCGCAAAATGTATAATTTTGTCACAGACAAATAATTTTTAACTAAATACCGTAAATGTTCTAATATGTAGAAGCCCATGCCCTATTAGAAGCCCACTCACTGAGGTGTAATGAGGAATAAACGCCCATGCCCTCCCTCATAGAAGCCCATGCCCCAATAGAAGCCCATCTAGGGCTTCTATTGGAACATTTACTGTATTCATTATCATTTAGGGTGTAAGTTTATCAAGAATTTTGAGAGAATTTTTAGTATAAAAGATAATATCCATCCCTTCATCCATCCCTTCATTATCCCTTTTTCAATAAGGTTCTCATTCAAATTTTAGCAATCTTGCCATGTCTCAAGAAGATACGACGGTGATGATGGATGGTCCTCCATGGTTATGGGTGGAATCTTCGACTACACCAACAACGGAGGCGCCGGTATAAAATAATTATTTTTACTTAAAATCCCCTCCTATTAAGGAAATTATTTGCATTAGTGAACACGAAATTCGAAACAGTTTGTTGGTTGGGGCTTTAATTGCACTTGTATTGTGAGTTTCTTCTTAATAAAACTCTCATAAAACAAATTTTCAGTGTTTTGCTTTGGCACATTATTAGAATTTATTGTGGATATAAAAAACAGCCTCCACCGCCACCAGAACCAACGGTAAAGCAAAGGGACAAAAAAAGTTCCGGATCTGTCAAGTCTTATGGAAGTGCAACGACGGCAAGTGTAACAGCTACAGTGAGTGGAGCACCGTCTTCGAAGGTTGATACTTCACGAACCTCAACTATAAAATCGAAAAGTGGAATGTCTGATGATTCTGAAAATGTTGTTCGTGTTTAATAGAATTGTAGTTTAATTATTAAATAATGGGACACGCCCTCCTTGTCGCGGGCCACCTTGTCGCGACCACCTTGTCGCGACCACCTTGTCGCAGGCCACCTTGTCGCAGGCCCACCTTGTCGCAGGCCCACCTTGTCGCAAAGGTTGAAAATTTTTTATGCTGATATGGAGGGTAGAAAAAAGGCCTTCTGGGCACGATCGGGGTTTTCTGGAGTAATTTGGATCGGTTTTACTCTGTTAAAACTCCGGTAGACTTTAACCGGATAAGAGAAAGTAATAAAAGGAAAAAAACACTCCTGGAAATCAACTAAAAAATTAAAAAAACCTAGAAAACAAAATAGAAATTCTAAACCTTCCATATTTCCAATCGTTGTAGCCGTGGGCCACCTTGTCGGCACGTGGCGAGTGAAGTTTAGGCCAGCCTTGAAATAAAAACCAAAGGAAAGCCTGCGACAAAGTGGCCTGCGACAAGCTGGGCCTGCGACAAGGTGGGCCTGCGACAAGGTGGTCGCGACAAGGTGGTCGCGACAAGGTGGCCCGCGACAAGGTGGGCCGTACCCTTAAATAATAAGTAAAAATATCTCATTGGTTTTGCTCAAAATACAGTATATTTTTGTTTGTTTGGTATGCTACATAACAGGGGTCGGTCGGAAATGACGAAGGTGGCGGAAATCGCAACTGTCGGAACTCGAAAATGGCTCAATAGTCTGAAATCAGCCTAAATTTTCGGAAGTCGGAAAGAAAAAAACTTCGGAAATCGGAATTTCGACCGACCTCAGTTACATAATTCTTCTGTCAATTACATAAATATAAAGTATCTAATTTAAAAATAAAATTTAAAAATGACCGGATAAGTAAATTTATTCGGATATGTTATAGAATCTCTGTCAATTCTCGAATTAGGTCTCTGGTATAAAGAAATAATTCAGAACCTATACTTAATCTTTTGCTTTTAATTTTTATTATAAAAAATATGTTCAGTAAATAATTGTACAAAATATTTTTTGTAAATACTATTTAAAATAATATCCTCATTTCTAATACAAAAAGGATCTAAAAAGTATAAAGTCGGTCAGAATTGAGTGGTCAGACAATTTATTTAAAATTGTAAATTTATGCAAAACCCTTCCAAAAATCTCTCTAAGTATTGTTGGTCAGTTTTAACTCTTTTGCTTTGTTTAAAATTCTTATATTTAAACGACTTGTTTAAAGTGAATTTTTACCATTAAATTCAAAATTAAATACAAAAATTATTCCTCTGATAAAAATGAATATTTTTATTACCTCAACAAATCTTTTGTCATTTAAAATATTAATTTTATTTATTTTAATTAAAAATATTTTGACTCTCGAAAATGGACTTGCTAGAACCCCTCCAATGGGTTGGATGTCTTGGACAATATTTTATTGTGAAATTAATTGTTTTAAATATCCAACTGGCTGTATTAATGAACAATTATATAAAGTTGGATTTTTGAAAATATTTAATTAGATTAGTGAGATAATATGTAAATGAGAGGAAATTAATAAGAAGAGACTCGATCAATCAATTTTGGGATCTGATGGTACCAAATCGGGGGAAGCTCCGTATCCATTGAGAAGCTTTCTAATAGTGGTTAACTGGTAGTCTCTCGACTCTCGGTCTGAATCTCGGTTTCGGGGTTGATTCTCAGTCTCGGTCTCGACTCTCAACTCGGCGTTTTTTAACTCTCGAACATCATAGTTTATATACGTGCTAAAAATACGTTCATAGAAATTGTTATTTCTGATCGGCTGGATTCACCTCACTCTAATATAGTTATTGGGGGAAAACGATATTTTTTACTCTCACAATTTCATTTAATATGTAGGATATGGCTGATAAACTAGTTGAAGGTGGTTACAGAGATGCTGGTTATGTTTCAGTTCACATTGACGACTGTTGGGAGGCTAGAGACCGTGATTCTAATGGAAGACTCGTTGCCAATCAAACAAGATTTCCTTCTGGGATTAAATCCCTTGCTGAATATGTATGTAAATTAAAAAAATAAAATTGAAAAAAAATTTATTATTGTAAAAAGATGCATGTCAGAGGCCTTAAATTTGCCATCTATTCTGACATTGGAGATAAAACATGTGCCGGTTTTCCAGGCACTATGGATCATTTAGAAACAGATGCACAGACATTTGCAGAATGGGGGTCTGATTATTTGAAGTTGGATGCATGCAATATTGAATTTGAGCGGATGCCTAATGGTTAGATATTACATTAGGAGGAGAACGGATTATTATAAGTTTACCCAGTGCTAGATAAACAATTTAACTATAAAATAAGGGTGGGGGAACTTCCAAGCGATACCCCCAATTTAGGACAAGACTCATTATAAAAACAATTTTGTCACCATCAAGGTTGAAAAAATGTTATCAAGTTCCAATTGAATAATCAAAAATAAAACAAATTAATTTAGAATACATCAAAATGGGACATTCACTTCTCAAAACTAATCGCCCGATCGTCTATTCGTGCTCTTGGCCAGCTTATCTATACGAAAATCATAAAGCGCTAGTTTATCCTTTAATTGGGGAGCATTGCAATCTTTGGAGAAATTATAACGATATTGACCGTTCTTGGAAGTCTATTCTTTGTAAAGAAATTATTTTAAATTAAAGAAAAATTTTAAAAAATTTCAAGCTATAATTCATTATTATGTTAAAAATCAGGAACTTTTACGAAGTGCTCAAAGGCCGGGAGCTTGGAATGATCCGGATATGGTTGATTAAAAATTGAGGGTTTTGTGACTAAAAATAAAACAATTTATAGATAGTTGGTGGGAATCCTGAAATTACGCCTTCACAAGCACAAGTCCAACTAAGCGTTTGGGCTATTTGGTCTGCTCCTTTAATAATGTCAAATGATTTGAGAACTATTTCAAACGAGAATAAAAAGATTCTTTTAAATAAAAATGTTATAGCAGTCGATCAAGATCCTTTGGGGATTTTTGGAAGGATGGTTTATAAGGTTGGAGTTTACATATCTTGAAAACACTAATTAAGATATAAAATCGGACCTCACAAAAACCCTCAAAATAAGAGGGGTGTGTCTAAGAGAGTGTCTAAGAAATATCCCTATTTCGGATACATATCATTATAAGATAAAATCTTTTTCGGCCTTAAAAATGCAATATCTATAATTATAGCGAAGTTTTCGGTTTAGTAAAATTTACAAAATCAAAAGAATTATTTCTCAAACATTTTTAGGAAGCAAGTTTATATGTTTTTGTGAAGGAAATGATGCCCGCTATTCCTAAAAAAGAACTTTATTCATATGCTATAGCTGTGGTTAATTACGGAACAAAACCATGCGTAAAACGAAATTTTTTAAATAAATTTTTAAAATAAATTTAAAACGTTAACAAATATTTTTTTTATTTAAAAATTAAATAATTTTCAGAAATTCTCAAAAAGTTTATTTTCATTGGGATTAACCTATTTGGGTGGTTATTCAGTAGAGGATTTGTGGAGTGAACAACAACTTGGTTATATGACACCAACTGATGAATACAGTGTTATGGTAAATCATACAAGTGTTTCGATGATTAAAGCAACATTAAAAATGGATTTGAATGATTTAGAAATAGATAAAATGTTATAATAAAATTTTTTTGTTTTGTTTTTTTGATAAAATAATTGAATAAAGGCCCCATTTAAATACATATAGTATTTTATAGATTTACTGTATTTGGTTTTTTACTCATTGAAGCTTTGTCAAAATGTTTTTGACAGAAATCACAAAAAATTCTAATTTCTATTGAGAACTTTTCGGCGGTACGACAATTGCGGATACGCACGTGCGGATGCGACGATTGCGGATATAAATAAAAAATTTAAGATTTTTTAAAGTTTTCGATGCCACATCAGTCTAAAAATGATTCGGAAACCGTTAGAAGTCTGAGACTGATAGCCGGGACTAAAAAACGGGATATCATTTCAATCATTTAAAAAAAATTTTTTTAATTTTTAATCCGCAATTGTCGCATCCGCACGTGCGAATCCGCAATTGTCGTAACACCAACTTTTCTATACAATTTGCACATTAGAATCTCTCTAATACGAAACCCCTCTGATTTCACCCCAAATTTAAAATTAAATAATAACGCGAAAACATTTTAAATTGAATAATTCAAAATGTAAACATACAAAATACCAACTTGCCAATATATCTACAGTCCAAAAGGGAACATTTTGACAGAATTTCTTATGTCCAGAATATTTGAAGAAGGAAATTTAAAGGGTGAGGGGCAGAACTTCGAATGACAAAACTTCGACCAGACAAAACTTCGACCGACAAAACTTCGAATTACCAGAACTTCGTCCAGACAAAACTTCGAATGACCAAAACTTCGTCCAAAGAGCATGGTGTTATTTTGGCGCAAGCAATTATTTTTTTAAACAGGCAATTGGATTTTTTCGGTACCGGAAGTAGCGGAAAAAATCGATCCCGAAAAGTACTAAAAAATCCAAAGCCTGTTTAAAGAAATAATTGCTTGCGCCAAAATAACCCCAAGCTTTTTGGACGAAGTTATGGTCATTCGAAGTTTTGTCTGGCCGAAGTTTGTCTGGCCGAAGTGTCCGTTCGAAGAACTGCCCTGACACGAAATTTAAAAGGAATCAACTGAATATTTTTTTGTTGGACAATTAAATATTGAGAGAGTGTTTTTGTAGAATTAAAATTTTGTTGTTAAAATTTTCTTTTTAGATTGTCAATTAATTTTCTTTAAAATTTAAAATGTATTCTATACCAATTGAAATTCAACTTGATGTGTTAAAATGTCTTGACTTCGATCAATTATTTTCTTTTAAACAAACAAATTTTTACTTTCGAAATTTGGTTAATAAATATGAAAATGGATTGGCTAGAATGAACTTTTATCAACTCGACATAGTAAAATAAATATTAATTTGCTTATCTCTTTTTAGGCTACTTGTCAGCAAAATTTTATTCGCATGCCAGAAACATATAAAATTATTAAACCAGATTCTTTAATTTTTGAATTTACTTTAAATGATCGACTTTTGAAAAAGGTTAAATTATTTTTAATTAAATTATATAATTATTTTTTAGTGGAAAATGGCTATAAATGAATCTATTCCGTTGTTTTTACATAATTCTGAATCTGTTGAAAATGGAAATTTTTATGTTTGTTTGGAGAAAACAGGTTTGAAGTTTGGTAACGTGTTATATCGCCAAAAGCTTGTAATGCCAAACCCCCAAAAGCTGTTGAATTGCCAAACCGTGGAAAAAAGCCTGAAATGTTAAATAAATACCAAACCATAAATTTTGTTGTTATTTTTGATAAAAATTTTTTGTTTGTTCCAACAACAAGGATGTTGTTGTTCCAATTAAATGTTCGCTAGAAAAACTTTAGGGCGTGCGGGGAGGGGCGGAACAACGGGGAATGTAGTTCAAATTGCGGGGAAAGTTGTTCCAACGGATGTCTGTTGTTCAAATGACGGGGACGGTTCCAATGACAGAGGAAGTGTGATGTTGATCCCCCGTTGACGAAACAACATCACCGTTGACGAACCAATTTCCCTCGTTGACGGACAAACATCCCCCGTCGTTGGAACAACATCCTCCTTTGTTGGAACAACACTTTGGTATTTCAACATTTTTTGGGGGTTTGGCATTTCAAGCTTTTGGCAATATAAAACGTCCCGTGAAGTTTAAGGGGGATAATTTTTGTCACGTTTCTTTTTCCCACAAAATTTGGTATTTATCCGGTTCAGAGATCAACCCCATGCGAAGCATGTGATTGATACTTGTTTCATGAAAAATAAGGAGGAAGGTGAAGAAAAATGGTCAGAAAAAAGATGGGAGTTCTGAACCAAAGAATTATCCAAAATTCGGGCGTTGTTTTTTTTTTGCTTTAATAATTCAAAAATAAAATTATTTTTAATTTTTCTATTTAGTGAACAAAAAACAAAGTAATTATATTCTGGAATTTCCAACCATTCCAAAAAATCTGGAAGAAATGATTATTAGTCGATGTTGGTTAGAACAGCTTCTTAAATGTTCTTTTGAACGTGCCTGGTTTGATAAAATTATTTTTAATCCACAAATGATTAATTTATTATTTGATGACAACAACAAAATTCCAATTAAATTCAACATTCAAAAGTCCTCTCTATCGGCTAGCAATAATTCTTTTGAAAATTTTTTGGAATTTTCTTTGAATTATTTGACAATTTCTGACTTTCTTAATATCGATTTTTACGAAGTTAACAATTTAGAGCAACATGTAGATATTTTTTTCAATCTTTTAATAAGCGAAGGCAATAAATTGTCTAAAGTTCGTTTATGCAATTTTACATTGACAAGTCTTCATGATCTTATTACAAAAGTAAGCGATTTATAATATAAAGGCTTATCCAAGAGGTCGATTTCAAAGGGGCCTAAACCAGGGCTCCGATCGACAAAATTCCAATCAATTTTTATGAGCCGGTTTTTTGGCTACGGCTGTACTTTAGTACGTGTACTTTAGTACGTGGGTGCAGGCTTTAAATTACAAATGTTATATCATTTGAAAGAGCTAGTCGAGCTGACAATGAGTCGAATGCTACCAAAATTAGCTCTAGGAAAAATTTTTGAACCGAGATACAGGCGATTGAAAATCGAAAAACCATAGGGGGGACCAAGCACTTTTGTGGGGTGAAAAATTCGAAAATGCAAATTATAGCTCATTCGAAAGAGCTCGTCGAGCTGAGTCGAATGACACCAAAATCAATGAAATCCGACTTGAATGGACAAAGTTATGATCTTTTATTTTAGCTCCTTACCTATGCCATCTGTTGAGATTTTTGCTGCTACGGAGGCCCAAAATACGTCCAGCGCAAGGGAGATAGGAATAGGTTTATGTTACGAGCCCAGACCCAGCGCCCGTAGACTCCCCGCGAGGCGCGTGCCGCAAAACCCCGCGCGAAGCGCGGGGTTTTGCACAAGCGCCTCGCCTACGCCCCATAGGTTTAGGTTTTTTGTTTTTTGTATTATAACTTTGTCTAATCTTGTTCAATCACGGTGATTTTTGTGTCATTTGACTCAGCTCGTCGAGCTCTTTCGAATGAGTTATTATTTGTATAAAAAATTTTTTATTCCAAAAATCGCCCTTTTGGATTTTCGATTTTTAGGGGTCTATATCTCGGTCCATTCAAGTCGGATTCCTTTGATTTTGATGTCATTCGACTCAGCTCGACGAGCTCTTTCGAATGAGGTATAATTTGCATTTTCGAATTTTTCACCCCACAAAAGTGCTTGGTCCCCCCTATGGTTTTTCGATTTTCAATCGCCTGTATCTCGGTTCAAAAATTTTTCCTAGCGCAAATTTTGGTGGCATTCGACTCAGCTCGACTAGCTCTTTCAAATGATATAACATTTGTAATTTAAAGCCTGCACCCACGTACTAAAGTGACCCCACGGCCCTGGATATAGATTGGAAAATTTTTTTGTATTTTTTTAGTATATAGCAACATCAAAGAACCTTTCGAAAATGGTGTCTACTATTATTTTAGATTATTCTTTCTTCACAAATTTTGAATTGGACGAGAGAGCAGAAAATGTTAAAATCGAGATATCTGATAAAATAAAACGTACAAAATACCAAATTTCCAATATTCACAATCCAAAAGTGAAATTTTTGTTTCACAATGTAGAAATGGAAGATGGATCAATTTTTCACATTACTATTTCTAGAATGGATTTGTTGAGTGAACAAAAATAAAAATTTGTTTAAAAAATGTTTGGTTAAATATAATTTAAATTTTTGGTTTATTTTATTTTTTGTTGTTGATCACAATTATAATTACATATAAATTTGTTTAAATATTCAGGAACTTTTTTGTTTCTTTAAAACAATTTTAAACTTGTAAATATCTTTTTTGAATATTAAGGGTTACCAAAGTGGACCGGCTCGGTCCGAAAAATTGAGTCGGCATAGAATATTTGACCCGGAAATGACAAATAAGGGTAATTCCAAACCTTTTCCTCCCCCCCCCCCCTCAGTTTTTTTGCTTCTAAAAATTGTAAATAATTCTCAGATCTTCTTCCTCTATTCTCCTATATTCCCCTGTTCTCCTATATCCTCCCAAAATCAATCCAGAAAAATGCCTCGAGCATCGGCCCTACTCGAAACTTTAGCCCTATTAATAAACACTAAATTTTTTTGTTTTTAAGAAGGCAAAATTTTATTTTTAAAATGCTCTTCAATCTCTCAACAGAAGCAAAATTAGACGTCTTAAAATGTCTCAATTTTTATCAATTACTTTCTATTCGACAAACAAAGCGGCATTTTAATGATTTATTTATTCGATACGAAAATGAATTGACCCGTTTCCATTGCAAAAAACTTTATATTGTAATTTTAAATATTTTATTTTTTTAAATTTTTATTTTTTAAAGTTGGACAGGAAACGTTTTGTTGAAGTTATTGTTAGTTGTGAGGATATACTTAATGGAATTGATCTTTGTCTGGAAATAGAGCCTAATTTGGGTGATTCTAATTTTACATTGAGTGATCAACTGAAAGAGAAGGTTGGGAATTTTGTTTAAAAATATGGTGATAGTTCGGTTTAGACCCCCCTCCCCCATTTATTTTTCTGACCATTTTTTCATTTTTCCTTCTCTTTCTCCCTTATTTTTCATGAGGCAAGTATCAAAAAGGATTAAGATGACTCCACCACAGAATCATGAAAAATAAGGGAGAAAGAACGAAAAATGAAAAAATGGTCAGAAAAATAAGCGGGGGTCTAATCCGAACTATTATCAAAAATATTATTTTAATTGAAATTTTCAGTGGGAATTTTTGATAGGAAGACATCTTTGTTTAAACAAAAATTTGACTGACAATGAAATTTATTTTGTTATTAAAGGTTAATTTTAATTTTTTTTGATTAATTAAATATTTATTTTTAAAGACAATTCAATGTCACAAAAAGTGCTCTTCAAAATTCCAACTTCTCCAAAAAATATTGACGACCTTCTAATTATTCGTTATTGGCTAGAACGCCTTTTTAATTGTGTCTTTGAAAATGCCAAATTTTTTAAAATTTTGTTTAGTCATCGATTTATTAAATTACTCTTTCATGACTACTCAATTCCTCCTCAATTCAAAATTAAAAATGCTTTTTTAAAATATTACGAACCTAATTTTGGAATGAATTTTGTTTTGCATAATTTGGCTGTTTGTGAATCTTTTAAAGTTAAATTTACTTGTGCTGTGGCAGAATATGAAATAACTGATGAAAATGAGTTGAATCCAATTTTGAATATTATTTTGAATGAAGGAAAAAGATTTCCAAATATTTGTGTTAGATATGCAAAATTAAATGAATGGCATGATATTATATTGAAGGTAAATAAATTAATAAATATATTATAATTGTAAGTAATAAGAAAGGAAAAATTAATTTGGACGGCATTTACCCGAACTGTATGTAAAATTTCAAAAAATTTTTGCACCATCGTGTAGAGCAGGGTCGGAATGAAGGGTCGAAACCTTTAATATTAAAAATGAAGGAGACTCTGCCGCTCTAAAATACTGAAACTTTGATCAGCTATAACTTTTCGATTTGGAGGTCAGGGGGAAAAAGAAAAAAATGGCCAATAGGTTTTCGACCCTGCTCTACACGACTGTGCTAAAATTTTTTCGGAATTTTTACATGCAGTTCGGGATGTTTCCCTGTTAGTTTTTAAGTTTAGAGAATATATAAAAAAGTTTAAGAAGTCAGCCCTGCAACTCAATAAACAAATCAAAGCTTAATGAGATTATACATAGGTTCGAATCCTGCCCGATGGCTAATTCTCTAGCAAAAAAAGTTGCATAATTTCAATAAAAAATTTTAAATTTTAATAGGCAATCGAAACTACAACAAATCCTTCAAATATTTTGTCCAACATTGACTTTAGAGTTAATTGGGATTATTATGATATGCAACCTAAAAAAATCAGTCAACGAGCTAAGAACATTCAACGATTTACAACAAAATATAAGGGAGAACCTCACAAAGTCTTAAAATATGAAATTACAAATATTCATAATTCTAAAGTGAAGTTCTTGATAAGTTATTGGGATTGTATTGAAGAAGATTATATTGACAGATTCCAAGTTGAACGAATTAAATAAATTTAAATTATTTTTGTTGTATTTTAGAATGCCTATAATATAGGGAGGCAACAAATTTTTTTTCTGTCTTTCAAGCGATAAAATTAATAATTCTTCTTTATTTGATTTAGAACTTTTGGAAAAATGCTAGTAAATATTTTTGAAAACAAAATTTTTTTCTAAATGTTCAATAATATGGATTAAGAAATCGGTCCCTAGAGGGATCTCTGATCGTCGTAGAAATATGTATTTACATATTTTAAGAAATCCTATGATGAAATTGCACTTTGCATTTCATCATTTAGGGGGGTTCCCTCATTCAATGAAAAATACTTCTCGAAAAATGAAATTCTTTTTAATATTTTTATTGAGATTTGGAATATTTTGTGTTTCTACTGGAACATTACGTGAGCTTTCAGAAGTCTATTATATTCTGGTTACATTTAGCATATCTACATTTTTGTATCACATAGAGACAGAAAATTGTATTTTGTTTGAAAAATATATAGCATTTTTGTCTATTTGTTTAATTTATATGAATATCTAAGGAAAACAAATTGTCATATGGCGAGACTTAAATTATTTTGTCATAGGAAATAATGAAATCAGTCAAAGTGCTTTTCGGCTTCCCTTTAAAATCCCCTGATAAATTCATTTATTGAAAAATAAATTTTTTTAAAAAATATGAATTCTTTAATAATATTCATTATTTTTTTAAATAATTATTTGTTAATATTTTGTGTTTTTGCTGGAAATAATAATAGTAGTGAGTAATGTTTTATATTTGAGGGGAAAGATAATTAATCTAGAATTTTTATATTTTATTTTTAACAGTCCAACCAACTCTTTTTAATTTCAACACAAATTCTGGCGACTCCCGATCGAAAACTCAACCAAAAAATCAAATTGGATTTAATCGGAAGATTGGAAATTGTGAATATTTAATTAAATAATTTAAATAAAAAAATTTTTAGCAAAGTTTTTATCAGCAAATTCAAAAGAATTATTTGGAAATAAATATTCTATATTAGCAAAGGCTAATAAAAATGAAGTTAAAGATGAGTCTCCATCAGAAGCTTGTAATTAATTAATTTATGTATATTTTAAGTTTTCAAGAAATAGTGAGTAGAGGGCAAGCTGGATCTGGATCCAGACTTTGATTTTCCCTGGATCCAGAGTGTCCAGATCAAGGCATTTTTCAGAGTTCCTTGATTTTTCCCTGACTCAAGGTGAAGAAGCTGGTCAAGGTACCTAACCGAAATCGAGGTTAAGTTTTTTTGAAAATCTCGCTCTCTAATAGTAAAACAAAATCTATGGATAATAAATAGATTAGATAAAATAATTTAAATGTTTTTGATAAAATAATTGTTAAGAAAGACCTTAAAAAATCAACATTATGGGCCTACGATATTTAATTTTTAAATTGAAATAAATTTTTAACAAAAATTGGCAAAGTGTATTTTTGACAAAAAATCCTCATGGTTAGTGAATTTGAGGAAATTTCTCTGCCCTCGGAACAGGACCATTGTGTACCGGCCGGTTGTGTACCTGGCCATATTTTGGGCCATAACTTTTTCGATTCTTAATTGATTTAAGTAATTAATATATCAATCGAAAGCCCTGGATGTGAGGATTAATTACGCCAATAGGATTAATTTGATCAGATCATGTTACAAAAAGTTACAGCCTGATAAAGATCAAAATCACGATTGCGCGCATTTATCAGGCTGTAACTTTTTGTAACATGATCTGATCAAATTAATCCTATTGGCGTAATTAATCCTCACATCCAGGGCTTTCGATTGATATATTAATTACTTAAATCAATTAAGAATCGAAAAAGTTATGGCCCAAAATATGGCCAGGTACACAACCGGCCGGTACACAATGGTCCCCTACCGCTCTGCCCTATTGTTTTCTTTTAAGTTGTTTTTGTTTTCATTGTTTATTCAGAAAATATTTTTAGATTTATTTTAATCAATTCTCATAAAGAATAAATTATTAATCAGAAAATTTTATCAGCTTCATCTATAGTTAGAACCGCCATGTTTTTTAATCGTGCAGCTACTGCTCCTTTTAAAGACCGCCATGATGCTGGGCAAAAATTGGCTGAAGCTTTAAAGAATTTTAAATCTCAAAGGGACAAAGTTGTGGTTCTAGCATTGCCGAGAGGAGGTGTGCCTGTTGCTTTTGAAGTGGCAAAATCGTTGGGGGCACCTTTGGATTTGTTAATGGTTTATTTTTTAAATTGTTTTTTTTAAATTTTTCTCAAGGTTCGTAAAATCGGTGCTCCAGGACATGAAGAATATGGAATAGGTGCTGTAGTTGAAGGGAATCCTCCAGAATTGGTTATGAATGAAGATGCTGTTAAATACACTCAACCTCCAGAGGGATATGTTCAAGCAATGATGGAAAAGCAATTAAAGGAAATTGCACGCCAAAGAAATGTTTTTTATAAATTTATTTAAAATTAAAGGGTTGGATATTTTTTATTAATGGAATGACCTTAAAATAGATTTTTTAAAATTTTATTAGAAACAACAACTTTCTTTGCCCAAAAGAGCCTATTTTATTGGGAAAATTTTTGGCTGTAGTGTAGCTCACCGGAGGTAAAAGTTCGGGTCGTGACATGTCATTCGATTCGTCTCGACGAGCTGAGTCGAACGGTACCACTCCCAATTTCAGGAAATGATTCTGGACCGAGTTATAGGCCCCGAAAAATTGAAAAACCATAGGGGGAGTAAGGTCGATTTTGGAGTAAAAAATTCAAATAGGTTCTTCGGGCTCAGTCTCTCGACCCGAAGACTCAGCTCGACGAGCTCTTTCGAATGAGCTATTATTTGCATATTCGAATTTTTCACCCCAAAATCGAGCTTACTCCCCCCTATAGTTTTTCAATTTTTCGGGGCCTATAACTCGGCCCAGAATTATTTCCTAAAGTTGAGAGTATGTCACGTCCCAAACTTTTGCCTCCGGTTAACTACACTAAAGCCAAATTTTTTTATTTCCCCAAAAACAATTTTTTACTTGATTTTATTCTCTAAAATTCAAAATAATTTAGCGTTATTTGGGTGATCGACCTCCTCTTTCACTTGCCGGCAAAATCGCAATTGTTGTTGATGATGGAATAGCTACAGGAGGGACAGCAAGAGTAGCAATGAAAGCCCTACGTCAAAAGAATGTTGCAAAGGCATTGTTGGCATCCCCTTTAGCTCCTTCTGATACACTTGGTATTTTTTTAAACTTCAACTTCCTATCAAAATTTTGAAAAAAAATTTTTAGCCGAACTTCGTGCAGAAGGCAATGAAGTACTTGTTCTTGAAACCCCTCCAAATTTTTCTGCTGTTGGACTTCATTATACAAAATTTGACCAGACTAGTGATGGTAAACATTTTTTAAAATATTTCTTATTTTATTAACATATTTTTAAGAGGAAGTAATTGATTGCTTGGAAAAATCGAGGGAATGGTTGCCAAAAAGTAATGATTTAAAGAATTAAGTTTTTAATATTTCTAATTTTATTTGGATTTTATTTAAATTGCCTACTATTTTTGTAGTTGTAAAAACTAAAAAATTAATATTTTGCAATTATTTTACAGATTATTTAAATAATAAAAAATTAATAATTTATTTACATTTTTTATATATCCCTCTTTAACTAACAGCAAATCAAAATATTAACAGAAAAATAAGTAAAGCAAAAAAATAACATGTATCAGACAATTTGGGGGGGTTTTTCAATAACTGTTAGAAATACTAAAAAATAATTTAATTCTGATACATGTTTTTAAGCAAAAAACGATTTAAAGTAGAATACTTGAATGGTTTTTGAAGTGAAAATTATTTATTTTAATCAGGCTAGATAAGATTTTTAGGGTGATTCATAAGATTAAAAAGATTCTCAAGCATTTTTTCTATTACCTAACTCCATTTTCAGAGGATCTTTAGCTTGTTCTCATTAAGAAAGGAAAAGATCTGAATTTTATAACATTAACAAAGCTGTTTTAAACTTAAAAATGTTTGGAAATTTTGAAACAGCTCCACTTTAGATGGAGAAATACAGAAAATAAATTCAATTTGTTACTTGTCAACATCGTTTAGAAAGGATTGAATGCCCACAGCCGTTGCAACTGGACTTATTTTCCTTGAAATTAATTTTTTAAATATATTTAAAAAACTTGTCTAATGCATATTGATCATCGCAGATTTATTTTTTTATTTCCTTCAAGTTCAATCGGTGGATCTAGTCATTAAAGGGATTGGCGGGATTAAGAGGGATATCGGTGGTTCCAAACTTGTTGTGTTACTTAACTTTACTATTTTTTGAATTTATTTTAGATTCAGGTGAATGGCATGTTCGAATGTCCGTGCCGGATCAAGGCCATCTACCCAGGAAATGGCACCGTAATTGTCCATTACCTTGATCCATTCATTGAACATAATAATCATCTCTGGTTTTATTTAAAAAATATCTTTAAAGAATAATTTTATATTTTAGAAGCCGCTTCTCAGCGGGACGCAAACACTGAAGCCAAACTAACAAAAAAACAAGTTCCGGTTCTCTTCTTTTTCAAGTAAATTAAGGCATTACTTTCACTTAATTTAAATATCCCGTTAAAATCCCTGAGACTTTATTTTTCAAAGGGTTTCATTGAGTAGTTTTTGGTTAGGGATAAATAAAAAACAATATTTATTTTTGGGCGGGGGATCATTGAGTCCCGCCGTTGAGCCATGTCCGGTTGAGTCCCAACGATTCCTCACATCGAGCTAAAGAGATTGGTACCAAAAATGATAAGGGCCAGATATTTTCCAGCAAGTTATGGCTTTGCGCCCTTATGGCCCGTGTCTAATATTACTGGCTATTTTCTAATTGTAATTTCCACAATGGAACTAATTTCAATTTGTAAGATAATTAGAGACCGTGCTTTGCTTTTCAATTTTTAAGCAATAGCAAAATATCGTTCCAGTCTACTTTAATTTTTTAATTACACAACTAATTAATATGATACGCGTTTATTGCCAAAATATATTTAATAAAGAAGCAGCAGACCCACTTTTCGACTCAATTATTTATTTCGAGAATTGAATTTCAAAATACTGAAGAAGTTAATAAAAGAGGGGAAATGGCATTAATTGGAATCAAGGCCAACTATCCACAAGATGGCACCGTCATCATCCATACCTTGATCCATTCATTGAACATAATCATCTCTGGTTTTATTTGAAAAATATCTTTAAAGAATAATTTTAAATTTTAGGAGCCGCCTCGGAGCGGGATGCCGATGCTGAAGTCAAAATAACAAAAAAATCTATTTTTTATTTATTGTTGACTTTGGGACAAACCGAAATACCAAATTTCCAACATTTATAATCCAAAAATTAAGTTCTCTATCGTATCCGCGGGACTTGCAGTCAAAAGGCGTTGAATTTGAACGAAATCTAATTTTTTTATAATTTATTTTAAATCAAAAAAATAGATTTTTTTTGTTATTTTGACTTCAGCATCGGCATCCCGCTCCGAGGCGGCTCCTAAAATTTAAAATTATTCTTTAAAGATATTTTTCAAATAAAACCAGAGAAGATTATGTTCAATGAATGGATCAAGGTATGGATGATGACGGTGCCATCTTGTGGATAGTTGGCCTTGATTCCAATTAATGCCATTTCCCCTCTTTTATTAACTTCTTCAGTATTTTGAAATTCAATTCTCGAAATAAATAATTGAGTCGAAAAGTGGGTCTGCTGCTTCTTTATTAAATATATTTTGGTAATAAACGCGTATCATATTAATTAGTTGTGTAATTAAAAAATTAAAGTAGACTGGAACGATATTTTGCTATTGCTTAAAAATTGAAAAGCAAAGCACGGTCTCTAATTATCTTACAAATTGAAATTAGTTCCATTGTGGAAATTACAATTAGAAAATAGCCAGTAATATTAGACACGGGCCATAAGGGCGCAAAGCCATAACTTGCTGGAAAATATCTGGCCCTTATCATTTTTGGTACCAATCTCTTTAGCTCGATGTGAGGAATCGTTGGGACTCAACCGGACATGGCTCAACGGCGGGACTCAATGATCCCCCGCCCAAAAATAAATATTGTTTTTTATTTATCCCTAACCAAAAACTACTCAATGAAACCCTTTGAAAAATAAAGTCTCAGGGATTTTAACGGGATATTTAAATTAAGTGAAAGTAATGCCTTAATTTACTTGAAAAAGAAGAGAACCGGAACTTGTTTTTTTGTTAGTTTGGCTTCAGTGTTTGCGTCCCGCTGAGAAGCGGCTTCTAAAATATAAAATTATTCTTTAAAGATATTTTTTAAATAAAACCAGAGATGATTATTATGTTCAATGAATGGATCAAGGTAATGGACAATTACGGTGCCATTTCCTGGGTAGATGGCCTTGATCCGGCACGGACATTCGAACATGCCATTCACCTGAATCTAAAATAAATTCAAAAAATAGTAAAGTTAAGTAACACAACAAGTTTGGAACCACCGATATCCCTCTTAATCCCGCCAATCCCTTTAATGACTAGATCCACCGATTGAACTTGAAGGAAATAAAAAAATAAATCTGCGATGATCAATATGCATTAGACAAGTTTTTTAAATATATTTAAAAAATTAATTTCAAGGAAAATAAGTCCAGTTGCAACGGCTGTGGGCATTCAATCCTTTCTAAACGATGTTGACAAGTAACAAATTGAAAAAAATAAAGATTAGATGAGTAAAGGAAAGCTGGATGAGTAATCGAAAAATTTTGGGGGTGATTTACGCATCCAGTTTCAGGAGTTTTACAACACTAGCAAAGTGTTTTCATTAAAAATGTTCAGAAATTTCGAAACAGCTTTGTTAGACTTTTTAGAATTTGTTTATATATTCAATCAGATCCCTTCCCAGTCTTAACTTTCTTTAGAATATTAATACAATATAAAAACAAAATTTAAAAAATCACCAAAATTAATGTCCATGTCCTCCATGACTTACTGAAGAAATGAAAGCAGGAATCAATGCAGAAACACAGAAAATTAAAATATCAAAGATTGAAGGTCTCCCGGAAGATTGTGAAGTACTTAGTCCTCCAAGTAATAATTCTCGACTTCCATTCATTCCAGAATTTTGGATTGAAGAACATCGGGATTCCTTAATTGATTTAAAAATAAGTTTTGTCTAAAAGAATCTCCCAAACCATTAATTCTGGCATAACATGAACAGTCGCAATATAAAGAAAAGTGCCCGCAGAAAAAAGCAAAATTAAGCCAGTAACATTCGAAGATGGAAGTGTTTCTCCAGTCACAGGTCCTTCAACTGTTCCAGAAGTCTGGAATTTATTTTTAAAAATTTCTAAATTACAAAATTCAAACCATTTGAAGTAAAGCGTAGGTAACAACAGTTCCAATTGGAGCAGCCAACGAAAATATCAGCAAATGCCGGCGTATCCTCAATTTGTCAAGGCCTTGTGCCAAAAGAATACTGGTTAGGGCAAATGCTGCAGGGGCCTTTTAAGTTAATTTTTTTAAAACAAATTACAAAAATTAAAAAAAACCTTATGTAACATAATAGCAACAAAAACAAGCATTTGCATTTCCAATTTGGATCCGGCACTTGACGCGCTTCCCATAGCTATTCCATCAGCTTAAAAAATATTTTTTTAAACAAATTTAAAAAGAAATAATAAAATTTACTAACCAAATGCATGAATAACCAATCCAATTGTAGAGACACTTTTACTATTATTTCTGCCATATGTCCCCATTTTTGTTAATTGTTCAATCACAAACATAAATAAAAATCCAATCAGAAGAGGAAAACCAATTTTTCCATCAATACCATTTTTATGCTGCCTTTCATCAAAATGTTTATCTGGATGATTTTTATTGTATATGACTTCACGTTTTTTAGGAAATTTTGCCAAATTTTTGTTGCCATCTTCTTTAATTTTATTATTTTCGATTGGTGCAACGTTTTTATCCTTACTTTAAAAAAGAAAAAATGGTAATTCTTCAGTTTAGACCCCCCTCTCTCCACCATTTTCCAGAATCCTTTTGTGGCATCTGTTATTTTATTATGGCTAATTTTATATCATTCGAAAAAGCTTTCCGAGCTTAGTCGAATGTAGCTAAAATAAACAAAGACTGACTTAACTGAACAAAGTTATGATCACATAAGCTTTCCCACCATTTTCTAGAATCCTGCTAAATTATAGCTCAAGCAAAAAAGCTCAAAATGGTCAAGCATCCACGAAAATGGTGGGGGGTCTAAACCGAAGAACTACCGAAAGAATTCTCTTTAAATTAAAAAAATAATTACTTTTTATTATCAACTTTTCCTTCATTTCGCTGATTCCTCAATCGTTGATCATCATTGACAATAGGAACTACTGCAGGTTTTGGTATATTCAAAGCCATTTGTTCAGAAAGTTTTGCTTGTACTGGCTGATTTACTTAAAATTAAAATATTTTAAAAAAAAATAATTCCCAAATTTACTTATTTGTTGATTCTCTAAATGAGAATTGGATGACTCCAAAAGTGCAGAAACTCCTTCAGGAATTATTACACAAAGAGCAGTACCGACTAAAAGACCCGCACCAAATATACTCGCAATTCGAATTCTTTTCTTAAATTTTGTTAAAATTAATAAAATTAAAAAAACTTAATTTCTTACCTCATTCAAAGTAAAAAACAAAGGAATGCATCCAGCAAAATAGGAGCCAACAAATAATGTAAGAGAAATAAGTGCTAAAATAGGCTCATCCATGCAAACGTTTTTTCTTTCTATTTAAAAAAATAAAAAAATTAAAGAAAAATTAAAGAAAAAATATTAAATATTTTTTAATAATAAATTTAAAAAAAATAAAAATTAAAGCATTCATTTATATTTTAGAATACATAATTAAAAACAAAAATTATAAATTAACTTAAAAACCAAAAAAACATTTTTTAACGAATATCCATTCCAAATTTGTCAACTAAATAAGATTCAATCTTCTTATGAATAACATTAACTTCTTCTTTGGAAAGTGGACGGTCCATACTTCGGTAGGTAATTCTATAAGTTTGGCTTTTACGTCCAGTCTTCTTATTTAAATATTCATCCGACAATGAAACCTAGAAAATAGAAAAATGAGAAGAAAATATTACAAAATAATTATGGAGAGACGTGAAGGAGAGAATTTTCCCTCATGAAACGAGAAAATAAAAAAATTAACAGGAATTTGAATCAGGATTGATAATGAAAGAGGGATCGAAGGCGAAAAATTTTCCTTTCTTTATGATTCCCCTCCCAACATCATTTTCCTTTACTTACAAAGGGTCCTAACTAGGGTTGGGGTTTTCGAGCGGGCCGACGTTCGAGTCATTTTTTCGGGCTCATGTTTATCGGACCGGCCCGCCCGAACTTTTTTCGAGCCAAAATTCGAGGCCCGACTCGATCTTTCGGACCGGGCCCCCAACCCTAGTCCTAACTAATGTTTAAATAAATTACCAATACCTGTTCGATCAAATCGCCTCCAATCATACGAATAACATCAAAAACATCAGAACGTAATGATTCAATACTAGAATCTCCTTCAAAGTGTTCTGGCAACCAAAAAGAAATATCCATAAAAAGTTGTGGCTGTTTGCTAATTTCTTTGTATTTTACAACATCTGAGGGACTTAGTCCTTTAAATTGATTGATAAAGCCTGTATCTTTCGACCAAAAGAGACGAATGTCTGGAATGCCATAAAGGATCATTGCGAGACGTTCAAGACCTAAAATTAAATAAAAATTAGAAATGTTGTTTCCTTTCAGCAGTATTAGTGATAAACATGTTAAGTGAAAACAAGGAGGTCAGGAATAGGGAAGGAATAGGGAAGGCCGAAATGGGGAAAAGGAAAAATTTTGGATAGGGTGTGGGCAAAAAAGTAAATTTTTTGGCCTAAAGACACACCAGAAAATTAAAAGTGATAATTATAATTATTTACCCAATCCAAAAGCCCATCCAACACGTTCTCCCGCTCCTGCCGAATCCAAAAGGCTTTGTTCCATTATTCCACATCCAAGAACCTATAAAAATAAAATTATCAATAATTTGCCTAAATATTTTTCTTTCCAAACCTCCAACCATTTATCTTCAAACAAAACTTCCAATTCAAAAGATGGATGAGTAAACGGAAAATATGTTGGAGTCCATCGCATTTCAATTTCGCCTTCTGGTTTTGCACCAGAGAAGATTGCCTGACATAACATTTCAAGTGTTTTCTTAAGTTCTGATTCGAGTAGTTTTGCTGTAGCAATAGTATGAGTTTCTTGCTTTTCGTCAGTTCTTATAGGTTCAGAATCGTGATGGATTTCCTCAAAAAAGGGCATCGGGGAATCTCTTCCGAACAATTCATGGGGCGCATAGGTTCGAACACCTAATAATTTAAATAAGAACTAAAATAAAGAGTAAACCTTCAATTTGATGAAAGCAAGGGAAATGTGTCTGAAAATAAAAATTGAGAAAAATTAGAATTTAAAATAGTAGGCAAGGACTTCAATTCCACTAAATAGAAAAGCAAGGACTTCAATTCCACTAAAATAATTTTTAAGGCAAAGAAAATTCCCCCAAAAATCAAAGACCTTATCAATTTCGTCTCTTCTGTAAACATCACCAACAATAAGGAAATTATCCAGCCCCTTCTTAAGCAACTCAAATTGATGCGCAGAAGTATGAGCTCGAAGACAAAAATCATCGCTAGCGTAATAAGTGTCGGATGTTCGTCGAGATGGATGAGCTTCAGGAATTAGAAGAGAATCAAAATTTTCAAAAACATCCACCAGGCGAGGTTCATTCTCACAAATGGCGAAGAGCGGAGAACTGGCACGTGGCTTTCTAAAAAATAAAAATATAAGATATTTTATAATGTTAGAACACAATTAAGTAAAGACAGTTAGGCTAACATAAGCAAAACAAGAAAAATGAGACAGACCAAAATTTTTTTTCTGAAAATTTTTTCCAGGAAATTTTTCAAATAATTTATGAAGACTTATTCCCATAAATTTCAAAAATATATAATTTATTCAAAAAAACCTATAAGTTGAATTGAAGTAATCCGTAATTTTTCTTTTCAACAAATTGAGTGGATTTCCTTCTTCCTCCAAAAGTCTACGTTGTAACAACTGCTCGACACGTGTTGAAATATTCCAAATATCTGGAGATGTCGCAATACGTCTCCCATCCAACTCAAAATGACTCGGAGCATCAAATCGTAAACCTGAAGGTTTTGGCTGTTCTTGCTTTAAATTTTTGCAGGTTGCATCCAAAGAATAAGGTCTAAAATTAATTTTAGATTTTTAAACAAAAATTAAAAAAAGAAGAAAAAACCTGATTAAATGGAAGTAATTTAAATGTAATTGTCCAGCTACTGAATAATTCACTAAAAGTAATTTAGAAAAAACTTTCATAGTCTTAAGAAACACCAATTTTCTAAAATTTTAAATTTGAGGAAATCTTTATGTAAGATGGGTAAAAAATTTTTTTAAAACAGGAAATTTAATCGCAATGAAATGGACGTTTCAGACAAAATGGTACAGTACAAAATGTTCAAGACAAAATGGTACATCCTCAAGTCGTCCGACTACGATTCGTCCCACATCAATTTGGCTCACTCCTAATTCGTCCCACTGAACAAAAACCACTGATGGGAAATTAAGAGGAAGAAATGAATCAAAAAATGGGTAAATCATTTCAGAAAAATGTTTAACTTTATAAAAATGCAACATAATAAAAGTAAATTTAAAAATATTTTGGAGTTAAAACTTTAGTAAATGACATTCAAAAGATATTGTTTTCGTGAACAGTCTTCTGTAGTTAATGCTTAACATAGGGACTTCCTTCCCCCAAATAGTTTTGTGTTCGAACGGTGAAAAGTGAAAAACTTTCATGTGTATTGCTAAATTTCAAATTTATATAATAAATCATACAATTTAATTTCTACATAATACAATTTACAAGGTGTTCTAATTATATAAAGATACGGTACTTGTGGGTTATCCCTACAGACATTTTTGATGGACTTTATTTGCGGGCACGGAATTGCCAGTTTCTCCCTCCTTCTCTCCTATTCACTTGTCAACTTATCAAACAAGAATAAACAATTTTCTTGGATGTACTTAACTGTAATAAAGTAAAGTTAGGCCCAAATATATATTCGTTTAGATCAAATTTAACCCTTAACGAGGGAGAAAACTTACCATTCCGTACAGTCTGTAGGGATAACCCACAAGTACCAAAAATACTATGTAGTAGAGATCGGTATTTTCAAAAATCCTGGATCTGGATTTAGGTCAGTAACCTGGACAAGATTCTGGATCTGGATCCAGAAAAAATCCAGGACGATCAAAATATGCCTGGATCTTGACTCTGGATCCAAGAAAAATCCAGACGGGATCCAGTTCGATCTCTACTATATAGACATATGTTAAATTCAATTTAAATAAAAAAATTAAAATATCCCAAATGTTGTTCCAAAAATTAAAAAAAATTTTTTCCAAATTTTTCTTTTTCTAAAAATCTTCTCCCTTCTCATGCATTAATAAATTTTTCCAAAGTTTTCTCATTTAAATAAGAAGCTCCAATTTTAATTTTTTCTTCTTCATCTACTTCAATATATTTTTTAAAATCATTTTCTTTTAATGATTTAATTTTATCTTTTAATGATTGAACAATATTTTCTTTAATTTTTTCTTCTTTTTTAATTTTAAAACCAATAACCCAACCAGTACATTTCCAATCCTTAAGAAAATAATTTTTAAAAAATAAAGTTAATTTTAATTAGAGAGGCCAACCCTAATTAAGAGAAAAGATGTTGATGGTAATGCGTGCGGTGAATAAAGTTGCCAGAGGAAGCGTAGCGAGCGGAGTGTTATTGGTATACCACAAGGGTGTGCGAGTTTTGCCTTTCGCCTTTCGCGGATTTTCGCGTTTTTTGGACTTTCGCGTTTCGCGTTTCACTTTTTAAATTTACTTACGCATTTCGCGTTTAACTTTTTAAATTTAATTTCGCCTTTCGCGTTTCGCTTTTCAAAATCCGTTTCGGCACACCCCTGGTATACCACTTGGTCTGGCTTTAGGCCGACCAAACACTAGGCCATTGATTAATGAAGAACTAAGTTGGAATGAACATCAACTAAGCCGCTTTTCCTTATTGTCCTTCAGCTTAAATGCACCTTCTCTCTAGGCGGTTTTTAGTTTCTCAAGGATTACACCTTTAAGCCTTACAATAATAATTTAAAAAACCTTTTCCTTTATATTCGTAGCTTCTGGACACTTTTCTCTTTTAAATAAAGCTTTTGGGTTTATATGGAAATATTCAATAAATTTTAATGTTTCAAATTTTTTTATTATAAGAAATGTTAAATGACTTTCGATAATATCACAAATTGAAGGACCTTCCAAACTTTCTGGGGAATAAGCACAAATAACGAGTAAATAATGTTGATACTAAAAATAATTGTTTAATTGTTTAATTGAAAAATATTTAGTTTTATTAAAAACTTTATCTCATTCTTTGCAATAAGAACTTTAATGTTAATAATATACCTAAATATTTTGTTTGTTTTAAATGGGTTTATTAAATATTATTTCAAAAAAGTAAATAGTAAGGTTATTCCTTGATAGAGGGACACGGGGAAAATTCTCGACGAGATAGTGCCACAAGTTGCAGTGGTGGGTCGCAAATTTAGAGAATTTTGGGGGTCATAAAGCAAGGACGGGGTAAAACTATAGTAAATATAGGATAGGTGGCATTATAACTTATTTCTTAATTAGGATGGTCGGTTTAACCAAATTTTTTGGTTAACCGATAAACCGAACCGAAAATCTCCAGTTTTTCGGCTCGGTTCGGTTTTCAAATGTTCGGTTTTCAACTTATTTAATAAAAAAAAATTTTTTCTTAAGATTTAATGTCTTTAACCATTTTTACAAAATTTTCTCCATTTATCCATTCATTCCATTTTTCAATAATTTTATTTTCATCTTCCAACTTTTCAATTTCATTTAATTGTTTAATTGCTAAAAATTAATTTCAAATATATTTTAAAGCATATAGCTATTTAATTCTTAAGGCTATGCAGTAGGCGATGTGGTGTAATGGCTAACACCTCAGTCCGGTCTACTGAAGATGCTCCCAGCCGCCGAATAACCTTTTGCACTAGCTAAAGGAGAGAAATAGCTATAGCCCAGCTGCTTTTAATATATTTTAATTTAAATTTCTCTAACCATTTCCAATTTTTTCTTCAATTAAAATTTTTGTAAAATAATTAATTTTATAAGCAACATTTTGTTGTGGATACCCAAAATCATTAATTTCCAAAATAATTTTTGTATTTTCTGAAGATAATAAACTAGCAAAACCATTATTCTTCAACTCAAATTCTCTTCTTTCTTTTTCATTTTTTAACTTCCAATCTTCAATATTTTTATTTTTATCTTCTTCTATTTTTATAATTTTATTTTCTTTCCTTTAAAAATAAAATTATTTTTTTAAAATAAATTTATAGGGGTTTTTACTCACATAATTTCAATAAATTCTTTGAAAATTTTTTCAATTAAAATTTTTGTTGAATTTTCATTTTTATTTTCTTCAATTGTTTTATAAACCAAAATTGAAAATATTTTATCATTTAAAAGACCAAATATTTCTCCAAAAATTGAATTTTCTAAAAGAAATTTTTCAAAATTAAAGGGAGAGAGAGATTTGTCAGCTATTACTGTATTTAGAATGGAGTTTAACTTTAATTAATTAGGGAGACTTTGATCGAGGAACTAAAAGCCTCCATTCATCTAATCTTTCTGGAACTAACATCATTCGACTCAGCTACCAATAAATTATAATGGTAGCTGAGTATTCCACTAAATTATGTAAGGATGATTCACCTAGAGCTTATGTAAGGATGATTCACCTAACGATTTTCTTAAATTATTAATCTATTTAAAACGTTTAGGCGGGTGTTAAACGATCTAAAAGGATAAAAGAGAAAGAATTAGTCGTCGCCCCGATAGCTCGTCGGTGGTAGAGCAATGTGAGCAAGGCCGAGCGATCACTGTCAACGTTGTCGCAGGTTCGAATCCTGTCCGGTGGCTAAGCCTTTGCTAAACTCTTTCTATTATAAGTAGTATTGTATAAAGAATAAGTATTTAATAAATAAAAATTTAAATACTTACTTATGGCCCAAACTTTTATAACTTTAAATAATTTCCAAAACTTTTCTTCAATTCCCTTTAATACTTGCAACATTTGTAAATTTGAACGATTTTCTTAAATTATTAAAATTAAAAATATTTAAATTTTAACATTATCACTATGAAGGGGAAATTGAAATTTAAACTAGGGTTGGTCCCCGAGCCTTCGGGGTTGGAAAAGTCGGGGGTCGGGGTTTTCGGGGTTGACAAAGTCGGGGTCGGGGTCGGGGTTGCTCAAATTGTTCGGGGTCGGGGTCGGGGCTGAAAATAATGTCGGGGTTCGGGGTCGGGGTCGGGGGTCGGGGTTGAAGTGAAAATTTACAAAATCCAGCATTTTTATCCAAAATTACTGTTCAAAATCAACATTTTTATTAAAAAATCAACTTAATCTTCATTATCTTCACTTTCTGTATCTAATTCGTGATTAGTTGAAGGCGCAAGAAGTACTTTATCTAAGTTATCCTTCATAATCCCCAAAATCCCCAAACCCACAAGGTAACTCTTACTCCACCTCTTATGTAAAGGGATTGAGGGGATATGAAGGCATATCAGAGGATTAAGATGGATATAATGGGATTTAGAGGGATTTGACGGGATATCGGGGAGTTGCAAGGATAACGGGAGAAATCCATCTATCCATCAATTTCTCCTAAAGCCTCTGTATCCCTTCATTGTGTCTAGCGCCGCAGGCAAAAATTTTGAGAATTTTGGAAGGTCAAAAGCCAGATTTCTTCCATTTTCGGCGCCGCAGGCAAAAATTTTTAAAATTTAAGAAGGCCAAGAGACAGATTTCTTCAATTTTCTGCGCCGCAGGCGAAAATTTTGGAAAATTCATGACTAGTTTAAAATTTATAATATTGTTTCAAGTTTAAAATATTTAAAAAAATAAATTTACAAATTTAAAATTAAGATCATAGTTTAAAAATATTTATTTTTGAGAAGAAAAATTTTTTAAGCCTTATTTCCACCCCTGGATTCGAACAACATTCCTATCAATATAGCTAAATGGCCGAAGTCAGTTAACCTAACCACTCAACCATCGACCAACAAAGGGAAACAGGAGAAAATATAAATATTCCTTTCCTTTTTCCTTCATATATTTAGCATCGAAGTCCCGATCCCGTTCCGATCTCTAGTTAATTAATGCAGTTTGAGTCGGGGGCATAAAAATTTTTCGGGGTTCGGGGTCGTCGGGGTCGAACTTTCGGGGGTCGGGGTTTTCGGGGTTGGGAATGTCGGGGTCGGGGTCGGGGTTTTAGGTCAAAAAATGTCGGGGTTCGGGGTCGGGGTCGGGGTTAGTCGGGGTCGGGGACCAACCCTAATTTAAACTAAAAAACTTGTGAAATAGGGTTTAAAATTTCTTGGAAAATTTTCTGATGCCCAGAACCAAACCGAAAAATTACCGGTTCCGAACAATGATGGGAAAGTTCCAGTCCCGGAACTGGAACCGTGGAACCGGTAAAGGTCTGGAACCGGTTTGGAACTGGAACCGCCAAAATTAAAAATGCGGTTCCAGAACTGGAACTGGAACCGAAGAAAATAAAAAAAACAGTTCCAGAACTGGAACCGATTCCAGAGAAATTTTGGAACTTTCCCATCGCTGATCATAAACCAATAACTTGTGAATTATTAAAAAATATTTTAATAAAAATATTTTTTAAATTATTTTTGATTAATTTAAAAGGAAAATACCTACCTGATAATAAATAAATTTCTCCCTTTAAATTATCTGATTTTTTAATAATAAAACTATTAATTACATCTTCAATAATTTCAATTTTATATTTTTTATTTGAATTAAATATTTTACTAAATATTTTTTCAAATTCTTTCCCAAATACTTTATTTGTTACAGAAATTAAATGTAAATTGAAATAAATATTTTTAAAATTAATTTTGATTGTCGGACTATAATATTCGATTTTTCGAATAAATTGAATTTCTTCACTCTTAAAAATATAAAAATAAAAGTTATGTGAATTGAGATTTTAAATACCATATTTGCTAAAATAAACCTAGGGTAATTATTGTTTCGACCTCTCCCTCGAAGGGGTAATTAAAAGGGAAGGAGGTAATTATTTGAGACTTTTAAAAGGGCTAATTATAACTATTTTTAGGAGGGGTAATTATTTTTTCGATCTCTGGATGTAGGGGGTAATTAATGGGGAGGAGGTAATTATTTGAGATTTGAGAGAGGAACATTATTTCAGCGTTTGCGGTAAATACATTTAACGATAAGAAATACGTGAAAATCGAGGTGTATTTAAAATTGGGATCTTTGTCATTTAAGCAGTTGGTCGGGTTTTTTGCTTAAATTTTAATTGGAATCATAAAAACTTGTCTGGACATATGGGTCATAAACTGGTCAAGTGCCCAAATTTTCTAGATACACATTATCGGAAATAAAAATTTCATTAATATCCATTTAATTAATTAATTAACCTCACAAAGAATGCAAAACAAAGAATTATCATTCTTACACAGTTCTTTTCTCTTAACAGTACATTTTGTGGTAATATTTCCCAAAAAATCATTTTTATTTAATTCTTTAGTTAAAATAATTGTTTCAATAATTTCCTCATCCTCAAAATTATTTAATTCAAATAAATAAGAATTTATTGGGAATAAATGAACATCCTAATAAAATAAAATAATAATTAAAAATAAATTTAAAATTATTTTGTAACGATTAATATTTTAAAATTTATTTCTAAATTATTTAAAATATTTAATTTATTACGAACTTCTTTATTGTTTAATTCAGCCCATTTATTTATAAATTTATCTTGAATTAATTTTAATAATTCCTCAACATTAACATTATTTTCATTTAATTTCTCATCAATAATTGTATCAAGCTAAATAATTTTAATTTAATTAAAAATTTATTTATTTTATTAAAATTGTTTTTGATAGTCAAATATTTTTTTTCGATAATTTATGCTAAACTAAATAAGGTTGGGGAATAAGGTTGGCGGTTCCGGGTATCCGAAAATTTTCGGTTCGGGTTCCGGTTCCAGATATCCGAAAATTTCCCAGGAACCATCCTTATTGTGAAAAGACTTTGTGATTTATTTCTATACTAGAAGATAAAACACATTGAAATAATTTTCCTCGTATCTTTTATTTTCAACCACGGCCGACTTCAAATTTTGTTTGGGACTGCAACTTAATTAATTTTATTTACCAATTTTGAAACTTTTTCTTCATTTTCACTTAATTTCGGATTCTTTTCTACCTCTACAATTATTTCCGTTTCAATCTGTTTTTTCTCAATTTCCTCAATTTTTTTAAATTTTTCCTCTTCAATTTCTTTTTCATATTTTTCTAATTCTTCTTTTAATTCCTCAATTCCTTTTAAAAAAATATTTTCTTCTTCAATTAATTTATTCTTTCCTTTTATTTTATCTTTCAAATTTTTAATTAATTTAATTATTTTTGTATAATTAATTAAATTTATTAAATGATTTCTTCCTTTTTTAGTTGATAGAGCTAAAAATTAAAATATTACTTGTTATTTTAAAATATTTTCATGCCCTCAATACTTACCTTAATATTAGAGTTTCAACGGAAGTTCCGGAGTTTTTTGGTTCCGGTTCCGGTCAGAATCAGTGCTGGGTATGGCTCCGGAGCTAAGATTTTGAAACCCCGGAGCCCGGAGCCAGAGCCAACAAATGGCAAATACCCAGCACTGGTCAGAATTTCGGTTCCGGTGAAACACTACTCAATATGTAATACCTATATTGGTTGGCCATCACGTGGGGAGGGGGAGGGGATGGAGAGAAGATGACTACAGGAGATACTCACATTTAAGATAATCCTCGTTATTATGTTCGTGCTGTGGAATCGAAAAAGAATTCATTGAATGTGAGATGGAATTGAATCATCTTGGAATGAGCCCAGACCATCTAACCCGAAGATGTGTTATTCTTATTTTTACTCCTGCAAGTGCATACACAAATTTTTTAGCCCCAAAGGTGTATTTAATATCCGACTACCTAAATCTAAATTATATACCTTTAATCACAATTTTATACAATTCCTTCCTTTCTTCTTTCTCATTATTTTCCAAATTTTCTTCTTCCCAATTAATTTCTTTTTCCAAAACTTTTTCCATTTCTTCATTCAAAAATTCTTCAAATTCTTCCATTTCTTGTTTATTCCCCAAATATTTTCCATTTTCTATATCCTTCCAATTTTTAATTAATTTATTTTTATTTTCTTCTTTTAAATTCTTCCAAATTCCAAATTGTATTTTATTCAGTAAATTTCCTTCCTTTTCCAATTCATTTTTATTTAAATTCAAATAATTCATCATATTTACTAAAATAATAACTTTTTCTAAATACCCACATTTTATTTAAATATTCAATTTCTTCAGTCTTTTCCTCAAATTTTTTGTCTACCCAAAATACCCAAACCAAAAAATTTAAACTATATTTATTTGCCAATTTAAATTCTTGATTTTCTTCTTTTGCTTCAATATAGTTCGTAAAATGAAATCTAATTCTATTAAAATCTGTTTAAAAATATTTTATTTTAAAATAATATTAAATGGTTTGAGAGGAATATTGGTTAATTTTATAAGGAAAAATGAAGATATGTATATCGGTTTACTAAGGGATGGGGTTTAATATTAAGCAATGTTTCAGTATCTAAGTCGTTAGTAAAAGCGGTTAGCAATAACTAAGTCGGTAGCAATAACTGCAGAGAAGTTTCAGGAGCCTGCCCGGAGCTGAACTTACCTCTCACTCTCTCCTATTTAAATATAAAAATTAAAGTTAAAGATTAGGATTGAGCGGGGGATCCTGACCGGTATTGGACGGTATATACCGGTTTTAGCCAATCCCTATACTGAGCCTTATCGGTATCGGGTCGGTATCATCTTTCCAAAATACCGATACCGATTTTTTCTCAGAATACCGTACCGCTCAACACTATTAAAATTATGTACTTTCCTTTAAAAAATTAAAACAGAAATTAAATACAAAAACCTCCTTCATTAACCACTTTCAAAACTTCACTAAACATTTTTATTTGAGGTACCAATTGTTGTAATCTAGTTTTAATTCCCGGAATTTTACAAATTTTTGATACCAATTTATTTTCTTTAACAAAAAAATCTTTGTGTTCTTTAATTAAAAAAGCCCTTTGTTCAACAAAAACAATTTCCTGTTCCCTTTCATTTTCACATTCCAATCCTTTCCATTTCAAAATTTCTTCCAAATTTTTTGTATTTTTTAAAAATTCTTTTAAAATTCCAATTGTTTTTAATTTTTTAACAAATTCTTTAACCAAATTAATTTTATTTTTTTGAATTGTAATTATTGAATAAATTTGGAATTTAAAAATTAAACAAATATTTTTTAAAGAAATTATTTCTTCTTTTTTTTCTGAAAATATTTTTGTTAACAATAACCATTTTATTTTATTTTCTAATGCTTCCAATAGAAGAATTTCTTCTTGTTTTTCCGTATTAATTTTTATTTGATAAATTAATTTTTTTGTTTCCATTAAATTTTTGATAAGTAAAGGGATAACAATTCTTGTTTCAATTAATTTTGAATTTTCATCTCCTTTTTTGTATTGAAGATATTTCTCATAAAACATTGTTTTCATTGATGAATGCATTATACCTTTAATTTAATTTTTTATTAAATTATTAAAAGTTTGGCTATTATTTAAAAAGTTTGTTATTTTGGATTAAATAAAGGATAATAGGAATAGGGTTGTCGGTTCTTGGAAAATCGTTCGGTCCAGAACCGACAACCCTAAATAGGAAAGCTAAGGCTAATATAAATTTAGGCTAATATAATTTTTTAAATTGTTGGTTGTAAAGAGAATACTATCAAACATAATTTTTGTTTTCATCTACAATTTGGTATACCGTATATCCTTTAATAACTACCCTGGTTAATTATTGTTTCAACCTTCCGTTGGTGGGAGTAATTAATCGAGGGAGGGTAATTATACGAGGTTTGAAATTTGAACGTGTTTTAGGGCTTTTGTTTGGGAGTAGTTATTGTTTCGATCTATAACTGGATGGGGTTAATTAATGGAAGTGTGGTAATTATTTGAGGGAGGCAATTAATACAGGTTATACGGTAACTCAATTTAGGGTAGATTTTTTAAACTTGGTTTACCACGGAGATGCCTAAACTACTCACAACTCGATTTTAAGCACTACCTTTTAAGTAATTTATCTATAAAAAAGAGTTTTAGTTGGGAGTAGAATTGCCGGTTTTTGAAAAATCTTTGGATATTCTGAACCGAGGAGAAAAATTCTCGATTCTTAATCATAGTTAAGAGAAAATACCATAAAAATATAAAATAATTACCAATTTTAAACAAATCTGGAAATTCTCTTTCCAATTTATCCAAATAATTTAATCCAACAATTTCATTAAAATTTGATTTTAAATTAATAATTTCAATTTCATTTTCCTTTTTGCAAAGAAATATTCTAAACATTTTTGATTTAATAATTAATTTAATAATTAAATAATATATTTTTTGAATATTTTCTTTTGTCTTAAATTAAAATTTAAAAATAATCATTATTTTTTATTTAAACCTCAAAATTTATTTTAACAATTTCTTCAATAAATTTAGGCAATTTTTGGTTATTTTTAATTAATTTTTCTTCTAAAATTTTATATAATTTTAAAATTTTCTCCTTTTTATTTTCAATATTCTCAATATTTTTAATTTTATTTTTTAAATTTTCCCCAATTTGATTTTTTAAATATAAAATAATTATATCTAAATAAATTGTCTCAAATTTTTCCCTTTCATATTTTTCTAATAAAGGTTTAATTAAATTAAAATATTCATCATCATCAGTTTTCTCTTCTTTTTTACTTTCATTTTCAATAATATCTTCACAAATATAGTCGATTATCTAGAAAAATAGTAGTATTATAAATAATTTTTAATTAAGAAAAGGGTAATACTAAACCTGACAGACCAGGGGTGCCGCCCGAAACCCGTACTCGATATTTTTTTCAACCCGTGACCCGAAATGAAAACGCTCAAACCCGATACCCGAAACCCGTACCCGATATTTTTTGTACCCGCGGCAACCCTGTGACAAACCCCTAATTTTTTCCTCCCCAAGTTTTTCTACAGACTGGTCAGACTTTTTACTTTCTTCCGTCCCAATTGCTTTACGTTGTTCCATTTTTTGTAATTGAGAAAAAATTAATACTCCTTTTGCACTTGTATAAATTTAAATAATTCTTTTTGTTTAATCGTAAGCACATATCCAAAGGCAATTAGATCGGAAGAAAGGAAAAAGTCTGACCATTCTGTAGGAAAACTTGGGGAGGAAAAAACGGGTCTGTCAGGTCCATTATCACCAAAAAAAGATAAAAAAAATAATTATTTTATTTTTACATTTGTATAATTTTGTTTCTCTTCTCCAATTAAATTATTCATCCTTTTCTTCTCATTTGGCCTCAAATCTAAAATTTTATTTTTAATTTTGTTAAATAATTAATTAAAATAAAAAATTAGTCTTAAACACAAATTTTTATCCAATTAACTTTCCAAAATAAAAATATTTTTACAGACCTTCAATATTATTTTAAGCCTCGTCCCAGGGAAGGGAATTCCTCGGAGAATGGGAGTTTAAGTTTACCAAGGCCCCCGTTCTCCGCCCCAAAAGTTCGAATTCCCCGTCCCCGTGTCACTCCTCTCGTGGAGAATAAGGTTGGCGGATAGTTGAAAATCTTCGGATATCCGGAACCGGTATCCGAACCGAAAATTTCCGGATATCCGGCCTTATTTCGGATCCCGATATCCGGATCCGCCAACCTTAGTAGAGAATGGGGAAAAATTTATAAGTTAACCTTCAATATCATTTTTAAATATTTCATCTTCCTCAATTAATTTTTTAATCATTTTTGAATGTTCTTCTTTTAAAAATTTATTTAAACTTTCTTTATCTTTAAGTTCACTTTTCAATCCTTCCAAACTTTTATCTTCTAATTCTGCCTCCATCTCCTCTTCTGTGTACTTTTTATTAATAAATTTTCTAAATTTATTAATTATATTTAAATATAAATTTCCGTAATTTTCCAAATCTTTATTGTTTATCTCCACAATTTCTTCCAAAAATAGGTGAATTCTTTTTCGATATACTCTTGACCATATATTTTCATTAAGAATTTTATCAAGAATTAAAATCGAAACCAAAACATCCGCTGTATATTTTGATTTTTTATAGTTATAATTGTCTTTATTAGTTGATGTAAATATTTCAAAATAACTGGTCTTTAACCAATTTAGCAATTTTGTTTCACTAATTTCTAAATAAAAATTAAAATTTTTTACTTTTGATATCTATTGCTTGTTGACTAGAGTTGGTCCCCACCCCCGAAAATCGGGGAATTTGAGAGATTTTTTGAGAATTCCCCCCCCCCCCCCCCCCGTGGCGCTGCCTCCCTGAAAAGCTTTCCACGTGCCCCCCCCCCTTCGGGGACACACCCTATTGTTGATTTTATTAAGATCCCGGACAAACTTTTTTTTGTGAGAATATTATTTTGGAGGGTTTACAGAAATATTATTTTAAATTGAACAAAGAACTTTTCAATTTTAGCTTTTTGTAAGTATCCATAAATTTGTTATTAAAAACCTACTCATGGGTAAAATTGTATGATTTATATAATATGCTTCAAAATTGTGTTTTGGCTTATTAACGTCTAGAGACTTGGAAACAGTTAAATAATTCGCTCGTCCAAATGCACCTGGAGTTTCATCAAAAAATTGTTTTAGAACCTTTAAATTTTCATCTTCTTTCATTTCTCTCAAATCATCAAACAATTTTCTTGTCATATCATCATAAATATAATCAAACGTATCTTTATCTGCAGTTTTTATTGCTTCTAAATATTCTTTTGGTGTTTTATCTTTACTTTTTATGGGTGCCCAAATTTTATCAACAGCTTTTCTTATTTCATTTTCACCGTTAAATCTTTTCCTGAAGTCATCCAAATACATTCCAAAACATCCACGAAGCATAAGATTTCTTTTGCTTTCTAATGATTCTTCCGAATTTAACGGGGACGAAAGTAATTTTTTATATTGATGTATTCTTTCAGAGTCCTCAACAAGATCTTAAAAATTTTTGCAATAAAATATGGAAAATATGTATTATTAGGGGTTTTTTGAAAATTTTTTAGACTAATTGGTGAACAATTTTTACTTTAAATCGGTCTAGTTTGTGCTAGGAAAAATTTTAATTTTATTAATTTTAATTTTATTTTAATTTTATTAATTTTTCCTATTTTTAATTGGAGTTCCGCTTTGAATAATTTTTTGAATAGTTTTTAATTATTCTCTGACACCAGGGAACGATCCGTCCCAATTCCCGAAAGTCCGGAAGTCCTGGCGTTTTTTGGGTCTTGAATCCATATTCATGAAATCTGGGACTGGGCTGTGCGCCAAAATCTTCGCGAGGCGCACCAAACGCCATGACGCATAGACCCGATCGTGGAGTTTATTTTTTTTTTGTCGGCTTGTTCACTGATAGGCACACTCTTCGAAAAGATTAAAAAATAGAAGCACATGTAGTGTAGAAGGACATGTAGGACATGTAGAAGGACATATAGGACATGTAGAAGGACATGTATTGAGAATCTATTTAGTAGTGTTTCACCGGAACCGAAATTTTAACATGAACCGGAGCTGGATCCGATTTAAGTTCTGGTTCCCGGAACCGGAACTTCCGGTGAAACTACTATTTAGACTTTCCAAAAGTCAGCTTGCTTTAATTTAATTTAATTCTTTAAACTAACCAAGTCTAAATAAAAGAGAATATCTAATCTCCAATTCATTAAACAAATATTCCCCAAATACTTCCCTCATTCTTTTTTTGATTTTAAAAAATTCCTCTTCAGATTTTATTTTAAAATTTTTTTCTTGTAAACTTTTTAATTTCGAAACAAAAATTCTCCCTCCTCCTTCCTTTGATTTATCAATAATTATTTTTAATTTTTCAACTAACAAAAATTCAATATCTAATTGACGATAAATATTTTTCAATTTTTCTTTAATTTTTTCTTCTTTTTCTTCCAAATTTTTTCCTTCCCTTCCTTCCATTTCCTCAATTTCGTCCCTATATTTTTTAAATTTTTCTTCAATAATTTCCAATCTTTTATTTTCTATTATTTCTTCTTCATTATTTTTTAATATAATTTTATTTTCAATTAATTCATCAAAAAATAATTCAAATATTTTTTTAAATTCCATTAAATTAACAATTAATTCCCAATTTATTTTTTCAATTTTAATTAAATTTTTCTTCTCAAAAAATTCAAATTTTTCAATTTTCTTTTCAATTTTTTCCAAATATTCCCTTTTTCCTTCCAAAATTGCCCACTCATTTTTAAATTTTTCATTATAATTTCCAGTCTCAAAAACAAAATTTTCAACAATTTTTTTTTCTTCTTTTAACACATTTTTTATTTTATTTTTATTTTTTTTAATATTTTCACAAAAAATAAATAAATTTATTTTTTGTTCAATTTCCCAATCTTTTTCAAAAATTAATTGAATAAAAAGATTTTCAAGCTGTTCATTCTCAATATTGCAAATATCTGAGATTTTTAAATTAGGTAGTTGGGATTGAAAAGTTCAAGTTTAGAATTAATTTTTATTTTCTGGCTCTGAGGTATTTTTAAGCCAAAAATTAAAAAAATTTTGCCTACGGAGCTGAAACGAGAATTTGGTACAGATTCAGTGTATAATTTAGAAAAATTTTTTTATTGCGAGTCTTAAATCAAGGAGATTAATATGTTTATTGTTCTAATAGTTTAATAAGATTAAAAAATAATTTAGCATGTCTAAGGGCAATTTGAATAGATACAGAAGGATTAAGGAGGAAATCAGTGAATTTTGATGGATTTTTAATAAACATTTTCAAAATTAGCTTAGGAAAAATATGGAGTAATTATTTAAGGGAGGGTAATTATTGTTTCGATCTCTCGCTGGAGGGAGTAATTAATAGAGGTGGAGTAATTATTTGAGGGAGGGTAATAAATAAAGTATATACGGTATAGTATGAGGAAACTAAAAAAATTAATTCAAGCTGTTCATTCTCAATATTGCAAATATCTGAGATTTAAAAAAACGGAAAATATATGCCATATAACCTATATTAATTCCCCCCCCCCTCAAATAATTACACCCCCCCTACTAATTACTCTCTCCAGCGGAAGGTCGAAACAATAACTACCCCCCAAACAAATGCCCTAGAACACGTTCAAATTTCAAACTTCGTATAATTACCCTCCCTCGATTAATTACTCTCTCCAGCGAAAGGCCGAAACAATAATTACCCAAGGTAGTTATTAAAGGATATACGGTAATTTTTTTAAATATCTGAGAAAAATATGCTAAAAATTAATTTACCAAATTTTTTGGGGTCAAGTTTAGACTTTCCTTTGTTTGAACTTTTTGGTGGGCAAATACAAAATTGAAAAAAGATTAAAATAAATAATAAATAAATGTGAATAAATAAATTAATTTCCATCTAAATTTTTATTTAAAAATTTTTTAGTTTTTTAATAAAAAAAATTTTTTTATTCCAACCCCTTTTAATTTAAATTTTAATTAATTAATTGGAAATAAATATTTAGTTTCCAACCAAATTTGACGTCGGAAAATTACATTTTTTGATTAAATATTTAAATTTTAACAGTTAGTCGGGACATAATAAATAAATAAAATAAATAATAAATTTAAAAAAAATAATTTATTTTTTAATTATTTATTAAGAAATTATTTATTTACTCTCAAAAACGGGCAATTAAAAAATTAATTAGGCAATCAAGTGAGGCGGGATATTATTTTATAAAAATTTATTTATGAAAGGGCAAAATTGAGAGGGTAAGGCGACTATTGAGAAATCTTTATTCCTCGTGATAAATAAAAGAGAGGCACTCAAGTGCATGTATAAAACACAAAATTATAAAAATAAAATATTGATTTTAAAAAGTAAATTTTAATAAAATTAAATATATATTTGAGAAAAGTTTTTTTTTATTTAATTAAATTTATTTTTAAATTTAAAATTCTTTAGTTTTGACAAACGAAGGAAGGAAGATTTATTTAAATTATTTGAAATTATTTTTAAAAATATGAGATTTTACAAGCGGACAACCGACCATTTGATCAATCTTGAAGAAATACTAATTCAAAAGACTCAGTTTCTGATATCCAAAAAATTTTTTTATTTCAACTACTTTTAATTTAAATTTTAATTAATTAATTGGAAATAAATATTTATTTAGTTTCCAAACAAATTTTACATAGGAAAATTAAATTTTTTTATTAAATATTTAAATTTTAGCATTTAGTCGGGCTCTAATATTTACCGTATTTACTCGATTAATTCCCCATGGGGAATTAATTTTTTAACCCATCCGTGGCATGGGGAATTATTCGAGGGAGGGGCATTAGTCGAGTAAATACGGTAAATAAAAATAATAAATTTAAAAAAATAATTTGTTTTTTAAATTATTTATTAAAAAATAATATTTTCTCCCAAAAAGGGCAATTAAAAAATTAATTAGCCAATCAAGTAAGGTGGGATATTATTTTAATTTATGTATACATATGTATAAGGGCAACATTTAAAGGTGACTATTGAGAAATCTTTATTCCTCGTGATAAATAAAAGAGAGGCACTCAAGTGCATGTTTAAAACACAAAATTATAAAAATAAAATATTTATTGATTTTAAAAAGTAAATTTTAATAAAATAATATTTAAAAAAAGTTTTATTCAACTTAATGAAGTGAGTAATGAAAATAGCATAAATGTATCTTAATTATAATGTGTTTTTAATTATCCCGGATTTTCAAAAAAAATTTTGGCTTTAGTTAACTCGAGGACTCGACCCACCTGATTTTCATCCAGAAAATCCGGTTTTTCCTGAACAAAATCCGGTTTTTATCAAAATAACCTGATTCCGGACTAGCGGTACCGAAAAATCAGGATCCGGTCCGGGTTTAAATCCCAATATATTACTATTTAAAAATATTTTTTTTAAACTAAATTTGCTGTAAAAATTCTGTAAAAATAATTTTGTTTTTACTTAATATATAAAAATTGAATTTACTTTTTATTTATATTAAATTTTATTTTATGTTTAACTGAACATATCTCTGTTTTCGACAATTTTTGGGACGAGGATTTGGTAGGAATCCTCATAAATTAAGATGCATTTGAGAGTGAACTGGTATAGAAAGGTTACTGATGGATATGTCCGGATACTGATACCAAAACCCATCTCTATGTACAAGTCTTGTTTGATTGAATAGTTTCCGGTAAAATTACGTCATGTCACGTAAACCGATTTAAACAAACATGTCATTCGAAAGAGTTTGCCAAGCTGAGTCGAACGACCCCAAAATTAGCTTAGGGACTCACCTATGGGCTTAAATTATAGGTCACCGAAAAACCATAGGAGAAAAACTAAATCTCAAATTGCCCAAAATTAAAATAGGTACTTCAAATTACATATTTATCAAATTATCAATTAAATCAAAAATAAATAAATTTAAAAAAATATCCATTTTCTTCTTTTTATTTATCCCTTCAGTTTTTTACTTCTTCTTCTTCTATATAAATTTCATCATTAATTATCTTCTTTTTTCCATTTTCATTATCGAGAATATCGAATTCACTAATTTCAGAATTTGATTCATCTTCCCTTTAAAAATATAAAAAATTATAATTTTATTTTATTTTTTCTTTACAAACTTGGCCCTCTTTTCAACATTTTCTCCTTTTTGACGATAAATATCAAACAAAGAATTAACTTAAAAATTAAATTAAAATTTAATATTTACCGTATTTTCTCGATTAACTCCCCCGAGGAATTATTTTTTTACCCATCCATGGCATGTGGAATTAATCTAGGGAGGGGAATTATTTGAGTTTTTAATTTGAACGTGCAGTAGGGTATTTGGGGGAGGGGAATTATTGTTTCAACTCATTCGTAGCGTGGGGAATTATTCGAGAGAGGAGGGGAATTATTCAAGGGAGGGGAATTAATCGAGTAAATACGGTAAATTAAATTTATTTATTAACTATTATCAATTCCAACACAAATTCCTCCTTTCTCATTCAACTTTTTGTTTTTTGAACTATCCAAGTAACTATTCTCCAATAATTCAATTAAATCCTTAAATTAATTTAATTAATTCAAAATCATTTTTATTTACCTCCTTAATTAATTCTTCTTTATTTTCATTATTTTGTTTTCTAGTTGCTTCTTTTATTTCTTGTTCCAAAAATTTAATTTTATATTTATTTAACTTTAAAATTAAAAATATTTAATTTTAAATTATTTCACTCTCTTACTTCCTCAACTTTCTTCATTAAAAAATTATTTTCTTCCACCTTTTGTTTAATTTCATTTTTTAATTCTTTAACTTCATTTACGTGGTCATTATGCATTTTTAAAATTTGTAATGAAATATTCTACATATTAATTTAAAAAAATTTTTTTATTTAAAATAATTTACTTTATCATTTAAATTTAATTCTTTAATTTTTTCTTCCAATAATTCCTCATTATTATCCTCCTTTTTCGATGAACAATCATCAAGCAATTTTTCAATATATTTAATTGCATCCATTGCAGCTTTCGAATTATTATTTCCATTCTAAATTAATTTTTTAAAAATTTTTTTGTAAGGAAACCACGAAAAATTAATTAAAATTGGAAAAAGAAATTTCGGTAATATTGAACCGGACGACCACCTTTTTACCTCCCCAACTTTCCCCCTATATTTTTGAAAAATGGTCAGACTTTCCTTTCTCCCATCCAATTTGCCTTTCTAATTTTAGCTTACAATTAAACAAAAAGGATTATTTAATTTTATGCAAGTGCAAGTATATGGCCAAAAACAAGTAAAAGGAGGCTGACCACTTTGCAAAAATATAGGGGAAAAATTTGGAAAGGAAAAAAGGGTCTGTCCTATTCAATATTACCGAAATTTTTAGAGAATAAATTAAAAATTTACTTTTCCAATTTTTGTGTCTTCCAAATTAATTACAAGTTCAATAGACTTTTTTTCAATCTCAAAAATAATTTTAAAAAAAATTGGATATACTTTAGCGTACCCCCTGAAGAAAAAACGTGTCAAAGCACTCTCATTATTTATCGTTGCTATCATAAAGTAATTATTATATGGTTTTGTAACACGGAAACAACTTTGGAGCGAGATATAGGGCTCGAAATGGTCAAAAACTATAGGGGGAGTAAGCACATTTTTGGGGCGAAAAATTCGATTTTTTGAATGATATCTCATTCGAAAGAGCTCCTCGAGCTTAGTCGAATGACACTAAAATCACTTGATTGGACAAGTCTGGGCCGAGATATAGGGCTCGAAATGGTCAACGTAAACCTATGGAGCGTCAGCGAGGCGCTTGTGCAAAACCCCGCGCTTCGCGCGGGGTTTTGCGGCACGCGCCTCGCGGGGAGTCTACGGGCGCTGGGTCTGGGCTTGTAACATAAACCTATTCATATTTCCCTTGCTCTGAACGTATTTGGAGCCTCCATAGCAGCGAAAATCTCCACAGATGTTATAGGTAAGGAGCTAGAATAAAAGATATAACTTTGTCCAATCAAGTCGGATTTCGTTGATTTTGGTGTCATTCGACTAAGCTCGAGGAGCTCTTTCGAATGAGATATCATTCAAAAAATCGAATTTTTCGCCCCAAAAATGTGCTTACTCCCCCTATAGTTTTTGACCATTTCGAGCCCTATATCTCGCTCCAAAGTTGTTTCCGTGTTACAAAACCATATAATAATTACTTTATGATAGCAACGATAAATAATGAAAGTGCTTAGACACGTTTTTTTCTGCAGGGGGTACGCTAAAGTACAGCCAAAAAATTTTAAATTTTCCTTTAATTACCGTAAAACTTAAATTATCAACAATCCATCCATTTTTTGGAATATTTAAATTTTCATAATTTTCAACTTTTTGAGGCTGATTATTACAAGAATCTGTTAAATTATTTGGATTAATTGGTTTCGATTGGATATTTTGTTGAAAATTATTATTTAAAGGTTGTTGAATAGTTGAGAAATTATTGTAGCCATAAGGCTGTGAAATTGGAGGTTGTTGTAGAGGTTGTGGAATAAATGGAGAAAAATTTTGATTTTGGCCTAAATATTCAAATGTCGAGTATAAATAAAATTGTTTGGACTATCTAATGCAAATTTTTAGTAAATTAAAAAAAATAATGAAAAAATACTGAAAAAATTCTAACTGAAAAAAACCCCAAAAGAGAATTTTCAAAATCATTCGTATCTTTAATATTTAACTAATATACTAAGTAAATTCAAAAAATATATGTAGTATATAATTACCAATATTATTCATTTGGTTGTTATTTTGTTGATTTTGCAAGTTTGGTCTAATTTGCATCGAATTATTCGACGTTGGATTAAAATACATTTATATATTAATTAAATATTTTTCTATAAAATTAAAACTTTATTTAAATGTTGGTAATGTTAACAATTAAACGAAAACAGAAATGAAGCGTTTTCATCGATTCTATCTATATTTAAGGGAAATTATATTCCTCTCAGGTAAAAATTTGATGGTTAAATTATGGTTTTCATCTGTTTATTTTGTAAAAATTTTGCCTTTTACCAAGTTTTAATAGAGTTTCCCAAGGAAAGATAAATTTAAAAAAAAGTTAAGAAATCTGAGAATATTTTTAAAAAATACTGATCTCGTTATTAAACAAAAATTTAAATGTTTAACTTATTAAACGTTGTTCTAAAAAATTTTTAAATTAAAAAATGTATGTATAATGTATTAAGACAAAACTTGTTTTTAAATTAAATTTCAAAAAAAAAAATTTTATTGAGAAATTGGCTAAAATTAATCTTTCAAGTTTAAATAGGATAGTCATCAAAAATCCTTTCCAATTTTTATCCTTTCCTTGTTCCTTTCCAATTTCTTTATTTTCTTCCTTTTTCTTCTCCTTTCCATTTTCATCTTCAAGAAGATCAAAATCATTGCTTAATTCCGAATTTGATTCATCTTTTCTTTAAAAAACAAAAAAATTATTTTTTAAATTTAAAAAAGGTAAAAACAGAACTTAATATTATCTTGACTGTTTACTTGTTCTAATTCCCAATTATTAACTAATAAAAAATAAAAATTATTTAAAATATTCTTTTTTAAAACCTTTTTCAATAGAATTACAAATTCCTTTAGACAACACAATTTGTTTTAATTTAACTCCTTCAATTGAATTTTTAAAGCAAAAAATATCCATAACCCCAACATCTTTCTTAAATGGTTTTAAAAATTTTGGAAATTTTTATTTTTTTTAAAATACCCATTATTTATTTTATTTTCTTCTTTATTAATTTCTTGGGGTAAAAAAAGAGATTTACAATTTAAAAATTTAATTTTCTCTTCAAATTCTTTTCTTAAATGTTCAATTTCTTTTTTGTGATTTATTTGTATTTCATTAATTTGAGTTGACATACTCTATTAAATTTAATCAAAAATATTTTTATTAAAATTTTTTATTAAAATTTATAGTCAGAATTAGGGTTGTTCCCCGTCCCCGAAAGTTGGAGAATTTGAGAGACCCCCCCCCCACCAACCCTAGTAAGAATCTCTTTTATCTAGTATTTTTATAAAAGTAAAACTTCAAAAAATATTTATCCTTTAGACTTAAAATTAATTAGACGGATGTCGAATATCCAAAAAATGGTATTTCTAAGTCTATATACTGTATAACCTGTATTAATCGCCCTCCCTCAAATAATTACCCCACTTCCATTAATTACCTCATCCAGCGATAGATTGAAACAATAACTACCCCCAAACAAACGCCCTAAAACATGTTCAAATTTCAAACCTCGTATAATTACCCTCCTTCGATTAATTACTCCCTCCAGTGAAAGATCGAAACAATAATTACACAGGGTAGTTATTAAAGGATATACGGTAACCCTCAATTATTCTTTGATCTGATTGGACATGAGGAGAGAAAATCTAAACTTTACTCTAATTTTTATACCCTCATTTTTCTATATGATTTCAACCCCAAAAGAGATATACAAATACGCGTATTCGGCTCTTCCGATTTTCTGTTAATTTAAAAATTAGAAATACTTGATAAGTAAAACAACGAGCTACAGTTACAGCTGCATTACTACAAGTCAACTCTCCAATTTTTGTTTCCAATTGTTTAATTTTTAAAACATTTTGTTCACCATCTTTTACAATTTTTGGTATATTTAGTTGTTCATTTACATGTTTTAAAATTTTTTCCATGAAATTTGTTTCAGCTTTTTGGCATTCTAAAAGTATTTTTTCTTGAGTTTCTTTTGAATTGAAAGATTCTTTGAATTTTTCAATATTATCAACAAGCTCTTGCTGAAAACAGAAAAAATTTAATTAAAAAATTGGGGTAAATTTGTTTGTCAAACTAAAGATATTTTTATTTTATCTCTTATAAATTGCTTCTTAAATTTATAGATATTCACTTCTTTAATTTTTGTTATTTTAATCCAAAAATAATTTTATTTATAATACAAAAAATATTCCAATATTACTCTCAAAAATAAAGCATTGGACAAGAACATTTACAAATTAGTGGCTATCAAAGTTCTCGAAAATGGAGTTTAATTAAATAAAAAAATTTTCTTTATCTCAAGTTAATAAACATTCTAGGAATCTTTAATATAAAAAAAATAAAAATTGCCTGTTCAACTGGTTTACTATCAATAATTTTCAAATTATTTTGTTCAGCATCTTTCACAGTTTTTAGCATATTTTGTTGTTTATTTAAATTAATTATATTAATTTTAGGTCCAGGTTGTTTTAACAAAACCAAATTTTTCTTTTCATCTTTATTCAACGAATCATTATTATCAATTAAATTTTCAATAAATTTAATAGAATCTAAAGTAGCCTTAACTTTTTGTTTATCAATCTAAAAATATTTTTAGTTAAATTTTTTAATTTTTATTTGGAATTTCTCTTATAAATTTGGATATAGTTTAGTATACCGGAGGCAAATTTCGATACAAAACCCATATAATTCGATTCGTCTCGACGAGCTGAGTCGAACGGTACCACTCTTTTTCGGGGATGCCTATGGGCCGAGAGTTCGTCGAGACGAATCGAATGGTATGGGTATTGTATCAAAACCTTACCACCGGTATACTATACTAGAATACAACCATAAATTTGCTTAAAATAATTATTATTTGTTTCTTAAATTCATGTCGGCATCCAAATTCAATTTTAATAAAAAATTTAATTCTTATTAGTTTCAAAGTTTATTAAAAATCTTTGTGCTTTGGTTAGTTGATACTCCTAATTATATTAGAATATCCTTCCCTCTAATTAAAACGACCAAATATTTTTTAGAAACCTCATTAATTTTTGCAGACTTTTCCAATTTAATCGAAAGACAAATACTATCGTCTTGATTTATCTACAAAATATTTTTAAAGAATTATTCCTTAAATAATTCAAAATTTACTCCAAAATTTAAATTAGATACTTTCCACCCAATTTTTGTTTGTTTAATTAAATTTCCACTGCTGGTTCCAACATTGGGAACTTTTGTAGGAATAATAGGGGTCGGTAATGTATTGATAGGATTAAACATTTGTTGTGAAAGAATTTGTTCTTAAATAATAAAAAATTGAAGGAAATTAAATTTATAACTACGCACGCAACATTTGATTACTTAATTCCATCTGTTGATTACTTAATTGTCGTTGCTGTATCAGTAATTTTTTATGCTCCTCATCTGAGTTTTGAGACATTTTTTAATAAATAACTAAATATTTATTTATTTATTCACTACTAAAAAGTAATTTAAAATTTATTTCTTTTATTATTGACTGAGTGTGTGTTGTTTGTACATTACTTTTCTAATGCTAAAAACATCCATTGACCTACTTTATTGGTTGTATACTATATACTTTCTGTGCACAGCAGGCCCGTAGCGAAGAATAAAATATATATTCGTTCAAAAAAATATAGTTCGCAAAAAAATAGGTAAAACTCTAAAAAAAACTCTCTCCGGTAATAACGAATTTTAACAATTATTAATTCTTATTTTTATTTGTCTTTTTCCTTCAAATTGCCAAAAAGGGGATGAGAAGGAAAAATAAGCGTGTATCTCTTCTAACGTCAAAAGTGCAAAGGAATGAAAAATGCGAATTCTATTACGGAAAAGTGGGGGGATCATCTACAAACATTATTCCAGAATCTTGGTTTTTCTTGCTCTCTAGATTATTCTCAAGCCGAATTACAGATCCTAACTGTTTTTAATGTAAATATTTAAAAAAAATTTTCATTTTCAAAATTAATTTATTTTACATTTTATTTTTAGAATTTAATTAAACCCAAAAAACAAGTAAAAAACAAAAAATAAAGAGTGAATAAAAAAACAAATAAAATACCACAAAACTTTTTTCTTAGAAATTTTTGTTCCTTTTTTATTCAACAATTTTAACAATCTTCCCAATACCAATTGTTTTACCTTCATCTCTCAACATAAAACGTCCCATTTGTGCAAAATTTTTAAAAAGATCCATACAAAATTGTTCTGTCGATTCTAACCTCAAAATACATTTATCATCTTGTTTGACAAATCTTGCAGGTTTTTTGCTGTTCGGGTCTTTTTTATCTATTGTGCCGATTACATGCTGAAAATTGATAAAAATAATATAAGGATTAATCATTGTTTAATTTTTTATAGGTATTGAAATTCTCCAAAATAAATTTTGAAATTTTTGAGGTGTCAAATGGAACTAGAGCTGACTGAATCAAAAACCAAAAGTTTTGAATTTTAAAGGGCGAGTGATGGAAATTTTTAGAAAGATATGGAAAAACCCCAAAATAGGAAAAATGACAACCGGAAAGATTTAAGCTCAAGAAAACTAAACATATTATTTAATCTTGTATGGATGTCTACTGTTAACTCTATCTCAAAACACTAATTTCTTCCCAAAATTTAAAAAAAAAATTTCAAAATTATTCCAAAGCAACAACCTTAACAGTAATCTCTTCAATAGCTTCATGTATATGCAAAACACAAGTAAAACCAGACGTAATAATTGATTTATAATCCAAAATTACAACCTTTAAATAATTTTAAATTAAAAAAATTTACAAAAAATCAAATAAACCTCAGCATCAAAAATACGTCCAACAGGACAAGGCTTATCAGTAGAACAAAGAACAAAACCTGACATTATGTCAGTATCTTCAACGCCTTTTAATTTTAATTGAAAACTATCTCCAGCATAAACTTGATCAGTTTCTGTTTCATTAACGTGACAAGAAAGTACTTGAACAGGCATACGATTTGGCATAAGTAACATTTGTTGACCTTTTGTTATCATTCCTGATTCTAACTTGCCAACTACAATTGTGCCCATATCCTAAAAATTAATATAAATTTTCAGTTTGAATGAAAATAATTTATTGAGGAAGTCGGAGTGTTAAATATGTGGACAAAATTCTTGCGAAACATAGCTAATGTTATTTGGTGATCCGAATTCTTATGGACTGAAACGGTGAGCGAAATTACTTTATTAAATTACTATTGATTTATTATATATTTTTATTAAATTTTGAGTTTAAAAATATCTTAGAAAGCATGCAACTAGATATTGCTCTTTCGGAGAAAAAAAAAGAAAATTTTCTAACTGTCATGACCTTCATAAAAAAATTTTTTACCGAAAATTTATTTGCAACAATTGCCCTAGTTGGCCCATCTAAATCGCGTTTAATCGGCGGCAAAGCATCCAAATAATCCAAAAAGCAAAGTCCAGTGTACCAGTTACAGACATCAGCCGAAGGCCGCTCTTTTAAGAAAGCTCCAGTTAAACCAGAACAAGGCATGTAGATGAAATCTTGTTTAGGAAAGCCACATTTACGTAGATATGGAGTTAATTTTTCTTGAATCTTAATTTTTTCTTGAATCTTAATTTTTAAAATTAATTATGTTGATGTTAACTAAAGAAAAACAAAAAAAATGACTTGAAAAGGGAAGTGATGTTCGAAAATAACGAAATATTTTTCAGGAATTTATTTTAAAATTCATTAAAAACCTCATTGTAACGGCCAACATCCCAATTTACTGTAGGGTCATCCATTTTATTAACTAAAATAATCATATGCTTCACTCCAATAGTTTTTGCCAACATTGCATGTTCACGGGTTTGACCGCCTCTGTCAAAGCCTGTTTCGAATTCACCACGGCGGGCACTGATGACCTGAATTTTATTTAAAAGTATTTAAAAATGGAGTCCAAAAATGTTCTAATAGAACAAAAATGTAGCCCCTTGCTCTGGTTATTTCGGCTCTTGTCCAGTTTAGGCGTCCAATGAAACGTTTATACAATCACAATTTTTAAGTACCCGGTTCTACACTAAATTACCGTAAAATCTATGGAAATAGAAAGCTTTACTTACCCAGAGTTTAATACACACACATTTTACCAGACACTAGGTTTTATCACATAGAACTGGGTACTTAAAAATTGTGATCGGACGCAAAAAGTTGATTGGACGCATAAAAATTTCTTTGGACGTATAAAGGTGCGATTGGACGCCCAAACTGGACAAGAGCCGTTATTTCTAATGAGTCAAAAGAATAATCAAAAATAGCTTACCAAAACTGCAATATCTGCTTGTGCGGCACCAGAAATCATATTTGGAACGAACGATTTGTGTCCGGGAGCATCCAGAATTGCAAAATGCTTCTTCTCCGTTTCAAAATAGGCACGTCCACATTCAACAGTTTTTCCCTTTTCACGCTCTTCCTCATCTATTTGAAATTAGAAAATGATAATTTTATAAAGCAAACAGACTTGTATCCAATGCCCACGACAAATACCAACTTTCACGGCCCTTTTCTTTTGCTTCTTTCTCATATTTCTCTAAAGTTCTTTTGTCGACCATTCCTGTTAGATACATTAGTTGACCTCCAATAGTTGATTTTCCAGCGTCGACATGTCCAATAAAAACAATATTAACACGTTCTTTCCGTGATTCGGTGGTCATTCTACTATCTAAATGATAAAATTAATGTAAAAAAATAAAAATAAGTAAGGAAAAAAAAGAAAAATTTGTCAACATGCCCTCCAATATTCCGTTGACGAACGACCCGTCGACGCACGCGCAAAAAACTAGCTAACTCTTACTCTCCTTATTCAATTGCATCTCTAGTGCGTCTGACTTTGTTTCGTGTCCGAACAAAATATCGATTTGCAAAAATATCGAATTTTAAAATATCGTCTAGGCCAAAATGTTTTGAAATGTCGACTGGGCAAAAACTTACAATTGGCACGTCACTTCTCATTTTTCCGGGTCAGGAAATCGCGTATGATTTCCAGATCCGCACGCTCAAGCTGGACCGGATCCGGTTGTTTCTTGATTAATCCGGTTCAGTCAACTTTTTTTTACCCGTGAGATTTTAACAAGCGAGATTTTAACGATTCGATATTTTGTACCGAAACCCTTTGTTGTAAGAAAAACGGTAAGAAGTGATACAAATATAAAATGGTCAGATAAATTATGAATGATTCAATTTTTTTAGAAAGGTTGTTTTCTGTTTTTTTCGAAAAATATTTTATAATCATTTAAAACTTTTTTCTCTTTTTCTTTAGCTGCTTATTTTATTATAATTTTTTAATTTAACAAAAATATGCCAAAAACAACACAAAAGAAATATATTACAAATCAATTAATACAAACACTTGTAGAGGAATTGGAAGAGGGACAATTTGTTGCAAAAATTTTGGCTTCAAGAGGAAATAATTTACACGAAGTGGAGAGCTTTAATGGAGAAAATTTTTTGGTGTAGGTTTATTTAATTTTTTTAATTTGTGTTAAAAGGGATTTTTAATTTTCGTGAATTAAATATTCTAGAAAATTCAACTTTGGCGTTCCAAACGTTTTTTTGGGTTAGTTTGGCTTTCCGAACTCAGATTTTTCTGTATCTATATTTTCAATTTCAGTGCCGCAAGCGAAAATTTTTTAAATTTATAAGGCAGGCGAAAAAATTTCACTTTCTTGACCATCCTTCTCCCAATTTAACCCCTCCCCCCTTCCCCAACCCCGTTGGACGATCCATGTCCATATTTTGAAATAATACCTAGACTTTTTGTAGAATACAATATTTTTTATAAACATATTATAGAAGTATGCCTTCAAGATTTCGTCGAACACTTTGGGTTCGACGTGGAAATTTTATCATTGTCCAGCCAATAGAAGAAGGAGACAAAGTTAAAGCAGAAATTGTGCATGTTTTGGATATCGAAAATATTTCTAATTTAATTGAAAAAGGCAAATGGCCAGAAAGATTTTTACAAGAAGGAGAATTATTAACTAAGAGACGAAAGAAATTCGATGAAAATGGAAAAGAAGAGGATGAGGATTCGAGTATGTTCCCTCCAACATCTTCAGAAGAGGACGAGGATGATAATGAGGCGGATGAAGGTTTCTTTAATTTTTTAAAGTCCTCAATTGCTTTCAATTTACTTTTTCTGCGTTCTAAATATTTTTACATGGTGTATTGTAGGGTTGTTCCCCGATGGCGGGTGGAGGAGAACTGTTCAGGGAGACAGCGCTACGGAGGAGGGGGGGGGGGTCTCTCAAGTTCCCCGACTTTCGGGAACTGGGAACAACCCTAATGTATTGTTAATTGTAAGTTTATACGTGGGTTAGTGATGTAATCCTTGCATTTTTAATGGCTTGTTTCAGGTTCGAATCCTATTTACTTTTTGATGCCAAACCTTTGTTTTCGTTTTATTCCAGAACCTGCTCGAATTTTTCTTTAAAAATTTTATATTTTTCATGAATTTTTATTTTAGCTGATAATGAAGACAATGACAATTCTGAAGTATATAACGAAGATGAATGTAATGATGACAAAATGGAAGATGACAAAAATTTTCAAAGTATATCTTCAAAATAAATAAAAATTTTATTTTTTATTAAAGATTTCTAAAAGAAATTATTTATTTAAAAGTTTGTTTTCATTTTCTTTATTTTTTTCGATTTGTCTTTTCTTTGGTTTAAACTCTTTTTAAAAATATTGTTATATTTTTATTATTGTTTTCCTGTCAAAAATATTTTATAATTTCCAATACATACTTATTTTTATTTAAATCTTTTTTAGAAAATATTTTTTTAAAAAATTTATATAATTATGGGAAACAGTAATGCTTCTTTAATGCTTCAAGAAGAAGAAATTGTTGATACTGCAAAGGAGACTGGATGTTTGTTTTTTTATTTTATTAAATTTTATTTTTTTTTAGTTTCTCGCAACCAAATTGTTCGTTTGTACAGTCGTTTTCTTTCGTTAGACAGACAAGGTTTTTTAAAGTTTTCAGTAGGGTTGGACGAGACCGGTTAATAACCTCGTTTATTGTTCCCTGTGGTTGGTCAAAGAGGAGAAGGGAAAAGTCAGCCACAGGGAAAAATAAACCGAATTAAACGGTCTCGTCCAACCCTAGTTTTCAGTTAAAAAATTTTTAAATCTTTTCACAGGCCGTGGTTATTTGGACCGTGAAGATTTTCTTCGAATTCCTGAACTTGCAATAAATCCTTTGGGTGATAGAATTGTCGATGCTTTTTTTACTGATCACGGAGTTAATGACCCCGAGACTGACGCGCGTATTAACTTTCGTCAATTCGTTAAAGTGCTTGCACATTTTCGTCCAATGAGTAAATCAAAGCCTAATATTGTTAATAGTCGAGAACAAAAGTTAAAATGTAAGGTTTTTTTAAATTTTTGCGAATATTTTTAATTCTTTTCAAAGTTGCTTTTTCAATGTATGATTTAAACAAAAATGGCTATATTACACGTGATGAGTTTAAATTTATTTTGAACATGATGGTTGGCTCTAATATTACACCTGATCAGGTTCTTTTTTAAACTATTTAACAAGGAAAGGTTGCGAGGTGTCCGACCTAAAAACGGTCGAGACCGGGCTCATTCGATAGAGAATTTGCCCTTTCTAAGAAGGATTTTGAGCCGTTTTTGTCCGTTTTTGATCTGGCCCTCCAAAGTCCCAAAATTTGGGACTTTGGAGTTCCAAAAACGTCGCAACTTTTCATTGTAAGTATATATTTTCGGTCATTTCATTTGTACTTTTTTTGTAAGACTGGCCTTAAATCCTTCCACACTTTTTTATACTGCAGGATTAATCCCAAGGGATCCCGTCCTGCAAAATTAAAAATTGTTGCATGCGGGATTCCGCAAATTCAATTTTGATGGGACACAAATTCAATCACTCCTGTATAATTTCCTCGAAGTTTTTGAAAAAATATATGTATATTTTTTTAATTAGCTGGATAGTATTGCCGATCGTACAATAACTGAAGCAGATGCTGACAAAGATGGAAAAATTTCTTTTGAAGAATTTTGTAAAGCTATGGAACGCACTGATGTTGACCAAAAAATGTCTATTCGTTTTCTTAATTAAATGAAAATTTGAAAAATGGAAAGGACAAAGAGACAATATTTCTAGGTTGTGAATTAAAGACTATTTTTTAAAAAATAATTTTTTAAAAAATAATTTTTTAAAAGTGTAAGTATATCTTTGCTTAAGTATTCTAAAATGTAAAAAATATAAAAATTTAAATTGATTTTAAAATCTTTTTAAAAATTAGTTCCGCCACTCGGTTTCAGCAAATTATTTAATATTTTTATTTTCTAAAATTTATTTAAAAAGAAAAAAATAAATCACAAAAAATTTTTTTAAATTCTCAAAAGTTTTGCTGCTTCTTGTTTTGCAATTTCTTCCAATTGTTGTTTAACAACTTCGCGGCGCATATCCAAAAATTCTTTATATTCATCAGGGTTTAAATCCTCGTATTGTATTTTAATTCCAATTTCTGAAGCTCTTTCAATAACTAGTTGGCAAATTTCCTTTAAAAAATTTTTTAGAAAATGGGTATTTTGTCCCATTAAAATACCCCAAACCTCACTTTAAGACAACCCGAAGATTAGATATCCCTCAACATAACTATAAGATACGAGTTTTACAGTTTAGTTAGCCATTGGATGACGGAGCTGTTCAAGGGGGGGGGTACCCAAGCTCCAAGAGTATGTCTTATAGTGAGGTCCCACCACATTTTTAATTAAAAAAAGAAACCTTTAATGGAACACCAATCATAGCTTTATCAGTCGATTTAATTTTTGCAATTTCATAAATGTGTTTTACAGAAAGTTTTCCGGTAATCTCGCCTAAAAGAAATTTTTTTTAAATTATTAAACAGTCTCTAACCGTCTTCCTGTTTTTCTCTTCGAATTCCAGCCGCCTGCATTAACAACCATTTTGTTGTAGGAGTTTCTATCTCAATTTCATATGTTCTGTCAGGTTTTACATGGACAGTAACAGGCAAAATTGTGGCTGTTTTTTGAGTAAATTAATTTAAAAAAATTTTTTAGAAAAAACCGTTTTTAATGCTTTCAGTCACAGTATTAAATTCTTTGCAAAAATTCCCAACGTTAACACCTCTTTGCCCAAGCGCTGGTCCAAGAGGTGGCGCAGGAGAAGCCATTTGAGCTCTTAAAAATTATCAAAACTGGAAATAAATTATGAAAAACCTAATAGTTGTTTTTACTCTTGGATCTTGCATTGCTTTCACTAAATTTTCTCTTTTTGTTAAAAGTGCTTTGTATGCTTTCCAGGCTGACATCCTTGTCTATATTTTAAAGAAAATTTTAGGCCTGAAAAAATAGTAAAAAAAATTTAAGAAATACAAGAAAATCCGTTAAAAATCTCTCACGTCTCTGCTTGTTTGACTAGACTCTTGTTGACTAGACTCTAGTGTTCTCTTTTGGACAAATTGACATTTAAAAAACATAATGCCAAAATCACCCCCTAATTTAAATTAATTCTGAAAGGTTACTTCAATTTTTTCCAGTCAACTTATCGATTTTCTCTCATTTTGTCTTTTTTAGTGTTTTTGATATTAAAAATGCTTCCATCGAACCAGCAACAACCGCAACAGCAACAACTTAACGGAGAACAATCAAGCTCGTCGAATTTATTTAAAAATTGTTCAAAATCTCCAAGTGCTTATGATTTAAAAATTGCAAAGAAAAAGCGCCAAAACAATAACAAAAAACCTGTTGGAAATAATAAAGAAGTCAATAAGTCTTCAGGTTTTTTGAAGATTTGCTGAAAATTTTTACTTTATAAATTTCATTTTTCAGCTCAAATACCTGTAGGAAATACTCTAAATTCACCAAAAAAGGCAGCAATCAGAGTTGGATCAAATTTTCAAATTCTTTCACTTCCTGAACCTAATGGAGATAAAAATTCTGATAATGAAAATCCAACGGATCTATGTCTTTGGAAAATGCATCAAATGATTAATGATAGCCAAGTGGCTAATTATTGTATTGATGCCTATACAAATTTTGGGATTGAACCTGACAGGGTAAACTTAAAAATGTCTTCTTGAAAAGATTTTTGTTTTACCGACTTTGTAACTGGCAATTAAGTTCATCAGATTGAGACTCCTGACATTTTAGTGTCATTCAACTCACAGGGACTTTGCTAATTAGCACTTTACTTATTAGGGACTTACAAAACATGCAAATGCATGTTTTGTATGAGGATATGTCTTGAGGTGAGAAGCTTAAAAATGGTGTTTTTTGTTGGTCCGAGCACTTAGGACCCGGGTTTAAGCATTTTTATACGTAATTTTGACCAGTCATTTTGGACCATTGTCATTGAATAAGATATGTAAAATTTGATAGACTATAATTACCCTAATAGACTAATTTTTTTCGTTTTCTTTAATTTAAAGGCTCTCTATATTCTATACAAATCAGACTATGATTTTGAAAAATCTCGATTAGAATTGCATAACAAGCACATTTTTACTAGAGACTTTAGCAACGATGATGCTTATGCTTTTCGTAATGCCTTTACTTATTTTGGAAAGAACTTTGCTAGAGTTCGTCAAATTGTTGGTTTTTTAATTTTTAGAAATTTTTGATTATTTAAAAAATTATATTGCTTTTTTTGAGAGTATTTTATAAATTTTAGGCATTTTAAATTTTTCTAGAAACTTAACAACTATTTCCTTTTTGTAAATTCATTTTTAAAGATTCCTCACAAATCGCTTGGCTCACTTGTTGAGCATTACTACAAAACTAAAAAGAAACAAAATTATAAATGTGGTTACAAAAGGTATGTGGATATTGAGGCAAATTGTTCTTTTTCATCTTCGGACGATGATAATACTGACAGGTTTTTTTTTAATTTTTTTTGAAATTTTTTTGCAATTTTTTAAAGTAATTCTGATACGATGTTTGCTTCCAAAAAAGTTTCTCAAAAAGTGGCGGAAGAAGTTTGTCAAGTTTGTAAAGAAGGAACAAACAAAATATATTCAGTAACTGGATTAAAAGTCTGCAAAACATGCCATCTCTATTTTAGGTTTTTTAAATCTTCAGGGATTTTTTGATTTTGAATTAAATGTCCGCAAATTGTGTATGTTCGTATACTTTTTTTGACTTTTTTTGTTATTTACCGATGTTTTTAAAATGTAAAGATTTTCTGCAAATCCTCTGTTGCTTTAAACTTGAAAAAACTCCCTTCTTAGTTTCTCTATTCTTTTAATTTTTTTTTTCCTAAGTCTATATCTGGAATAATTTCCACTAGGTATGGGTCAAATTTCATCAGAGGGTTTCTGTCTTCAAAACTTCGTCCCTGCTATTAATTTTATCCCTATTAATTTCATAACTAAATTTTTGGAATTAAGAAAGCTTTTTAAGGGTCAACAATCAACATCGAGTCTTTCCACAACCTGCAGAAGAACCAAAACGTCAAAAACTTAAATGCCCACTGGACATGCGTCAAATTTGCGATCAATTTGTTGATATGGCAAAATATGTGAATGTAGGTGATGATTCAATGGATGAAGAGATTACTGTTTTGGAAGGGAAAACTGCTTGCGAAGTTAAAATACAGTTAAGAAATTTTTAAAAATAAAAATTTAGAAATTTTGTTTTCAAAATTTCTTTTCTAAATTATTAATTTTTTTAATAAAAAAATTTTTTAAGAGAAATTGTAACAAATCAACAACTTTTAAAAGCAAATACAAAACGTTTAATTCAAAATATAGACCAACAAAAAAATTTTGAAGGATGTCAAAAATATTCTGTTGTTTCAGCATTGGAATTTTTGTCAAAAACACAAAATTCATTTAATTTACAAAAGCAAAACAAAAATGTAAATAATAAATTGTTACCACCGGAGAAGGAAGCCATTTTTCATGGTTTTATTTAATTTAAATTTTTTAAAATAATTTTGAGGAAGGCCCGCTAAATTTTTTTGCCTGCAAAATTTTTTTGATATTTTTCTGAAAAGGGAATGCATCAATTTAACCAGGCCCGTAGCCAGGATTTTTTTTCGGGGGGGGGGGGGTCAAGGGGGTAAAAATTTTTATTTTCAGCGCCGCAGGCGAAAATTTTGAGAATTTTAGAAGGCCGTAGGCCAAAAAATTCACTTTTTTGCCCCAGCCCTTCCCCAACTTTTTTCATTTTCCCCATTACGGGGAGGGGGGGGGGCTACGGGCCTGAATTTAACTCTTACCTATCTTTAAATTAAAAATTTCTTTTCTTAAAATTTTTAACAAAAATTTTTTTACAGCTTTAATTCAATTTGATGCGGATGAAAATATTGTTGCCCAGATTATACCAACAAAGACACCAGCAATGATTAAACAATTTTATTTGAAGTTTAAGGATATGATTGATGAGGTATTTTTAATTAAAAAATATTTCAAAATAATTTTGAAGGGATAACTCATCCCACTTCAAAAAGAACTTATTTTTTAATTTTAAGGAAATTCACAAAAGAATTATGGAAACAGACAATTTTGATTTTAATGTACAGGGATGTAGCAATAATTCAAATAATTCTAGTAAAGATGAGCCAGAAGTGATTGAATTGGATTAAAAAAGTTTATTTTAAGAAAATCATTTTTTAAAGTCAATTCTGCTTATTTTTTAATTTATTGAATGATGAGACATTTCATCCTATTTTTTGCTTTACTCAAAAATTTAAATTTTACATATATGAGGGGTGTCATTTATTTTTTTCTCTGGTTGCTAAATATTTTTGACAATCCCGGCTGGACTAGGGGTCATTTCCATTAATAACCTGTAGCCGGAAAAGCTCTTGGTGACATTTAATCCTATTAAGAAAAAATCCTTTTGACCAAAACATTTATAGTAATTTATTTATGAGTGACATCTCCCAATTTTATTCTCTTTTTTGCTTTGATAAAATTGATAATTTTATTTCAATATTTTATATTGAAAGGAAAAAGGGAAATCCAGCTGGCTAGCATTTTTACTTGGAGAGGGTTTAAGATCTATTAAAAGAGAAGCACCTGTACAATTTGAAGGAAAGTGCCTATTAATAATTGCTTGCTAGGAGATCGTGGGATTGAGGCATGACCAAGCCTAAGATTTTACCTCTCTTGCTATAATTAATATTTTGTCTGATTTTTGCCAAAAACATTCCTTCAAATTTAATCAAAAATTACAATACAAGTAATTAATCCTTTAGTTATTTGACAAAATTTTCTATTTTCTTCCCCAAAATTAATTAAATTATTAAAATCCCCATTTTCTTCTTCCTTACAAAAAACTTTAAATTTTTCCCCTTCAAATTTTCTTTCAACAGAACGGCGAATAAATCTTTTAGCAATTGAAAGGTTGTCCCCAATTAAAGCATAATTTATTGCTTTGGCAAGGATTTTTGAATTACATTTTTTATTTATTAAATGGGAGGTTTTTGTTGATAATATACGCTTCTGAAAGAAAAAATATTTTTTTTGAAATTTTTTGGAGAGTTAAAAATTTTTGGCAAATGTCCAGTTGGTTGTCCGCGAAGAGAATCCGGAAGGACAGAAAAGGGAAAAATGAGCGGAGCACTTCTCCCACCACAAAAAATGCAAGAAAAGGCAGAAAAGAGCGGATTCTCTTTGCGGACAGGTAGGCAGTCAACTGCCCATTTGCCAAATTTTTTATTGTAATTTTAGGCTTTATTTCAGTTATTGAGTTCTTAAATTTAAGAAAATTTAATATTCTCAATTTTTTTGAAAGGATTTTTTTTAATTTTACCCTTTTCCTTTTTATTTTCCTTCCCATTTTTGCTTCATTATTAAATGTTTTTGTAGCTAATATTTTTCTTCTTCGTTTTTTAATTTTATTCCTTTTTATTTTTGTTGATTCTTCATCATTTTCAAAAGATTCTTCTGGATATTCCAATTCTTCTTTAATTTTTTTATTTTTAGAATTTTTAATCTTTTAATTTAAAAATCGCCCTTTTTAGCATTTAAACCGTGTATTTGAGGGGGTCAGCCCCTTTTTTTTAAGTCCTTTAAAATAAAATTTTAAGACAGTTGTTACGATGGTTCAATCGGTAAGGGTCTTGATTTAGTGGACAAAGAAAGGGGTTAGGCCATGGGTTCGAATCCGGTTGCCGGTCAAATTTTTTTTTCAAATCATTTTTTAAGTGATTTTTTATTTCAGATTTTATTTTGATGTTTTTTTCTTTCTAATTTTTTTCTGCTTATTTTTTTAAAAAATATTTACTGTCTTTCCTCTACCTTGTTGATTATCATTTCTTTTCTCAACTTTGACAGGTTCTGTTGCATTGCTTATTTTTGTTTC